TTTTTTTTTTTTTCCTTTTTTTTTCTTTCTTTGTCCCATTCATCCATCTCCCCTCCCCTCCCCCATCCCCCACCCATCTCCCCAAATCTATCCACTCCCTCCCATCACAAGCCCAAACTCGCCCTCACATCCCTCCTCACCCTCTTTTCAAATTCCTCTCTCTGCTCCCTCCACATTTTCGCGGCATCAATATTCGCCGGACTCTCATCATTCGGCTCAGCAATCATACTCATGACGGAAATTAAAATCTTCTCCACACTCTGAATCGGACTCCAGCGTTCCGAAGCATGTTCGTAATGATTCGGATCATCTCCCGGTGCGTGTAAAATGGAAATGCAGACGACGCCATTGGGGTAGACTAATAATAAAAATATCTCTCTGTCAGAAAACAGACACACACCCCCCTCCCAGAAAAAGAGAAGACATACCATTAGGATGCCAAATGCCTCCTCCCAAAAATCTCATCGTGGGAGGCATCAAGGGATAATCTTTGGGGAAACGTAATTCGGCGGGAAATACTCCTCCTTCAAAGGGAGTGCCTTCGGGACCTTGAATGATGGCTTCCCAGACAAATAGGTCATCTTCGTTGATGGGGCCGGCGGTGATGCCCTCTGGGGGGTCGATGGTGAGGGATTTGTATTCTTGGAAGAGGCGTTTGGAGGCGACTGTGTTCATTTTTGGGTTTGGTTTCTTTCTTTCTTTGGCGGTGGCAGTGACAGTGGCTGGGGTGGGGTGGGTGCGTGGTGGTGGTGGTGGAGGTGGTAGATTGTCAGTAAGCAGTAGTAGTACCTGAGGTAAGAGTGTTGTAGTTGACAAGTGTGTAGTCAGGTCAGTAATAGCCTAGGTCAGGTACAGGTAATCGTTCATCAGTCGCTGCTTCCCGTCACTAACCAGAGGTAGGTACGCGTGACGACAGCTGGATCGGCGCTTGGCATGCATGTTTGCCGGGCCCGAGGTTGAGCCGAAAGACCTCACCCCCCTCACCCTACCCCTACCTAGGTACGTCGTATTGCAGTGATAATAATAACAGCAGCAGCATCTCTTCTACACCTCTACCTTAGACTTCTACCCCTCGAAATACCTCGAAATATCTCCTACTTGCCTGTCCATCACTAGGTACTGTAGGTATGAAACTACAAGTCGAAAATATCCTCGCTCCCATGTCAACGGTCTAGTCCTCCTCCAGACATCCTGCATTAATAATGAACAATTACCTATACCTGCTACATAGAAACCTATCTGGCGGCCAACATCTCGACCGCTATCTACCTTGCTGCTATACTAATACTACATACGTCTATTGCTGTCCTCATATGCCGTTACTACATAAACTGCGTTCCTGTCCTGGGCGTCGTAACATCATCAGCTTCACCAATAATCAGCGTCCCAGTCGTACACCCTTTCTCTTCCTCATCCGCACCAGTATCATCGCCCGATCGTTCATATTGCTCGTCAGCCGTTCCAAACTTGACTTTGACATCTCCCATCCCTTTGACCACGCCTCGGCTCCCCGATGCAGACCCGACCTCCTTCAAGAGAGGCGCCTCAAACGCCTTGGCGATTTCAAATGGACTCATGGTCACTCTCAGACCGAGTCTCCAGTAGCCCCAGAAGACGGGGAGGATGGCCACCACGGCGAGAAGCTCGAGGAGGGCAGCGCCCGACCACCATCGGAGGTCGGATGCAAACACGTTGACCCGCCGTGTCTGCGCGGCGCTGACGCTCTGTGATAGCGCCAGGCCCGGATCCAGCTGCGGGGAGGTGTGGTCGTAGTTCGTCGTCGATTTCGCCGCCTCAATGGCCGCTCGAAACATGAGATTATTGAATTGGTCCAACACGGCCGTGGTCGGATCCGCAAATTGACTCAGGCACAGGTTCGAGCTGATGGTGAAGCTATCCACCACATTGTTAAACGAGTGTCGCCCGGGCATGATCTCCGAGCCCGTCTCCCGCGCATCATCCGCAGGCTCCATGGTGGCATTGGCAAAGACGTGGCCCGCCAGGAAGGCGCCCAGACCGGAAATGGTGAGATTGAGGGGCAACGCGGCCGAGCTGTTGACGTACGTGTTGTTGGCCATGGCCACGACTTTCCCTTCGCTCGGTGGTCGTAGGAAACGGATCACGTTGTGTTCTTGCACCATGACGTCGTGTTCCAGTATCGCCGCCACGAGCGCACAATGCCGTTCCACATATGATCCAGTGCAGTCGGAGAAGTTTGCAATGCCCGTCTGCAGGATGACTTCCTCCGGCCCCACGTAGGGCGGTTCGTCAGGAGAAGAGTGCAGGTTATCGGCGAGCTGGATGTTAAACAGTGGCATGGGCGCCACTCCATTCGCAACGCCTGATCCCCAGGTAGCACTCCGGTTGTGCTGGAGCTCTTTGGGCGTGAGGTCCCAGGTGCGTGAAGTGCAGTTGCTGATGGTGACGCCCGGCGCCCGGATAGTCGCTCGGCAGGCGCCATTGCAGCCCGTCACGTTGGCGACGAGAGTCGTGTTGAGGGTGAAGCCGTCCAGAGCGGGGGTGATTGCATCGGCTAGGTCACTCACAGTCAGCTATGCGAATCCGGTGGGAGGAGGATGAGGAGCATCATCAAAATACACATACTCGTCTCCAATCCATTTTCACTAAAGATGCCCGAGAAGCCGGTGGGCAGCTCGGGCGCAACGGGAAAGTTGAGCGTCACCGTCGTGTTTTGAAATTCCGACTTGACGGAGGAGGCTTTTTGGAGGAAGGGGCCATCGGCCACGACCAGCACTCCGGCGATCATGGCCATGGCCAAGATGGGCTCATGTCTCGCATTGAGAATGGCGCGACATATGCCTTGACCAGACTCCCAGTGACTTTTTGGAAAGCCGTTAGTGTGGCCATACGACGCCCATGGGAAAGCTCCGTACGTACCGTTGTAAGCTATCAATGGTCGATCCGCGATATGCACGGTACCACCATGCGATGGGTAGTGCCTGAAGGAGTGCAAACTGTAGTGATTTGCCGATGGCGGCAGAAGAGATGGCAAGGAACACACTGGGCGACCATGTCCAATCGTCGACGTGCTTACCGTTGGAGCCTACGAGAATGCCGAGGGAGGCCAGCGTGCAGCAAATGACAATGAGGAGAGCGACCACACCGGCGAGGGGAGATGGACGGAGCCAGGTGGGTAGCCAGGTGGGTGCGCCTTCGGGTTCAGTGATTCCTAGGTCTGCGCCAATAGAGGAAGTCCTCGTGATCTGTCGGACAAAGGCGCCAATACTCGGTTTCTTGCCATCGGCTGGACTGCTCTGGACACTATCTTTGCGAGCATGCTTCTCATGCACACGGACGCCCGAGGTGGGTTGCTGCTGCTGCTGCTGCTGCTGCCGCAAGGGCGAGTCGAAGTTGGTAGAGTGCTTGAGGCCAGGCATCACTGCGTCCAGGCTTCTTGCCGGCGGCGGGAGAGGTGGTTGCAAAGGGGATGGGTTGCAGCCGTCTCGTGGGGTAGATTCCTGTCCAAATTGAGGAAGTGGAGGAGAGGAAGTGCCCATAGTGGTATTAGAAGTAGTGGTGGTGATGGTGACGGTGGAGGCAGCATTCAACGAACGATGGGGTGCAGTAAAAGCTTCCTCATAAGGACTCAGGCCGGCAGAGAGAGGAAAGGCTTCATCAGAAGGTTGGGATGAGATGCGTCGACGATGTTGCCTGCTGGTAGTGGTAGTGGTGGCATCTCTATCCATCTTCCTGGATCCGCGAATTCGGGTCCATGGTCGCTGAAAGTACATATGCGGCGAGGCAGCGGAGAGACGAGCTTGTCATATGTACACTTGTACAGGTAAATTGGGAGTCGTGGTCGGGCAGTCAGTCGACGATTTGCGTGGTACGTGCTGCCATTCCTGGCCAATAGTTTGAAATGGGAGTGGGCGGATGGTGATGGCCAGTGGGGTGGAGTGTGTGGAAAGTCCCAACGAAGGAATGCTTTTTCGAGAGGTCAGCGTGCAGAGTTCAGCAGTGGCCAGGGTAGGCCATGGTGATGTTTGCCTGTCGCCAGCCTCTAGCCTCAAGACAAGGTGACATTGTGACAAGGGGTGCAGAAAGGGGCAGGGGAGAGACAGCCAACGAGCGCGACGGGAAGACTGCTTTCTCTCTCACATTTTCCGTCTCATCCTCTCTCACCCTCTCACCCTTCTTGAAGCTGGCTTTCGGCATTCTCCATCTCAAACTCTTTCTCTCAGCAACGACTCGGATGGGCTCGCGATGAGGATGGCTCTGCTTGGCATCACATGAGAGAGAATGAATATCCTCACTGGCAGAACGGGCTTTCTCATAGGCAGGCTCGGAAGGACATGCCATGCCCATCACACCGCATCTGGTGATGGCGATGGCGATGATGATGATGATAGCTGAGTTCTAGGTACATATGTACAGATATAGATGCGATCCAACATGGCGGGAGATTCGGGGAGAATCATTTCTGGCCTGATGGCTGATCCGATCGCAGCAGAAGCTGTCGTGACACTTGACGTGATGTGCCTCAGGCAGTTATTCCACCTCTTGGCAGACACGTCAGCTTCCATTTGTCCCCTTCATTCTCTTTCTCTTCGTCTTCTTCTTCTTCTTCTTCACAACAACAACAACCACCTCACTACCTACCACTCCTCCCCCTCCTCCTTTTCCTCTTCCAAATCCTCCACGTCCATGCACTTGCGGATTCTTATATTCATTCACTTCAGACTGCAGTCGTCGGCGACTAGCGCGGCAACTGGTATCAAGCTTCTGACCAGGACGGCCGCTGATGCCATTTTTGTCCTGAAGATGTATTATTAGCCCAGACAAGCTTCAACCTTCACATCCTGTACTGTCTGTACACTGGTGCTGTACTGTAGTAGCTGTACTGCAGTCTGCCCTGTCCAATAACTGCCCTGTACCCGCTCCGGACCTGGATCAGCCGTATTCCGATCAGCTTGACCAGGCCAGACCAGGCCAGACCCAGGCTAGACAACGGCGGGATAGCCTGCATATCGTCAGACCAGGAAAAAGAACTCTTCATGCAAGAAGCACCGTGCCACAGACTGTGACTGTGACTGTGCAGTGTGCAACGGTGCAACTGCTCATTATTGCTGCTCCCCATTGTCCCCGATGAGTTCCATAGTGAAGACTCGACTCACGGTCCGACTGACTTTCGACATGTCAAAAGTCAAAAAAAGAAATATCATACCTTGATCCTTGAGATAGCTGATGCTGACTTGTTTTTCCCCAAAAGAGCCGTCTTACTGCTCTGCATCTGCAAAGGACTTTCCTTTCTCTATCAGGAAGAATTTTCCAATTCATCACCGCTCTCTCCGGTCTGCTTTTGATATCGTTTCAACGAAACTCACTCTTTTCAACCAGATACGCTGATACCAGCTTGACTTCGTTCGTTGCTTGCAAGCAACTTGGCCAAAAAAGTAACATAATAGGGACATTTATATATTGAAGACGTTCCTGCTAATCCCTGTAATGTCATTGCCGGGTAGAATTGACACGGTCCTGGAAGGCATAGAGCGGCGGCATGTATAAGCGAAGGTCAGTAGTAGTCTGCTGCCTTCTGAGAGACTGAGAAGTACCTAGGTCGAAGAAGACGAATAATTATGTAAGCAGTACAGCGAGCGGCAAAGAATGCTGTACAAGCAGGAGAAGGAAAGGAAAAATCAGGTACCTTGGGAGAGAATCTTGATCAATACGAGCTGCTGAAGGGATCAAATACATGGATACAATGTCTACAGTATTCTCTTGCATATAGAAGATGGAATAGAAGGGCCTTACAAGAAAAAAACGTGTCGACCTGTGATTCGTCCTCAGACCCAGAGCTATACAGGTTATAGGAAGCACTATCCGGATGGAATGCTAGCACGTGCATACGGATGGAGTATACACCCTCCATTCCTACAGATCACACTTCTTCTTCTTCTTCATGTTCATGTTCATCTTTCTCTTTCTCCTATTCACAGGTTTATTTATTCATTCATTCTTCTCCCTTCTTCTCTTCCCCCTCTCTCTCTCACTCACATACTCACGCCCCCAAGAACGGAAACCGAACCACCTCTCTCCTCCTCACAACAGCATCCAAATACGAAGCAATTCGAGGATCAATTCCCGCCTTCAGTGCCCGTTCAATCCATTCTTCGACGGGAAGTTGTTCGTATGGAGGAGAGGTGAGGATGTGGTTTTGGTTTTGGTTTTTCTGCTGCTGCTGTTGTTGTTGTAGTTGTTGTTGTTGTTGTTGTAGATGTTCCTCCTGTTGCTGTAAGTGCCCAGGGAGGTCTGAGATGGGGATTCGAATACCACTGGAATGATGGACGAATCGGAGGAGTGGGAGTAGGCGTGGGTAGGAGGATTCCTGTTTCTTTCCAGTTTCTTTTTCTTCTTCTCCTTCTCCTCCCCCTCCCTCCCCATCCCTCATCACCGCAAAAACAATATCCTCCGCAATATCATGCACATCCTTAAAATCAAAATACCCTTCAAAATTCTCCCACCGCGGAACCGCACGCATCATTCTCGAAAACTTCAACAATGCATTCAAAGCATCTTCACTCGGTGCTTCCTTTCCAACCGGAGCGCACGCGCGATGAATCACCACCGAGAGACCAATATCGTGCGAAAAATTCTCCAAGAGACGTTCACTGGCCCATTTGGAAGCTGTGAACCCTCCTTCTGCTGCTGCTGCTGTCGGGGGAAATTGGCCGGCGAGGGAGACGGGGGGAGAAGTGGTCGAGCCGGAAAGTAGAGTGACTCGGTTGGAGGAGATGTAGTGGAAGGGGATTTGGCGGTGGGAATTTGCAGAAGCAGAAGCAGAAACGGCCAGTGTGGCGAGGAAACGTGTAGAAGCTAGATTGGGTATGCGGAGGGAAGAGTAGTTGTTGAGGCAATGACCCATTGCACCCGCGTGGATGATGATGTTGATGTTTTCTTGCAAATGTGTGTATTCGGTTTGCGACAGGCCGAGGTTGGGTTGAAGCAGGCTTCCGGTGTAGATTTTGATTGTGGATGAAAGAAGGATGAGCTTCTTTTGTTCTTCTTCTTCTTCTTCTTCTTCCTCTTTTGGCACAGCAATGCAATGCACCATAGTGACGCGAGGATGTGCCAATAATGCCTTCAAGAGCGCTTTTCCGACGAAGCTCGTCGCTCCTGTTAACAGCACCCGCAGACTACCTTGACCAGCCTCATTACGCATGCGATCGATGCCATGTCCGTTATTCAACGCGAGTAGACCTGGTGGAGTCGCTGTTTCAGACACCCAATCGATTGCTGGAGATTGAGAGAGATCCTCCTGCTTGCCCGCGCCGATTCGAGTCGCCATGCTGCAGAGAGTGCTCGAGGAATAGAGATCCACGATGGGTACATGAATGTGGGTAGACTGTTTGATGCGTGCTTGCAATTTCGCAAGGAGAATCGAATTGCCGCCATGCATGAAGAAATCCGCATGGGCATCATTTGGGCAGCCTTGTGGCAACGCTTCGTGCCAGATGAGCCTCAAACTGGCTTCGAGGGGCGTCAATGGACGCCGCGCTTCTTCTTCTTTTTCTTCTTCTTCTTCTTCTTCTTCTTCTTCTTCTTCTTCTTCTTCTTCTTCTTCTTCCTCAGTCTCTAGCTTTCCCTCGTCCACGTTCGGTAATGGCAATCTCTCAATGGCCTTGCGATCGACTTTTCCGTTTACTGTCATCGGGAGGTGGTTCACCGGTATGATGGCAGCCGGAATCATATATCGAGGAAGAGGCAAATTTCGAGCCAGCTCAGCCAGATCCATGGACGTCATGCTCATACCAGATGCAAAGACCACATGTGCCACCAAGAACGCGGGATCTCCACGGACGGAGACGATGATCTCAGCAAATTTGCCCTCAGCCTGTCGCCGGAGCTGAGTCGCCACTTCATCCAGCTCGATTCTCTGGCCGTGCAATTTGACCTGGTTGTCGCCATCGATTCGCCCAACCAGATAGAGATTGCCCTCATCTGATAACCAGCCCTTGTCCCCCGTGCGATACATGAGTGTCCATCCTTGGGCCCGATCGTGTTCCGACGCATAAGGATCCGGCAGAAATTGTGTTTGATGAGATTCTGCTTCTCCCGAATATCCGAGAGCGACACCACCGCCACCGATGCATATTTCACCCGTCATACCTGTGGGAAGTGCAACTCCGGTCTGGTCCATGATATATACCGAGTAATTGGGGAGTACCTTGCCCACCAAGCTCTGTCCACGAGTCGAATCCATTTCAATTGATGCCAAAGAAACTGAACTGAAAGTAGCTGCTGCCGTAATCTCTGTGGGCCCATAACAGTTCGTCACTTGTAGCGTCGACGCCTGCGGCAATGCTTGCAGTTCTCGTAGAAGCTCTTGTTGCACAGGCTCGCCTCCCATGCAAATATGCCGTAAGCAGACACATTGCTCCCAGAACTCACGCCCATAATGCAGCATCATCAGATACTCCGAGGGAGTAGCAATGATGAATGAGACACTGTGCGCCAACATCAGCTTGGACAACTCTACAGGGTCTCCGCGAATATGGGCGGGAGCGACGACGACAGTCCCGCCGTTGGCGAGTGCACATAAAGTCTGAACGATAGCCATGTCAAAGCCCAACGAGCTCTGCTGCAGGACGATCTCTCTCCCGATATCCAGCTCGTGTGTCTTGATTGCGATATGGTTCCGAAAGTTCTCCTGTGACAGCAAAATCCCCTTAGGCTTGCCCGTGGATCCGCTAGTGTACAGTAGAAAGCCCGACACATGATCCGAGACTCGCGGTGGATGTACAGAGGCGACTGTCCTGGTGGTCATTGTCTCGACGTTAATAGCATTGTACAAGAATGTCGAATTCTCGAAAAGCGTGTCGGCATCCTCAGCAGTGTCACTGTGGAACAGGAGAAGACCTGCATGACAATCCTGAACCATTACACTATGCCGTGCTTGCGGCAGAATTGGATCGAGAGGCACGTACACCATTCTGCTTTGGAGCACTGCGAGCATCGACACGATGACCGCCTGCGATGGTCGGCACAAGACGGCCACTCGCGTCCCTGGCGGCGCACCGGACTCCAGGATGGCCGTGGCGAGCAAGTCCACTCGGATCTTCAGGTCCGCATAGCTGATATTTGTACCAGCTCCACCATCAATCACAGCAGGGTCATCGGCGTGCTGGACAGCCATGTCATCGAATCGTAGAGAAAGCGTCGCCGGCCAATCGAACTGCATTCGCGGTCCTCTCCCTAGCTCCAGCGCTCTCGATACAGCTGACTGTCGTACGATGGAGCATTCCTTAACGAGGATACTAGAATCTGATGAAACCTGATCTAGAAGGTCAACGTATGTGTCCAAGAGTGATTGCGATGCGGTGCTAGAGTAGAGCTGCTTTTGCGCCATCACCTCGAGCAGGGATGTGCCATCAGATTGCTCCGTGATGTTAAAGCTGAAGTCATATGGATTTCTCGCATCTTGAGCGGAGCTGAATAGTAGGCTGCAATCACCGAGATCTCGCTGCATCACATCTCCCATGCGGTAATTGACAGCGACCTGAAAGAGGGGATTATGCTTCGGCGACCGTGGCACTTTGAGAGCATCCAAGATGAGATCGAATGGTACACTGGAATGAGAGAGCGCTGCGAAAACAGTCTTTGATGTCTTGCGAACCAGTTCCCCAAAGGAGTGGTCCTTTTGCACGTCAAATCTGGCGGGTAGTAAGTTGAGAAAGAAGCCCACAGTGTTGGAATAACGGTCGTCTGTCCTGTTGGCGTCTGCAATTCCGATGCATAGATCACTGCGGTCGAGAGACCGTGCTAGAATGGTCTGGATGACAGCCAAGTGAAAGTGGAACGAAGTGGCTCGGAGCCTCATACTTGCTTGCTTGATCTTTCGACACGCATCGACGTCGAGCCTGTAGCTAGTAATGTGGCTGTCATAGTGGTGCAGAGCTTGTCGCTCTGCAACACACGCCGTCGGCAGCAGAGGCATAACGTCTGGGAGTCGACTGTGCTGCAGCCGCCAAAAAGCAATATCTTCGTCATACGCTCCCACGCGGCTCGAGCGTAGCATCTCTTCCGAATAATCGCAGTAATCCAGACAGAGTGGCAACCGCTTGGATTGATATGCATGGTCGAGGTCTCGAAGGAAAATATGCCAACTGACTCCATCCAGAACAATATGATGATAACCAAAAATGAGCATCGTGCGAGTAGAATCCATACTAATAACAGTAGCACCAAATGTGCGTCCATTCGAAAGGTCCCAGACGGTGGTCTTCATCCTCTCAAACTCGTCGCGAGCCATGTCATCAGTCCCGCTCATGATCATCTGAGGCTCCCAAGCGAATGCAGCAAGGACACCTTGCATGAGTGTATCATGCTCGTCAGAGAAGAAGCGTGTTCGCAGCGAGCCATGTCTGTTGAAAACCTGAATGAGAGCAAGGCGCAATTGCTCGAGGTTCACTCGCCCGCGGATTTCATAGGCGACCGTCACATTGTACGTGGTTCGATCACTCAGATACTGAGACAAGAACCACAGACGGGACTGGGCGTGCGATGCATGACACTGCTTCGAAAGCGGCGCAGAGGATTGAACTCGGTCGGGGTCGGGAGCCGGATCTGCCAACGGCTCAGGCTTGGAGGCAGGCGTATCAGGGGGACTTGAGGGGCGGGAGATGTCTGTATCAGATGTCGCCCGTGTCGAACCACATTTGCTGTCATCGCGTGCTTGTCCCTCGCCGCTGGAGCTCGAGTCTACCTCATCGCCATGACTGCTATCGCCTGAGCTAGCCTCGGCAGAAGAAGCCGGCTTGTCCACGGAGACGAGTTTCGATGCCAGATATCGCTTCGTTGCTTCGCTGCACAACTCGGAAATGGTATCCCCTGAAAGCACTTTCAACACCGGCAAGTCGACCTGAAGCTCCTTCAAGAACCAGCCTCGGATCTCAATAGCTAGTAGTGAATCGCAGCCCAGATCGATGAGTGGCACATTGACATTGACGCTGCAAGGCCGAAGCTGCATCATCATCTCCAGTTTTCGGGAGAAGCACTCCTCGATAATGGATAACCTCGTCGCGTCCGTGTCAGCTGCATCTAGTCTCTGCTTCGTGTTGACCTGCCCAAAATCGACCAAGGAATGCTGTTTGGGGGTAGTATCGAAATGGACAAAATGCGAAAATTGAGGATTGCGCTCCCATGGAGGTCGTACAGTTGCAGTTTCCGATTTGGTGAAGGATTCCAGCCCGATGATGATATCTGCTTCTTGGCCGGAATCTGGCTCTCCAGCCCGAACGGCTTGAGCGAATGCATGATGCAAATCGGATTCCGATAACGGCATAAAGAATAATTTGCGGAGGCGCTCCTCCATCATGACTCCGGCTCGAGCAACATATCCGATATCCGTGACCAGACCGATGTGCAACGTCGAGGCCGCCAGCCCCTTTTCACGACGTCCGGCTGCAAAACTGGACATGAACATATTCGCGGCATGGTAATTGGACTGCCCGCCGTTTCCAATGATACTCGCGAGTGAAGACAAGAGAATGAAGAATTGAAGAGGCTCCTCTCTCCCGAGTGCTTCATCGAGGATGCGAGAGCCGTCCACTTTGGGACGTAAGCAGGTCTCCAGGCTCTGCACATCCATATCCAGGAATAATTTATCAGACAGAACCATGCTGCCATTACACACGCCAGCAATTCGGGGCATCGAGCTGCGGACTTTGTCAAGTGCACATTCTACCGAGCCTTTGCTGGCCACGTCCATCTGGACGACCTGAACGTTGACACCTGCTTCTTGACGCATATTGTCAAGCCATGCAGGACTCACGTTTGGATTTCGGCTCGCTAGGACTATGTGCCGCGCTCCGTTGGTGACCATGAATCGGCTCAGTGACAGTCCAATCTCTCCAGTCATTCCGACCAATAGATAGGTATAGGAAGAAGAAAACATGTTCGCCGTGCACAATCCAGACATACGGACACTCAGAGATCTCGCATCAGTCCAATCTGTGATTGTGCAGAGGGACATCGCTTTCATGGAAGCAGCTCCAATATCATCCGCTCGTATGATATGTAAGTCTCCTGAATCGCGGGCTCCTGAAGATGCTGGAGCCGACTTGACAGCTGTCTGGAGATGTCTGATGTGATTTTCGCTGTTCAATAATGCCGCAAATCCGTCCACTGTCAGGTGCTCGCAGTTCGGGGACATGAGAGAGACGATATTGAGATCTGGTCTGTCTGAGAAGCTTATCATGCCGGTCGTGTTAGCAGGGAGTGATTTCTTCAGTTGACGGCGCGTCGAAGCCGGATGTAATCGAGTGTAAAGGTCGACAGGACGCTGATCATCGCAAGTGGTAAAGACCCAGCCATGCATTGCCTTTTCGCTATTAGAAGCCATGGCTACGGCAAGGGCCTGAGGGATCTCGTGAAACATGATGCTGCCATTTGATGGCACCCAGTCTTGCAGCACGAGACTCATGAATTGGATCCCGATAGCAAAAAGTTGCGTGGTGGCTACCATGGCTGCGTCTTGGTCAAGAGTGACAAGCTTGTGCTTGGAGATATGCAACAGGGAAGCGTTATGCTGGCTGAGCGCCAAAACCATTTGTTCGGATTCGGCCATGACACCGTATACCAGATAGACAGACTGCGTAGCCGATGCAACGAGAAGCACAGTATATTCGACTTGCACTCGGACCGTGTCGGTTGACTGTGTCTCTGGCAAGCCAGGAGGCATCAATTGTAATTCGAGTCCACCTGCGCCCGATATGAGTTCAACGCAGTCCCTGCGCGGCGCAACTTGGTGTGTAATACAACGTCTCTCAGCATTATACACATCATTGAGATTCCTATGGGGCTGCACGCGAGACAACCAGACTTCGTCGCCGATCATTCGAATTTCAGGTTCCACTGTCCACAGTCGATCACTGTCGGTTGAGTGATGAGAGAATGTGGTGAAATAGAGGCGAAAGAAAGCATTGACAATGTTTCTTGCATCTCCAGCGGGCGTGCGATGATTACTGTCAAGGTCCAGGTATTGCAGGACGAGATCGGGAATCTCAGTGGCAAGAGATCTTCCCATGCCAACAACCATATTGGACGCAGGAGAGGCTGAGAACCTCCCGCTCGTCGTCCAAAGAATCATTTTAGCGGTACCAAACAGTGTCTGAAGCGCCTGAAGCCGAGTCTCTGTGATGTTACTGTCAAACAATGGCTTCTCCAGCTCTTGCAGCACAAGCACGCAGCTTTGCAGCGGTGGTGGAGATTGAACAAATTCATCCACGTCTTTGAGAATAGTAATACAGCTCTTCCAAGGAGACAAGATCTTTTGAATCTCGCCCACAATGCGTACTCCAGCCAGATTCTTTCCTCCAACGACCACAAGATTTGGTGGTATTTCCACTCTCTGCAATCCGAGTAGTGGCTCCCGGATCATATCAATAGTCGCATCGGTGGCCTGGGAGAGGATGAGAGAGAACGAATGCCGTGGTGTATCCTGCATATCGTGCAGAATATGGTCTACGCCAGAGAAATTCGCATCGCGTAACAGCTCGTGCCATGCGAGCTCTGAGATGGCTGGCGACGTATCGCGGCCCTCTGCAGCACCATACCACCAGCCAGGTAGAGCACCCATAATGAATTGTGTCCTGAGGACTTCCAGTCCAGTGATTTCCATCATGACGAGATAGCCACCGGGTTTGAGGAGCGAGCGTACATTACACATGGTCTCCTGGAGACATCGCGTTGCATGCAGGACATTTGCAGCGATGACAATATCATATTCTCCACGTTCAAAGCCCTGTCCGGCAACGTCGTTCTCGATATCGAGAACCTTGAATTCCATTTTATCGCTGGAGTCAGAAAAGGTTTCAGCTGCCTTGGAGAAGAAGCCGGGCGAGATATCTGTATAGGTGTACGTGCTGTATTTCTGCCCGATGGCGTCCAAGATGCTGCGAGTGGTGCCTCCGGTGCCTGCGCCAATCTCCAGTATTTTGGCATGAGGGAACTTGGTCACGATCTGCTGAACTGTACCAGAAAGAGCTCTGTTGATGGTTGCGAAGCCATAGCCTTCCAGGTAGAAACGGTTCAACAGGTCATCCTGGAGCATTACCTCCAAGACGTGCTTGTCTTTCGTCAACACATCTTCGAGATTCTCACCGACAGCGCAGATCAGTCTCATGTCTGCTCGGTTTTGGTAACGCTCGATAACTTCTGTAATTGTCTCTTCCGAGTCCAGAAGCCATTCGCTCTTGGTGATGGGATGTTGTTGATTCCTGGTGGCTTGGACCGCCTTATTCGCAACCTTGAGCATATGTCTATGATACCAATTGCAGCGCAAGATATCGTCTTCACTTAGTTCCCGAATTAGCTTATGCCAGTAGTAGAGAGAGACTCGGTCCAGAGCTTGAACAAGAGCATCATCGTCTGGCTCTTGAGCTAGTTCAGATGGTCCCGAGGTGATGTCTTGGGTCCATACGGTGCTAGAGAACATGACTTTGTCATTCTCTGGTGCAGGCTCCGACACGGCTTGCATAGCAATCCCCTCAACCTGCACGAGGGCATCTTGTCCACCGGTCTGGTACACGCTGATATCACCCGCCAGGAGAGTGGACGTCGCCGTCTCCACAAAAGCATCCATGTCAAGATCTACCGTGTCTGGGGAAGCTCGCAACGCTGCTGGGGACAACGAAAACTTTGATATGTGGACTGGTAAATAAGGGGCCCAGATATGACCACTCGCAGGAGAGGAGAATGCCACATATAACGCTTGGAAAGCGACGTCGAGGACGCCAGGATGGATCATGTACTCCCGACCTACGTGTGACTGATTCCACGAGGCAGAGATAGTTGCAATATCAAGCGCTCTGGTGGCACTCCGCATTCCACTGAACAGTCCGCGGTAGTCCAAGCCGACCTTCGCCATGGAGGTATAGAACCTGCCAGTGTCCACGTGCACCATACTGGACGCTTGAGCCGACCTCGCAGGAAGCACGTTGCACGATGGCTGTCCCAAATGGACCCTCATCCGACCGTGACATGCTCTTGTCAATCCGAGGTGGGAGGTCTCTTCGGAGCAAAATGAAATCGCAAAATTGGCCGCCAGAATCTCTTTGCTGCTGGATTGCTCCGTCATATCGCAGCTGAAAATGACTTCTACACCCATTGATCCCGGAGGGATCACAATGGCTCGTGATAGAACAATGTCCTCCAAAACGAAGAGCGCAACGGTGCGGTCACCTGCCAGCTGTCGGGCAGCTTCGAGGGCCATGACGACAAATCCAGCTCCAGGAAAAAGAATTTGGCCTTGGAAGACATGTTGCTTCAACCACGCGATCTCTCCATTTCGGAGAATATTCCTCCATCGCGGGCTGTCGTCCGAGTCATCTGGTGCTCGACGCCCCAGAAGCTCGTGAAATGAATCTTGTCCGAGCCGATAACGCCGCGAGATGCGAGATTCCCTCCAAAATGGTTGCTGGTGGTCCCAGGAGTAACTCGGCAGGCTCGGCACAGACAACGGAGTGAAGAGATCGAACGCAGCGCGATAGTCGTCGAAACTCACGTGCTCTGGCCCAAGCTGCGACCACAAGAATCCCAGGGCGCCTGATAGAGCCTCGACTTCATCGTCACCGCGCCGCATTACACCCGCATAGGCTGGCGCAACACCCAGAGCAGCCTTGAACGTTTGCTCAGCGGGTCCCTTCAGGGTAGGATGAGGGCCGATTTCGAGACAAAGGTCAAAGGGGCCCCCGTTCCAAATCGAGGTCTCGATAGCTTGTGAGAACATGACTGGGTTCTGCATATTGTCCACCCAATATTGATCCTTCAGACGGGAAAACTCGCTGGCGTATACTTCGCCGTACACACTCGAGATCCAAGTGCAATCCGATCTTGGCTCCGAAACCTCAATGTTGCACGCCACCAAGGACGCAAGGTAGGGCATACTGCACGGTGCCATGTGATGCGAATGATACGCTGTGTCAGTGTGCAAAACTCGTGCAAAGATTTTCTCGTCGTCAAGACGGGACTTGGCTTCTTCAATGGCATCCTTGTCTCCAGACAGCGTGACGCTCGAAGGTGAATTACTTGCCGCAACTGCAATACGGCCGTGGAAAGGAGAGCTGGAGCAAAAGTCCAATGCCTCTCCATATGACATGCCCACAGCCATCATCTTGCCAGACTGTCCTTGCGCTCCAGCAGCCAGTTTCGCATGGAACCCGCGATAGTAAGCGATTTGCATAGCAGCAGATTGATTGATTACACCTGCAGCATAGGCAGCTGCAATCTCGCCAGAGGAGTGTCCGACCACGGCATTCAGTGCGATATTCGCTTTCCAGAGCAGCTCCACGAGCCCGATCTGTATGGCTGTGCACAGAGGCTGAGAAATTGCAGCCTCGGCGACTCTGGATGCTGACTCTTCTGCCATCATCTCCTCGTACAAAGACCAAGCCGGTGGATCCTGTAGAGCATTCAATGTCTCCTCGCATTGTTTGATACATTGGCGAAAAGCACTTGATCTCAGGGCAAGACCTCTCCCCATAGATGCCCATTGCGCGCCCTGGCCCGTGAAAACGCCCAGAATGCCCGGCTCCTCGGTGTTTGGTCTTTTCTGCGGTACGATCACACTGCTCCCGCCGGACTCGGCTACAAATCGGTCCATAAAATGCAGTAGTCGATCTCTGGTGGAGCCGGAGAAGAATGCTTTGTGCTCCAGCACAGAGCGCCGTGACTGCAAAGTCCAGGCAACTTCTTCCAGATCCATGTCTGGGTGACTGCGTATGTGCTCGACCAGAGTCGCAACTGATGATACGAGGGATTTCTCCGACTGAGCCGAGACAACCAGAGGTCCAATGAAGACCGCTTGCTCATTGTGCGGCATCCTCGAGCGAGTGTCTTCTTCAGTAGGATGATATTCTTCGATGATCGCGTGTGCATTCGTCCCACCAAATCCAAAGCTGTTGACGCTTACACGTAGGGGTGATGTAGGCTTGATTGGTTCTGGCCAAGGTAGAGCCTCGGTGACGACCTCCAAATTCTGACAGAAGGGTAATAGATCGGGATTGAGCTCGTGGAAGTGGAGGTTTGGGGGGATGGTCCGGTGTTTGATGGCACCCAATGCCTTGAGAACGGCCGCCAATCCTGCACAACCCTCGAGATGGCCAATCACTGTTTTGATGGATCCCACGTACATAGGTATACGCGGAGACTCTCGAGGTTCTTGTGATATAGGAAAAAAGGCATCTCGAATTGCTCGTGCCTCTACAGGATCTCCTGCTAGGGTACCAGTACCGTGGCATTCAAAATATTGGCATCTGTCCTCAGTGATGTCCAACCCAGCTCTGCGATACGTCTCTCGAATCAGTGCCGTTTGTGCGAGAGAGTTGGGATTCGTGATGCCTTTCTCCGAGCGACCATCGGAGTTGACACAGATCTCGCGCAGAACGCCCTCGATAGGGTCACCGTCTGCAATAGCCCGATCGAGGGGCTTCAGAATCACTGCTGCGAAGCCTTCTCCTCGAGCATACCCATTCGCAGACTTGTCCCACATTCTGGACTGAGAATCGGGGGAGAGCATGTGTAAGCTGGACTCAGCAATAAACATTGCTGGATCCAAAATGAGATTTGCCCCTGCAGCTACTGCAACAGTGGCATCACCAGAGCGCAGACCCTGGACTGCCTGGTGCAGGGCAACAAGAGAGCTAGAACAGGCGGTATCCACTGTGACGGAAGGCCCTTTGAAGTTGAAGAAGTACGATATTCGATTGGAGAGCATGCTTCGTGTCGTGCCAGTAGCGTGATGCGATGCCATTGTTTCGGGATCGCGGGACTGGATATCGGTATAGTCGGCGTTCATTACTCCCACGTGGACTGATGTTCTCGTGCCACTGACAGCCTCCAGAGGGTAGCCGGCCGCCTCCAAAGCTTCGTAGACTGTTTCAAGCAGGATCCGCTGTTGAGGATCCATGCCCTCGGCCTCCTTGGGGTTGATTCTGAAGAAGGCAGCGTCAAAGAGCCGAATGTCTTCAGACAGGAAATATGCACGCCCTTGGACGTCGGTACTTCCATGATGTTCTCCATTTTCGTGGTAAAATCGGGAGAGATTGAGCCTCTCAGGGGGCGGGTTGGTCAACACGTCGAATGGTTGGGACAGCAGCTCCCATAGCTTGGAAGGGGAGGAGGCACCACCTGGGAATCGACAAGCTGTTCCGACTATGGCTATAGGCTGTGACATTGTTTCTCAGTATACAGCGTGTTCGAGGGATGTCCACGCAGGTCAAACAGCTACATACGCGGATGCGCACAGTCTCTGTAACCTCAACCTCCATGGACATGTGCGGCAGGATGGTGGGCTTCCATGCGTCTCTCGCTGGATTGCGGCTATGAGGCTGAGGATCGCCGTCGTCGACAGCGTGCGTCGGGGCGGTGTATCAACCTAGCGTCGGAATTCATCGGTCCCGCTCGGCATACTGTTCCTTTACGGCCTCAGCACCTCCGTTGCCCATATGTGGCAGCGTAATTCGAGTGCGCCTACTTGGACACTGAAGGAGCACCTCGACACTGGGACCGCTACTCGTCGTCAGTCCGCTGCCGCTCCTCGTATCGCACGACTTCAGTATGTCTCTGTTGCAGCACGTTGTCTATGCTGGCCTTGCGGGTATTGTCGCTGTGACAGTCCTACGCTGGGTCAGTCAACAAATTAGCCACATTCGATTCAAGCGCGCCATGGGCTGTGGCGACATTCCTCGATATCCTCACATCGACCGGATCTTCGGCCTAGACATTGTGCTCGGCATGGCAAAGTCGCTCAAGTACGACTATTTCTTGGTCTGGCTCAACCAGGTGCACCGAGGGCTTCCAAAGACGTTTGTGGTGAACTTCCTCTGGTCACGGTTCATATGGACGATCGAGCCGGAGAACATGAAATGCATGTCCGCCACCAACTGGCGGGACTTTGCCGTAGGACCCATGAGACGCAACAACAAAGCCACACATCCCTTCGCAGACAAGGGCGTCAACACGGTCGATGGCAAGGAGTGGGAGTTCAGCCGCACCCTGATCAAGCCCTTTTTCGTCGCAGAGGGCTTCAAGAACACGGGGCGACTGTCGGGTCACGTGGACCGCCTATTCGCACGCTTCCCGGCGGACGGCGAGACATTTGACATTCAGCAGCTTGTACAGCTATGGTTCCTGGACACGACGACCGAGTTCCTGTTTGGCGAGTCGATTGGCAGTCTGGAGCACCCGGAGCGGGCGTCGCTATGCTGGGCTATGGTCGACGTGTTGCGCGGGCTGCGGCTCCGCCTGCAGTGGTACAAGTATCTCTTCCTGTTCCGACACCAGTCCTGGCTGGATGCCGTCGCCGTCGTACACGATTTTCTCAATCGCCATCTCGACCGCACTTGGCGGGAGTTGGAAGAAAAGGAAGAGAAGGAGAGGGAGAACGAGGACAAGCGGTCCCGGGGGGAGACGGCGGTGGCCGAGCGGGCCGAGCGGACCGATCTCCTGTGGTCCATGGCCGGCCAGCTGCGGGACAAGGAGGCGCTGCGGTCGCAACTCTGCCTGATCTTTGTGCCGAACAACGACACAACGTCCATCTTCATTAGCCACATCCTCTGGAATCTGGCTCGACGGCCCGACATCTACGCTCGATGTCGGGCAGAGGTCTTGGCGCACGGCGATGCCGAATTGTCCTTTGAAGCGCTGCGGAGCATGAAATACCTCAACGCGGTAATGATGGAAAGTAAGTGCATATCTCCCCCTTTCGTGGATGTTGGTAATATATTATTTACCTCATGCATGGAAATGGCCCAATATCTGACTACTCATCACGTGAAATAGCACATCGCCTCCACCCCAACGGGGTCACTCAAGTGCGTAAATGCATCAACGACACCATTCTGCCCTGTGGCGGGGGACGAGACGGCAAATCCCCGATCCACGTCCGCAAAGGCGATGTAGTCCAAGTGAACAAAAACGTCCTGCACCGCGACCCGGACATCTGGGGCGAGGATGCCGAGGATTTCAATCCCGATCGATGGGACGGTCTGCGACCTTATTGGACCTTTGTTCCCTTCGGTGGCGGGCCTCGTCGCTGTCCTGCGCAGATGCTGGTTACCGTTGAGGCGAGTTATATGCTGGCGAGGATTATGCAGCAGTTTCGGCGAATTGAGGCTCGAGATCCAGCGCCTTATGTCGGTGTGATGCGTGTGGGACCTTCGAATAAGACGGGCGTCAAGGTGGCGTTGTTTCGTGATGATGAGTCGGCGTTCGCTTGCAGGTGAGAGAGAGAAAGAGAGAGAGAGAGAGAGAGCAAGAAAGTCAGATAAGGTGGATGTCAAGTAGCAACGGAAACTGTATACGCATGCATGTGCCAATAGCGCGCTCTTTCCCGCCACGAATCTAATTGTCTCGTTTCGTTTGAAAAAAACCAAATCAGGCTCGAGCGTCTCCTCGCCCTATACGATCAGGCTAGTAATCTCCAATCTATCCTCCTCCCCCCACTCTCTACAATCTGCATCTACCAATACGAGCCAAACGCACCAATTCCAACTGCTCCTGTCCCGCCATACCATCAGACTCCCCCGGCCGAATCTCATACTGCTGCACCATACACACCGCCGCCAGCTTGAAGATTGCATCGGCAAAATGCTTACCCAAGCAACGCCCGCTGTTGGCGCCCACTCCAAATCGCATCATTTCATAGCGACACTTGAGCGGGGAAATGGTCTCGAATCGCTGAGGTTGGAATTCATCCGCTGACGGGCCCCAAGTCTTCGTATCCGAGTTTAATCGGCCTGCGTCAATGATGACTGACGTGTGGGCTGGCACGCGGAAGCCTCCGATTACTTTCGGGACAGCAGTACATTCGGGTAAGGAGAAGGCTGTGTCCGTTGGGCGGGAAAGTTAATAATTCAAAGTCATCATATACAGGATGGCAAGAGTTTGAAAAAAAGAAAGAGATTTTGACGTACCAAAGGCAGGACTGAACCGCATGCTTTCCATTACTACACGATGTAAGAGAGAGCTCTGGCCAGCGATGTAATCTATCACGGCCCCGTCCTCGGAGTCTAGCGCTTGTGAGCGTATCTCGTGACGAAGTGCCTCCTGAATGGAAGTGTTCGATGCCAGTCTCTGGAGCATAGTGTGCAGGACCGCCGCACTGACATCTATATTGGCGAACAAGATCTCGTCCATAGTGTGGAGAAACTGCCCCGGGCAAAGCAGTGTCAGCGATCTCGTAGAACCCAACAAACAGGATGCAGTGTACCTCTGTCTTCTTCATCGCGGGTGTGGATTCTGTTCCGTGGTAAATTTGCTCTGCTGGACTGCCAAGATTTGCCTGCAAATCGTGTCTTTTCAGTACTCTGAGTATACGCGATTCGTGGTTGCTAGCTATTACTTACAACTCTCGCTCGATGAATCATGTGCATATTGAACGTCTCCCAGCGACGGTTGTACTCTTGAGCACGCCTGCGAGCGGCAGTGTCAAGCCAGCCCCATTTCGATGCCAGCTTGGTAGAGAGGATAACGTCGTGAAGGATGACCTCGTGCAGGACATTCAGATCAAGCAATTCGGAATACGCCTAAGGCTCGTCAGAAGAGCAACGAGGCTGATTAAAGAGCTGCGCGGCCGGACTTTACTATCAAACACTTCCCCATACAGATATGCCGCCATGAGTCTGAATGGCAGAAACCGACAGAGCTTCTTGATATCACAATGGAATTTTTCGTGCGAGTGACTAGGGGCAACAGTGTGCCGGGGAAGCTCCTCACACCATTCTGCAACACCGGTATGAAGGCTTTGTAATACCTGACGGCTCGCCTGGAAGGAGAAGAAGGGATCGAAGTACTTTCGCACGACTTTCCATCGCTCTCCGTCCTTTGCGCCTACGGCATCACCTAAGATTCTAGCAAGACCGTTATCAGAGTGGTCATCGGCGTGGGCTTTGAGGAACCTACTGGCCAAAGTATTGTCCCATGTTCAAGTTGACTGGTTTCGGATGCGCTGCGAGACTTGGTAAGCGGATGCTACCTAGGTATAATTAGACCCACAGACTCGATACGTACCACTGGTGTCCCCTCGATAGAAATCTCGTATATGGTCCGGTCGTGTGATGACCAGTTCTCTGCGCTTTCCATTCCGGATGAGAAATGGTTTGTCCCCTGCATGGTCTCGGCCTTGCTGAGAAAGAGCAGAGCTGTAGAAGTGTGTTCAGAGGATGGCGCAAATGTCGAATGATCGCTCTGTTTGACTCACGGGTAAATGAATTTGTCCACTCGCGCGTCCTTTGTCAGTTCGAATATGGGCTCGCCATTGGCATCGAATATTCCTGATCGTGACAATCGTTCGCGTGATCGGGTCAGGGAAACGCCAATAAAAAGTACTAAAGATGTTACGAGTAACAGTATGACTTGCGCGTAGCTCCGGTCTCCCAACATCTGGTGAGTCCAGTTGGTAAACATGGTGGTCCTCGCCGTTACAAGCCCTCTGGCGTGGAAGAGAAACAGTGTCGTAGTCAATTTGACGAACCACCCCAAGCCACATAGATACATGGCATACAGCACCGAAACGCTGTGTCACTTGGCTTGTTCTCGCGCAATGCCCTGCGTGCAGCCACGCATGTTGCCCGTGGAATTTGCCGTCCACGCCGTGGGTGTAGACCGACGGACGGAGTGGCTCTAGCAGAGACCGACCGATGCGGGAGCAGATTTGGACATATTCGCCATCGCGTGAAATCTATATGTGTGTCGACAGTCCGCTCTAGAGGTCATGAACGGAACGCCATGGAACTCAACACGGACACGCAAAGAGCCATCAAGATCGTGGCGCCAGGACGCATTGCTGCGGTAGATGGCGTCTCAATACCTGCCATTGGAAGCGACGAGGTTTTGGTCGAGGTGAAGGCTGTTGCTATCAACCCATTCGATGGCAAATCGGCGGAACTATCACCCACGCACATGGCTACTGTCGGCTGTGACTACTCGGGGATTGTCATTGCCGTTGGCAACGACATGGCGAAAGCTGTGAAGGTTGGCGATGGTGTGTGCGGCTTTGTGTTTGGCAATAACCCTTACCGGCAAGACAACGGAGCCTTCGCCCAGTTCGTTGCGGCGCCTGCGGATCTGGTCATGTGCATTCCGGCGGCGATGGAGTTCGAAGCGGCGGCAACGCTCGGAGTGGGAATGGCCACGGCTGGACTGGTACTGTATGGAGAACTCGGCCTACCTATGCCCATGCCAATGCCCATGCCCATCGGTGGTGCAGCTGGAGGCCAGTCTGAGAGCAGAGGCTATGCGTTAGTCAGCGGGGGCAGCACTGCTACCGGAACGCTGCTGATACAGTTGCTTCGCCTGTAAGTGCCCGTGCCCCACGAATCGCAATATTGGAAATCTACCTGGTACCTTTGTACTAGGAGCTACCTCCTACATCCATATGGATAATGGAGCTGACAAGGTGACACTAGCTCCGGATTTGCAGTCGTCTGTACCTGCTCGCCGCACCATTTCGCCCAGGTGAAGCGTCTCGGGGCAGTGGAAGCATTCGACTACCGATCACAACTCTGCGGCAACGAGATACGGACCTTTACCAGCAACCAGCTTGCATATGCCATTGACTGCGTAACAACCACAGCCTCCATGCAGGCGTGCTACGAGGCCCTTGGCACGGCGGGAGGACGCTATGTCAGCCTGGATCCCTTCCCATTACGAAGCCATTCCCGTCGCAGCGTCCGGCCGTCGTGGGTGCTGGCGTTGACTCTGTTCGGCCAAGCGATTCCGTGGACGCGGCCATACAAGCGGCCGGGCCGAGTGAAGGATCGGCAGTTCGGGCGGGAGTGGATGAAGGTGGCCGAGGGCCTCCTGGCAGCAGGACACGTGACGCCGCATCCGCATCGGAGTATGAGCGGCGGACTGGCGAGCGTGGCCGAAGGGGTCGAGGCGGTGCGGCGGGGAAAGGTCCCGGGAGTGAAGCTGGTGTATCGCGTAGAGTGAGGTAACTCAGTAACTGTATAATACCATACGGTGCTTAGGCTCGTTACCGATACGGCGAATTACGCGAGTATGGTAATCAAGCATAATCTACGCTATATGCCAAGCCATGCTAGCCCTACACCAGAAAACGAGCCAACTCCGTGCTTCTCCTCTATCCCTTTCTTTGTCTATAGTACCTTGTAGTAGTATAGGGAGGATGTCAACGGAAAACAAGTCCGAGTTGCCCGTCGTCGCCGTTCAGCCCGCTAGTTGCTAGGAGAGCATCTGAGCAGTCCCTGAGGGCTCATATGCCATGGATCGACAACTACTTAGACCATGGCCGTGCCTGGCTTGCTGGCGATGACCTCGCCGCAACCACAGCCACGACGCCGTACACGATGCTCCACGAACCCGAACTGGAACATGAAGTGCTGCCATCAGGCACGGTCCTCATTGCCGGTGGTGGCCCCGTAGGTCTGACGCTGGCCACGGCGCTGGCCTGTTATGGCGTTCCCAGCGTTGTGCTCGAGCGTGGCCTGACGACCACTCGATGGCCCAAGATGGACCTGACCACAGCGCGCTCCCTCGAAATTTTCCGCTCGCTCGGTCTGGCCGAGGGACTGCGGCAGCGCGGCGTGGCCCCTGACAAGTCCTTTGCCTGCCTGTTCTCCACCGGCCTGCACGCCGACCAAGCCATTACTAAATGGGCACTCCCGAGCGTCCAGCAGATGCGTACGGAGATTGCTGCGTGCAACGATGGCAGCATGCCTTCTGAACCCTGGCAGCGTATCTCGCAGGAAGTCTTCGAGGCCTGGCTGAAAGAAGTCTGCGTGGCAAATCCAATGATTGACTTCCGCGCCGGCTGCGAGGTCCAGGCGGCTCGCGAAGACGAGCATCGTACGCACATTACTTATGTCAATGCGGTTACTGGCATCAAGACATGCATAGAAAGTGAATATGCCGTAGGCTGTGATGGTGCCAATAGCGTGCTACGGAACAGCATGGCCATCGAGCTGGAGGGTGGCTCACTGTAAGCATCTCTTCTAGCTCACTCGTCTGTGTGCACGCCTGTGTCCATACTAAGTAAGCTGTTCATAGACCAGGAAAGGCGCTCCTGGTGCACTTCAAGTCCAGGGATCTCTCGAAGCTACACGCTCAAGGCCAGTTTTGGCATATCTTCTTTCCCAATGAAGCTGTCGAGGGAGGCTCTATCAAAGGTGCCATCATTGCCCAAGACGAGATGGATACGTGGACAATACATTGCTTCTTGCCTCCCAACTTCGACGAGAAGCAGCTCTCGTCTGAGCAAGCCATTTACCGTGTGCTCGGTGGTATGGGTCCACCACTGAGCATCCAAGTGGACCAGATTCTGGTTCGTTCGACCTGGACTCCGAGCGCAGCCATTGCCACTACATACGTTTCGCCACACGGCAGAATACTCCTGGCCGGCGATGCCTGCCACCAATTCCTACCCACAGGAGGTTACGGCATGAACACTGGCATTGCCGATGCGTATGATCTGAGTTGGAAGCTCGCTGCCACTGTCCAGAAGTGGGGTGGGCCGGAGTTGTTACGATCCTACAACGACGAACGTCGCCCCGTGGGGATGCTAGGTTTGCACTGGTCCAAGATGCATATGAGCAACCTTGGTGCTCTCTCCAAAGCCATTGAGCTCGACGCAAAGACCATTGCTTCGAAAACCGAGGCGGGACAGCAGATGCGAAATGATATGCATGACTACATCCAAACGCACGATGGGCACAACAAAAGCATGGGAGTGGAGATGGGCTACTGTTACCGCTCCTCCATCTGTATACCACATCCAGCAGAGGCTCCTCCTCCAGAGTTCAACCCTCGGAGATACACCCCGACGACTTATCCTGGACACCGTGCGCCGCATGTCTTCTTGAGTAATGGGAAATCCATCTTTGACGAATTTGGCAAAAACTTTACTCTAGTCTCGTTCTCCGATGACCTCACCACCACCGAGGAAAATTTCTGCTCTGCCGCAAAGCAACGGTGTGTGCCGTTCCAAGTGGCTCGACTGTCACATGAAAAGCACGCGCGGAGCGTATGGGACGCTGAACTGGTTCTAGTGCGGCCTGATGGATTTGTGGCATGGCGCAGTAATAATCATCACCCTATTGGAACGCAGAGCGAGGCAAATGACATTTTGGCCAAAGTTACAGGATTCATATAGTGAAAGACCCATCACCGATGTCTTTTTTTGTTCATTATTTCGCAAAAATACCTAAACGTTCTCCGCAATGCACACTACCCACTTCTTCTCATTCTTTCATCGCGCGCTTTGCAATCAAGGGGCTCTCTTTATTGACCGACGCAAAATTATTCGCATCGAGGCAGGCTTGCCGAGATTTCAATACTGCGGGAAAGGTACGAGTGATCATCTCTTCTTCGTACGACTTGACGGCTTGTGCGAGGTCGCAACTACGCGTTGGCTGCATCGTCTCTGTATTGGCGGTGGTGGGGAAACAAGTTTTGATCAAATGTGAGACATCAATCACTCCATGATTGGCAGCTTCGCCTCGGACTGTAAGTCTCTCCCCGCCATTCCAACGCGAGAAATCGTTAGCGATACTGGACGTCTTCTCGTAGTAGTAGAGAAGAGAAATGAAATGATCAATGGCAATAATCTGACTTACACATAGTCATACAGTGCGCCGCATCTCCCACCAACGTGACTCTGCCATTATGGTTATCCCAGCGACCTTGCACAGGAGGCCAATCCTCCAGCACAATCTCGCGAAGCTCCGTCGTTTCGGGAATACTATAGACCAAATCTCGAAAAGTCTCGTTCCAATTCGTAGCCAACTGACGAATCCGCTCACGTCGAGCCGTTTGTGTCTCAGGCATTTCATCCGCAGCTTCGCCAGAATAAGGCCAACTAACCATCATCTGGCACGTCGCATATTCTTCTTCTTCTCCTTTTCCTTCCACGTCCACAGCGCGCGGCAAATGAATAAACGAAAACCAGAAATAGACATTCGATAACGGATCGCCACCTTGAAAAAAATGTGGATCAATTGCAAGACATTTTGCGACTTTTGCGAGTGGGAATTTTACACGAAGGCCTAGGAGACGAACGGGAAGTCGATTGTTTTGCCAGGTTGTTGCGCAGAGAGTTCTTCGAACGGCAGATCTTGCACCGTCGCAGCCGATTACGAGATTTCCTTGGGCTTGGCTGCCGTCTGCGAAGGTGGCGGTTACGGAAGATGGATGCGAGAAGTCGAGGGAGGTGAGGTGTTTGGACCACTGGGTTGGTGGGAAGAGTTAGTTGGGTGGATAGATGGATGTATGCTACTGGAATCGACGGGACTCTGGAATTACGTCCTCTTCCTGGAAATAAAAAGAAAAGAAAAAACAAAAAGAAAAGAAAAGAAAAAACTCACCCTAACATCAACCCCCCTCATCAACAACTCCAAAATCCTCTCCCTCGAAACCCTCGAAGCCGCCCCCCTCGGAATCGGCCACGCCTCCACTCTCTCGCCCGTACATAAATTCAAAAACTGAAAATTCCCCGCTTGTCCAGCTGCAGCAGCATCTCGATTAACCAAACACGACTCGAAATTTTGCATGATTTCATCCGGAAGCAAATTTTGTAAATCTGTTAGTGCCCAGTGGATGGTGAGACTCCATCCTCCGCCGCGGAAGAAGGCGCGGGGGTCGCGTTCGAAGATTTCGTAGGTTATAAGGGGGGGAGGAGGGGTGGTGGTGTTGGTGTTGTTGCTGTTGAGGGATGCGAGATGTTGGAGTTTGCGAAGGGCTTGGGCGAGGATGAGTCCGGTGAGTCCTGCTCCTATGATGAGGATGTGGATGTGTTTTTGTTCTTTTTGAGGCTGTTGCGCTGTTGGGGCACCCATGGCGTTGTTGGTGAAGAATGAATAAAGGTACCTAAGGTAGGTTAGGGTGATGAGTGAGTAGTGGGTTGCACATTTTCGAAACGAACTTCATGTTTTGATATACTTGCTGGAGATCAACAGTGCGGCAATCGTGGGCTATTGTGCGGGCTCCGTGGAAAGCCGCACCGAGAGTTGGCGGAGTGGACACGCGCTCCGGCGGCTTTTCTGGAGATGTCGGAACTACCCAGTACTTACCTATTGAAGATATAGGGAAGACTTCCGAAAGGCAGAAATAAAGACAAAAACATGATGAGGCGATGGTGCTCTTTTCGCAATGGCATTGATCTATTTGAACAGACACACCACCAAGAGAGACTTGACGAGTTGCCACTGTTGCGAAAAAGAAAAAAAAGCAAGAATTCCCCTTCATCCCAAACGTGTGCCTACCTATCATCACTTCTACGATGTACTCACATAAGCACAACAAGACCCAAAGTAGCCAGCAGCGACGCAACCACAGCAGTCCAACCGGTCCTCGCCACCGTCCGATTATTAACACCAATCGTCATATCCCACGACAAATACCGCAAACCATTAAACGAATGAAACACCAACGGCCAAGCCAGCGTAAACTTGGTCAGCATTTGAATCGCAACCGGCCATGCGCCAAACGCTGCCGCAAGAGTCGCAGAAGACATATCCAGACCGAGGTAGGGCGCGGTTAAATATAATGTCCCGAAGAGATAGAAGCACCCACTCATGGCTACACCGGTGATTCGCGTGAGAGTCGAAGGGATGGATGTGATTTGCCATTTGTAAATGCTGAGATGAGGAGCTAGGGGGCGACGGAGTCGTTGCTGGATGAGGATTTCGTTGGGGTTCTTTTGTAATGTGATTTCTGGGGTTGTTGTCGTTGTCGTCGTCGTCGTCGTCTTGGTGTTTTGATGACTAGTCGAGCACAACACAAGTCAGCGAGAAGAGAGGATGCAGATAGGAAGATGACAGATAGAAAATGCGTGTACCGAAGACCGATTCCTACGATTGTCGGACGTGAGAATGCGGCGAAGAGAATTGTGGAAGAAGGCTTGGCCGCTACTCGAGGTGCGAGACCACAGAGTCCGTCTGTGTATGGTTGTCAGTTGACATACTGCCCTACGATCGGAAGATACGCACGAGTTGAAATCATCCTGAGGGGCGACATGAGGTCTCAATCGCAGCTTTCTCAGCGATGAACAATCGTACACAAAGAGATGTGGTGTGTGGTGTTGTAGGAATCAAGCGGACAGTGCCAGGACAAGAGACATTTCGAGGTTGAAGGAATAGCACTAGCAGGGAAATAGACGCCTCTCTTGTGGCTCTCAAGGGGTTGACAAGTGGCACACAGACACTGGCCCTCATTACTGTTTGTGGAGAGTGGAGACCGGGAATAATTCCTTTGACCGGCTGATCCAATCATTCAATCATTCAATCAATGCATTCAATTCATTTGTTGTGGTTCCCACTAGAGGGATAAAGGAATGCAGTAAGTGATATCATCCTGCCATGTTACCCCCCCTTTTTTTTCTCTTCCGCAAAACTCCAAGACTTGCGAAAGAATACACCACATACCAAAACAGAGATCGTCGGAATACACATGGGAATAGGGCCTCGCAATAAATTGCTTGCAATATGATGTGTAGTGTGTAGTGAGGAGTGGACATGTCGAGACGCCCGGGCCGTCGACGGAGCGGGAAATTCCAGCGGGGCCGCAACCCGAGACCGAGCGGAGCGGGAAATTCTCCACATCAGCGGGATATTATCTAAGCATCTCCGTCCGTACTTTAGTCAGTCCACACCTCACTCTGTACGGCCGGCCGGGGGCGCGATGATCCTTCCGCCCCGACACGGACGTGGTGTGAATGGACGACGCATCGGAGGACATGGCAGCTGTGTTGCTATTGTCCGTTCGGCGGCGGCGGCGACGGCGTCGTCTTGCGTACTCTCAGATGGTCAGGCTACAGTGTGTGCTATGGACTTGAGAGCGCTGGAGGAATGGGGAAAGGGGAAAGGGGAGAAAGGGGGGAAGAGGACCTTGTGAAAGACGAACAAACTACTGTCTCACAGAGCAGCAACTACACTCGCACGCGGCGGGCACAGAAGATTGATTGGCAGCAATGATCATGTCGGCGAATCATCATCATCATCATGAAGTTCCCCGAAACGACAAGTACAGAGCACTATGGACGCGAAACCAGGGAGTTGCTCGAATGCTGTTGGCGCAATTGATCTCATCCTTTATGGCTGTAGCTGCGAAACTTCTCCAAACGCCCCAAGTTATCGTTCAGCCGCTGGAATCACGACAAGTACGCACCCTTCTAAAAAAAATAAGACCATGTAGACCCCTGCTTGTTGCAGTGATGTTGTTGCAGTGATGAGGTTCCTCTGACAATCCCGTATAGATTATTCTCATGATGATGAGTATTGCGTTGGTTTGGGATTGGATCTGGATGTTCTGCACACGAGTCCCCGAGGCACCAATGGGTCCGAAGAAAGCCTGGTCGTTGTTGACGATTCGAGGTATTGCTGGAGTATTGGGCAGTGAGTTTCTCTAGATTTCTTTTTCTTTTTTTTTTTCCTGTAACTAAGACACCATGGGTACAAGAAAGCATGTTGTTGACGAATATATATATTTCCCTGTCTCCCACAGTTTGGGGATTTTATTATTCACTTTCCGTCCTCCCAATCTCTGAAGCGACCGTCATCAATTTCCTCGCTCCCTTGATTGCAGCTTTGGCTTCAGGCTGCTTGGGCAGAATACGACCATCATTATCACACTTGGTAGCCGTCACAGTATCTGTCAGTGGAATGATTCTCGTTTCACAGCCCTGGAATGCATCAAACGAGGTCCTCCCACCAAAACCCCTCAGTCCCCCAGCCTTCCCTCGCCGCCTGCTCGCTACTCTCGCAGCGCTCGTAGGAGCAATAGGAGGTGCAATCGGATACCTGGCTCTATCACTGATCGGCAACACGGCACATGCCACCATCACAGTCCATCACTTCGCCCTCTGGACAGTCGTAGGAACGTCTTTGAGCTATTTTCTCACCGGAACGGAAACTCTCCACTTCCCCAGTCTAGCTGCATGGCTTCTATTGGCTTTCTTGGGAACTTTCGCTCTCCTCTTACACGTGCTTGTCGCTGCGAGCTTGCAAGCTGAAGATTGTACTCGAGCTTTGAATATGGTGTACATTCAGATCATATTTGCGGGCCTTATGGATAAAGTTTTCTGGAATCATACTCCGAACGCGACTAGTCTCTTGGGAATGGCTCTGATTTTGGGAAGTGTCATTGCTGTTGCGGTCGTGAATGATCAGGGAGCCTCGGATAGAGGTGGTGGTGCGCAGAGCTTTGGGGGCTGTGAGTTGGAAAGTGGATGGCATTTGGCATCTCTGGCCGTGGAGACGAGTGAAATGCACACGTTGCCGTTGGATATGGATATACATTAGAGCATTTGTATATAGATAGTATGTTATCTCTGCTTTTCTTTGATGACATTCGTCGACTCGATTATTTCTATCTATCTCTCTCTCTCTGTCTCTCTCTCTCTCTGTCTCTCTCTCTCTCTGTCTCTCTCTCTCTCTGTCTCTCTCTCTCTCTGTCTCTCTCTCTCTATCTCTCTTTCCACATACAGTGCAGGGCATTGCAAGTTGTAATGTTTCGAAACGATGAGGGGATATCATGTGCCCTTCTGGCGTCACACACACACAGACACACAGACACAGACACATATACGGGGAACTGGAGAGTGACAAAGAGCAGAAATCCCGATATGTGAATAATAACACCTAATATCATTTCTCATCAAAAGCATTTACACGTCCAATCTAAATTCTGCAAAACCATCGCCGAAGTACTCTGGTCAGTACTCTTCTTTCTCATGTGTATATCCAAGAATATCTTGAATCAACATTTCCCTCTCTCTCTCTCTCCCACACACACCCTCTCTCCCTCCCTCCCCCGGTCTGAACAAGCCCATTCCTCCATAGAAGAGACTCTTCTAAATTTCACATAGCAGCCGGATTCCGCTGATTCTCATACCCATCAAACGGCACCCCAACAGCAGGATACGGCGGCGGCGGCTTCTCCGGCACCCAATCATCCGGTTGATTATAAAACTTCCTAACAGCAGGCAACCACTTGCTATCAGCAGGACAAAACTTTAACGCATGAGGATATCCTCGTTCCTCTTTGAGTTCGTGCGTAATAAGTTCATTATAACTGAAACAAGCCGAATGCTCGCGACCCCATTGCTCGAGTTTGCTGAAATCTTTGCATTGGCGCCATTGGCCGATGCCCGTGTGCGCGCTGTCTTTGGCGTCGACGGGGATGAAACGGGGCGTGTCGTCGGCGGAGCAAATGAGATCTTGCCGTATGTTGTCGAGGCAGTGGATTAGGTGTTCGGTGGGATAGCTCTGTTTGACGCCGTGGCGGTATTCCAGGTTGGAGCGGTGGAGGGATTTGAGGCAGTGGAGACTGTGCATGGTGGTGATCATGTAGGCGCTGTGAGTCGGGTCCCAGGGGAAATCTGCGGAGAGAGGAAGGCCTTTTTCGCGCGCATCTTCCTTGTCGAGAGCGACGACGATATAATCAATGTCCATGTTGACCCAGGCCCGGTCGGCCTCGGTCATGTTGGGCTGGGAGTATATTGTGTGGTCTTGCCACGTGCGCGGGTGTGTATTTTCCAGTTGAGCTAGAGGGTATGCATGTCAGTGTGGTGCGCACGATCCGGGCTTGATCATCGGTCTGCAGGATGGGCTTACCGATGGGAGAGGCACAAGTGGTGGAAGTGGTGGCCCGATGTGGTTTCATCCATATCGTCGTCCCGAGGACGGCGTTGGCGACCAGTGATGCGGCCAAGAGACAGCCTCCGATGGCGACCGAGCGATCTGACAGCTTGTGTGGTGGCTTGCTGTGGGCATGTGCGAGAGACTCATGGGACGAAAGCTCATCGCTGTAGCGCTCATCGTGATTCTCCTTGAGCAAGCGGTATTTCTCGGCTCCGGAAGGGGCCATGTCGATTGAGTATGACTGAGAATGGAGGTAGATAGATGTGATGTGAATTGCTTCGGTACGAGTGACAGCCTCGACATATGTATATGGAGATGGAGGACGGGCCCATATAGCTCGTGGGTCGAATTTCCCGCTCTCGTTGCGAGCTTGTCCGTGAAGAATCTCCGTCCATCCCTGAGCCCGCCGAAAGCGACACTGTCCGTCCGGACATTCCCAGCCGAGCAGATCGCGGCCCTCGCTATGCCGATAGTGAGAAGGGATCAACGCTGTGAGGATTCGCCCTGCATTCTTTACATAAGAAAGGACGGGCTGGAGACAACCAAGACCAAGCAGCAAAGATGAGTTTGAAAGATCTCGCCGACCGCGTCGACAGCGTGCTCAACGACCAAGGCTCCACTACTTGGACCGTCGACGATGAGAGTGAGCGCAAGCGTATGCTCGCATTGTGTGAGAGGCTGCGAGACCGCCTCGAGTTGCCGTTTGAAAAGACGCTCCGGATCCTGTTCGCAGCAAGTTCTGGCGCCTATACATGTTGGAAGTACCTGATCACTAACTCTCATATCTACAGGGTCACCAGACAATGGGACTGAGGCTGGCAGTCGATATGAAAGTTTTCGATGCGGCCGCACACCTGAGCGCCCAAGGCGAGCCAGTATCTCTGGCCAGCCTGGCGAGTGAAACCGGAGTTGATGGACTCCTACTTCGTAAGTGGTGCTCTGCATAGCTCAGCCACCATGTAGCAGGATACCAATACTTTCCTAGGACGCATCATGCGCATGCTCGTTGCTATGCGCTTGTTCGAAGAGCCCGCCGCGGAATCGTACGTGCCGCTTGCAATGGCGTCTGCCTACCTGTCCCAGTCTCCGCTGTCTGCCGTCACTATTCACGTGTAAGTGGACAAAGTGCAATCATCTCGTCATGGAGGGAGGGAACTGATTCTGCCATGTCACAGGTCGCATTTCTATACCATTCTTGCTCAATTACCCGAGTACTTTGCAGAGAAAGGCTGGAAGAACCCCAATGATGTGTACGACGGGCCTTTCCAGTACGCCATGCATACCAAGGAGCATTACTTCAACTTCTTGGCCAGCAAGCCATACTATCAAGAAGCTTTCAACACCGTCATGACACTCTCCCATCGTCGGCGTGGCCAGAATTGGTTCAGTTTCTTTCCGGTGGAGGAGAAATTACAGGTGCATGATCTATCCCGGGTGGTGATGGTCGACGTCGGAGGGAGTCAAGGGGGTGACATTACAGCTTTCCACGACGCCTTTCCCGCACTCGTCGGGAAACTAGTGCTCCAGGATCTTCCAGGCGTTATTGAAGGCTGCAAGCAGCTTCCGGACGGCATTGAAGCGATGGGATACGATTTCTTCGATCCGCAGCCTGTGAAGGGCGCAAAGGCCTACTATCTACGCACTGTCTTACACGACTGGCCCAACAAACAAGCAGTTCAGATCCTCAAGAGAGTGCGAGAGGCAATGGCACCCGACTCCCTTCTGCTTATTAACGAGACAATTCTACCCGACTGCAACGTCGCTCTGTCATCTGCACAGGCCGATTTAACGATGATGGTCTCCTTTGCGTCACTGGAGCGAACGCAAGAGCAGTTTGAGGAGATCTTGGAGGATGCAGGGTTCGAGTTGTCGCGCGTCTGGGTTCCTCAGGGGTTCGAGTCGAATGCTGCAGCGTTGGCAGAGCAAGCCACTCTTTTAGAGGCACGGCTAAAGCAATAGCCCCCGTGCTGTGTGTGTTGATGCTGTCGTGGCATGGCAGTCGCACCGTGAGCAAGTAGTTACGTACTTTGGTATGCTGAATCGTTCAGTAAGCTCCCGTCTTCGCCTCCCCACCATGAGGCGGAAGTGATAGTGAGATCAAGCGGATCCTGGCTGGCCCACCAGTCCTCATTGAGAGCATTTGAGTCATGTGATATGCCTGGCTCGGTGGCCTCGACGGCCATGCTCGATTGAGTGGCGGTGCGTCGTCTCGCCGCCGCGCATTGCAATGTATGCAGACATTCTTTCAGACTTTGTACTGCCCCCTCTGCGACAAGTACTTGAGGCTCGGATCTGCTCTTGAGCGCGCGTATGTGTGCTAGTGCACAGGAGAGAATTACATGAGAAGCGACGTCTGTCGTTCCGTTGTCGAGCCGGCGTGCGCACAGGTCAATACTTTGCTGAACTGCTTCCAACACCACCGCAGAGTCGAAGAGAGAGTTGGACAGGAAAGATCCTTCCGTGAAGCTGCTCAACATCTCCATACAGATCAGTGCCGTACTTTGAAGGTGCACTCGCTCAAATAAGCCAGAAGCGTGCACCAGCAGGGCATCATATAGAGTGCGGGTAGGCCCAGCGGAACGCTGTGTTGACGGGGGCAAGCGTCTGGATGGTAGTGCCCATGCTGCTTCAAAGCATATCTTGCGCGAAAAGTAGAACTTGGGATTGGCCCGTGCCAGGTATGCGAAAGGGCTATGGAGCGCCATGAGCGGCCCCAATGTGAGAGCATCCAATAAACTCATCTGAAATCTCGTGCTCATATCACTGTGACCTGCACAAGGTTGAGAGGACAGGTCTTCAAGCATCCTCACATTCGCACGGTATTGGTCCATGAGTTCGCCGCCCAGCTGCAAGATGGTGTCGTACGATTCAATCGAGCTGAAGCCATAAAGATGATGCAGGATCCTGAGTCGTACGGTTGCCGTTCTCGCGAGGAGAATCTGAACAGTTGCGTCCGTCTTGTTGGAGGAGTTAAGCGGCTTCGGGGCAGAGTGCGAGATCTCGACATCGTCAATATTTGAGGGCAAATCGATTTGCAAGTCGGCGGGGAGTAGCGATGGAGGGAGCCCGGCGTCAAGACTAGACTGGATAGATAGTTCAACTATAGTGCACCACAGCTTCTTCCGTAACTGCACATCTGTTTCTGAGAGCGAGGAACCACAGTCTGGTCGTTGTGGTCGGTGCAGATCCAGACGCATCGCGGCGCGGACCAGAGCGTCGATCGAAATTGAGATCGTGCTCAAGCCCAGACCAGTAGTCTGCTGCGCAAGGAGTATGAGACAATACGTCTGCAGAGTCGCCAGTGTGATGTTGGGTCCTTCACAGTTCGACATGACCCATTTCTGAGCATCGAGAATCGACTTGATTGCGTACGGGCGTAGTGAGCTTTTCGAATCGCCGGCACTGGTCTGTATGCATGCTCCGATGGCGGTCACGACCGAAAGGGTGTACTGAAAATCACGGTTGGCTGAGCTTTGCGATGCGGCTCTGTGTTGCTGGTATTGATGTTGAAAAGTAGGTATGTGAAGCACTCGGAAGACTCCCTCAAATGAGGAGAGGTACAATTTCACGAGCTCGTCACATACTAGTCGCGATGGACAGTCCCGCCACGAGTCCCAGGTGTATGACTGATATAGCTCGCGCCGCAACCTTTCTTCGCTCTGGGCGAGGCGAGCACACTGCTTCTGGAGCTCCTCGACCTCGGTGGTAGAGCCAGCTCCACTGACCGCATTACAGACTTTGGATGCAAGACTAGCTTTGGCAAGCTACGTGATGATGTTAGGACGAGCGTCTGGTGTCCAGGAGTGCAGAGAGACTTGCCTGGCAGAGGACCGCTTTCCAGTACTGGGGTCTATCTTGACCATCATTCATGCTGATCAACCGCTCATGCGGACTGAGCGAGGAGTCAGAGCGCGAAGCTACAGACCCTTGTCCAAGGGTGATGCTCTTTGGAGCTGCATCGCGCGCGTGAATGACAGGAGGAAGTGCCGCACTGGCCCGGGCGTGAGCATTGCCCGTGTCGTTATCATTACTAGCGTCCTCGTACGTGTGTGGAGAGCAGGCCAGGTTGAGAGTTGGCGATATTGTGGGAGTCGTTGTACCCGTTTCCGCCCGTTCGAGCCCAGTATTCGTGCCCATAGCCGGCAACCTGGATACAGAAGACACGGACCTTGCGGTATATGAGCAGAGCAAGTTGGACTGGGAGCACCGAAGGCAGGGGTGTCCGCGATCACACTTGACCTTCCGCCTTCGACACTCTATACAAGCTACCGCCGGCCTGCGCAGTCTCACAGGCTCCATTGTCGTCGTTCCCAGCTGCGCCATGTGAGGGCCAAATAGTGGTGGTGGGATGGCCCCCAATGGTTTTATATGTCAAGTATCTTGTCCGGTCGAATCCTTCCTCCTTCTGCCTCCGCATCGCCCTATCATACTCGTCTGATCCGATAGTAGTACAGAAGCTTCACGCGTCGGAGCTGAACAGCTAGTCCTCCAGCAGGCACTACAGCCATATGCAATCCTTCTGTACAAAATCTGCCATTGGGTGGGATATGGCCGTGCACTCCGTCTGCAGCCAGCCAGTAACAATCAGCAGTAGAATGGGGATGCGAAGATAGGAAGATTCAGCAGCACTGGATGTGTCGCCGGTGCTGTCGAGAACTCGAGGATACACGTGAACGGTGAGCCTGGATATGTGGATCGTTGAGATTATTCATTATACCGGTTACGCAGAGTTTTTGGTGTGGGCCTTGGCAACCAACATTTCCTGTTTCATATATATATACGCACACGTGTAACGTGTCTCCGATGAAGCTTACGCCAGATCTTCGCCCGTCCGTCCGCCCCGCCCACCAACACGCTCGCACGCACAATGAAGACTAACTAGAGAGGCAGCACGTTAACAAGGACCAGAGCAGTACTTATGGTGCAGTACCTCCTAGACTTATCAAAGCGTTGCTCGAACAGATCCTAAGCCCCCTAGGCCAGGAGAGACCGAGCCCGACGAAAGTGAAGAACACCGAAGTGAAGGCAAACGAAGTGAAGAGGGTGCTCACGCCTCCTATATGGGAACCTTTCCTCTCCCCTCTCCCCTTCCCCCTCCCCTTTCTGCTCAACATACTCCGTGCGCTCTTGTTTGTTCATGGGCATCGAGGGATCGAGCCCCCTGTCTGTATTTGCTTCTTCACCACGTCATGCTCCACAATCCACATTCGATGCCGCGTCAAATATGCTTCTTTGGGCCTTCAGCATGGCCCTCCAAACGCGCGCAGGATCTAGGTGCAGGTTGCCGCTCTTGTAGCCCGGGCAATGGCATTGCTTATTATAGGTCCGGGTCGAGATCTGGACTCTGCTCGTGCTCTGAGCCTGAAGGTGGGGGTGTCTGATGATTCCGATACTATGTAACTGTCCAGTAATATATATACTGGTATAGTGGATCCCTACTCTGGTGGAACACCTTCCTATAGTGCGACGGTGCAAGAGAGGCATTATGCACGGTTCGACTGTGCCTGGGTAATACCGTTCTCGCCGCTCTCTAGGAGAGTAGTGAGTACTAGTAGAGCGGCACCCACCCAAGTGAAGAGCGTGTAAGCGGAGAGCCAGATGCACCAACGGTGTTGCGGTGTTGTCCTCCTCCTCCTCCCCCTCCTCCTCCTCCTACTACTACTACTATCACTACTATCACTACTACTCAACAGCGTCTTCACTCATAGCGTGGACGGGACGATCCCATCCTGAAGACTGCCCACACTGCCAGGCTCAGTGTCTGGCTTGGCGCTCCTGATGACCACGCTGCTACGGCCATTCGGAGGGACTTCCAGTCACCTTGGGCGCGTAATACAATATGAAACCTTTACCGCTGCAGAAGTAAGACAGACCGTTGCAACAGCTGATCAAGAGTAGGCAAGGTAGGTAAGCAGCTGTACAGCGTATAGTCAAACTCCCTGCAAAAGGACGCTTCCACCTACCTGATGCAGCTACTCTTTATTGTTTGGACAGAAGGACATAGGTGCCCTGGCATTATGTAACATAAGTTATATAAGATAACAGGGGCCACTGATTCCTTAGCATATATATATAGAGTTAGGGATACCTACCCCCCTCTTTTCTCTTCTTAAGAGGTCAGACCTCGGACCTTAATTAATCTACTTATTAATTAGTATTCTATTAATCTTCTTAATTAGGCACTAGTATAGTATATAGTTCTAATAGTTATAAGCCCGGCTTGCTCTATTTAACCTAATCAAGTACCTAAGATTAGCTAAAATCCGCTATATTAAGAAAAACCCGAGGACCGTATACTATTACTTTATACCTGCCTAAACCCGTTTATCTAGAAGAAGAGAAGAAAGCCCGAGCCTATTAGATTAGCTTACAATCGACCGATCCCCGAGTCCTAAGTTTTAAGAGGTTAAAGAAATACCTAGTAGCTCGTATCCTAGGTATTAAGAGTAGTTTAACGAATTCAACGAAGATACTATAGCTAATTCTCCTAAACCCTTATTATTAACGACAACGTCGATTGCTAAGCTACGTACCTAGTAGGACTAGAATATATAGATTATCTATATTAAGAGGGAGGTAGTAAAGCTCTAGATATAGGCTGATATTAACCTAGAGATAGCTAAGCTAGATCTAGAAAACCTAATATAGCTTAAAGGACAACCTGTCTTTAACTTTGCGTCTCTACCTACTAATATTACCCTAATAGCTCTTAGTCTAGCTTAATTTAAGTATAGGTATAATAAGGATATATAGGAACTTAAGCAAAGGGGGTATTAGAAGATTGAATCAATTATTAACTAGTCTCTCTCTATAGACCTTTAATATAGAGTAATCAATTATAAGACAATTAGGCAGATACTTAAGATTCTCTTAGAATATACTAAACCTAATACCCTTACTACTACTTAGTTATTAAAGAAAGAGTTAGAAACCCTTTCTTACCTACTATATAGAAAGTCTATTTATAACTATATATACCTTTAGTTCGTTTAGTATAGAAAGAGAGATACTATTAGTAAGCAAGTAGACAATGAATCTACCTAGGCATAGTTGTCTTCTATAGCTCTAATATATAGAGACTATATAGCTATAAGGATAGGCAGGCTACTTAATAAGTAAAATAATAGGGAGGTAATATCTCTCTATTTAGAATTAAGAGCCTAGTAGTCCTACTTTTAGTATAATAGTAATACTAAATTTAAGAGCAAGTATAGAACTACTATTACTAGTATCTTATCTACTACTATAGCCGAATCTTTGTCCTTAACTCGATTATCCTCCTCTTCAAGAAAGCCCTACCTCTATAGTAGGAACTATATATAGAAGGAATACTATTACCTTAATACCGAGTATCCGAGGCCTAAGGTATAGAAGCTAAGAGATAATACTAAGAGGAAGATTAAGAAGAGATTTAAAGAAGACAAGGGCTTAAAGGAAAGAGTAGACAAAGCGATTTAAGCTTATAATACCGCTTAAGGTTAAGGGTCGAGGGACAAAGATACTAAGAACAAGTTAGATATAGCCGTAGAGGTCGAGGACACTACTGCTACTACTACCCTAGAATCGACCTTAACCTCTAAGGTATCTATTAGTTTAATTAGCTACTATACCCGCCTTTACAACGCTGTAATTCTAGATAGTAGTACTAATATTTATATTATTAACGAGGCTATAAGGGTAAGGATCGTTAAGTCCGAGTTACTAACCTCCTCTAATATAGTAATCTCTAGGGACAAGAGATACTAACCTAAGGCAATTGTAGATACTACTATTAATCTTAATATAGGTAATAGAGTTACTAGGAAGCTTACTCTTCTTAAGGTAAGGCTTATTCCGGGATTCTTTATAAGTTTGGTCTTACTACAGATCCTTAATAAGAAGGGTATTTACTATAATACTAGAAACTAGCTAGATAGGTTGATTACTAGCTAATTATATAAGGAGCCTAGGCTCTAGGTATACCTTACCCCTAAACATAGTAATAGATATAGTTACTAGATTATTGAACGGTTGCCTGTACTAAGAAGTGTTACTAAAACTACTAGTTTACTTAGAATTAGTACTAGAATTAAGGAGGTAAAGTCTATATATACCCTATACTCTAAGAATACGGAGAAGTCAACCTTACCTACCTTAACGTTACCTTCTAGAATAGAAGAGGTAACTTAAACTACTACTGCTATATAGTCTAGTTACAAACTACTCCTACCTTTAATAGCAACGGCTAATTAATAGTATTAGTTGCTAGGCTACCTATCTATAAGGGCTATTAAGTACTTAGAACCTATATCTAAGGGTTACTAGATAATTAAGTTAGAAAAAGAGACTCTAAACAGGGTTAATTATAATACCTGCTTACTAGCTAAGGCTAAAGTAGTAATTTCGAGAAGGAAGGACAAGTATAGAGAGGTACTGCCTAAGGTAGAGAATACTAAGATAGCTATCTGTTTATAGGACCTAATTAATATACCCCCTTCTCTCCCTAGACTAAATAGATTAGTCTTCAAGTTTTATAGCTACTAGTACTATAACTAGGAGGGCTATTATATTAGTAAACCTATAGTAACTAAGCTATAAGCAGTTACTAAGTTTAGAGGATATTTCAAAAGGATAGAAGTGTTATTTAATACTAAAACTATTCTAGTTCGCTCTAATATAGAGGCTACTATTAGGAAGGATACTAGAAAGGCTATCTCTAGGTTAGGTATTACTACTTTGCCTACTACTACTAATACCCCTACTTAGAATAGAGTAAGTAAGGTTACTAGAAGAGAGATTGTTACTAAATCTAGGACTCTTAGGATTAATAGCTATTTACCTAAGAACCTTTAGCTATAGCTTATAGATTCAGTAGTATACCTTCTTAATAGGACCCCTACTGCTAAGCTTAATTAGATAACTCTATTTAAGAAAGTTACAACTAAGAAGCCCTTCCTTAGCTATCTCTACCCGATTGGTTATAAGGCCTTTGCTCTCTATAGAGATATTACTAAGAGAGACAAGATAGAGGAGAGAGCTTATATTAGTTACCTAATTAGGTATACCTCTACTAATATTTTCTGGATTTAGATACCTTTACCCCTAAACAAGGTAATTAGGATAAGAGATATAGTATTTAAGGATAATAAGAGGTATAATCCTCTGGATATTAATAGACAAACCTTAGGAGAACTAGTTCCTACTACTATTTACTAGACTGTAATTAACTCTATCTTAATACCTAAGGAATTATTAACCTCTAAGGGTATAGATAACCCCTTTCTAGCTAACAATATTCCGGTCTTTGCTATCTAACCTTAGAGAGGTAGTAAACAGTAGGGAGGTAAGATACTAGAACAGGAACTATTATACCTAATACTACTAGAAACACCCGCTAGAGATAAAGACAATATAGCTACTAACTAAGTTAGTTAGGCCCCGGGGGCCTTACCGGGTATACCCGCTTCTTTATTACCCTCCGCTTTTTCGGTCTCTTATTAGTACCCTACCTTAGATAGGGAGGTAGAAGAGAGTACTTATTAGTATAGTGTAGACAACTATAGACGATAGATCGACTATAGAACTAGACGGTTAGAAGAGTACCTAGATAAGTTAAGTTATACAGCTACTACGTCCCTCTAAGTCTATACTCTATCTACTCTTAAGGATCCTTACTAAGTAACTAGTTTACTATTACCCCCTACTAATTAGAGAGAGATAGAAAGGTATATCTATTATTAGCAATTCAGACAAGCGGTATTTAATAAAGCTAGAAAGCTTATAGGCAAGAGGATATTTAGGGTATTCTTTGGTTATAAAGGCTATAAGGTACTATTAGTCTAGGTATTTGCTTACAAAACAGACCCCTTAACTAGTAAGATTCTTAGATACAAAGCTAGGCTCTGTATCTGTAGGGATCTTCAATTGCTATTAACCTATAAAACCTATACTACTATACTTAGTTATAAGGTATTTAGGGCTATTACTACCCTAGCCTTTACAAGGAATCTGAAAACTAGGTAATAGGATATAGTAAATACCTTCCTAAATGCTACTATCCTATATATAGTATACTGTTCTATCCTAGAAGGAATAGAGGAGTATAGATTTAGACTAGATGCCTACTTTATCCTTAAGAAGGCTCTCTATAGATTAGCTAAGTTACCTCGCTTATAGTATAACCTGTTTATTATAAGAATAGAAGACTATAGCTTTAAGTTAGTTCCTAGAATTGACTGCCTAATAGTGAATATAGACCTTCGTCTGCTTATAGTTTTCTATATAGATAATATTAGGTTAATTTATAAGAGGGATAGGGAGGATTAAGCTATCTTGTTTAACTAGTACCTGCTTTCTAACTTTAAGGTTACTTAGAAAGACCCTAATTTCTTCCTAGGTATAGAGGTAGAGGAATTACCTAATATCCTAACTCTAAGCTAGACTACCTACTTAACGAAAATTAGTATCAAATTTAGTATTTATAAGAGGGCTCGATTTCCGGATACTCTACTTCCTACTAGACTTATACTAGTACCTACTAGTAATACTACTAGACCTAACTTTATTAAAGGATATTAGATAAAGGTTAGTTTAATTAGTTATACAGCTGTTCTAGCAAGGCCTAATATAGCAAAGGTATATACTACTCTTTCTTAATTTCTGAAGAATCTAAGCTAAGCTTATATAGAAGCTGCTAATTACCTAATTGCCTACCTCTATAGTACTAAGGATATAAAGCTATACTTCTATAGAGAAAAGCCTAAGATAGATTATAGAACTGTATATAGATACCTTATTTAGTAATAACCTAGATAGGAAGAGTTTATAGGGATTCTTAATAATAATATATAGTAGTACTATTAATTAGTAAGTAACTAAGCAGAAGACAGTTATTAAATCAACTGCAGAGGCAGAGTTGTTAGTACTCTTATTAATTGCTAGTAATAGATACTAGTAGACTCGACTTTTCTCGGAATTTAACAAGGTATTTCCTCTAGGAAATAAGGAACCTATTAAGGATAGAACTAAGGTTTTCTGTAATAACTAACGTATAGTAGATATCGCTAATTACAAGTATAGCTCTCTTAATACGGCTTTGAGATATATAGATATCTATTAGCACTAGGTAAGGTAGGAAACTATAGTAGGACAATTAACCGTAGAATAGATTAGGACTACTAAGCAACGAGCTAATAGCTTTATAAAGAACCTCCTAAAGGGATTATTCTAGTTATTCCGGACGAGCCTAGGGCTTAGGTAGGTAAGGATATAGATATAGTTAATTATTAGATTAAGATAGACGGTTACTATATCTGTTTTTTCAGCTTTCCTTATATAATTAAGCTAAGGGAGGTATATTTGGATAGAAGGATATAGGTACTCTAACATTATATAATATAAGTTATATAAGATAACAGGGGCCACTGATTCCTTAGTATATATATATAGAGTTAGGGATACCTACCCCCCTCTTTTCTCTTCTTAAGAGGTCAGACCTCGGACCTTAATTAATCCACTTATTGATTAGTATTCTATCAATCTTCTTAATTGGGCACTAGTGTGGTGTATGGTTCCAACATTCATCAAACCCTAGACTTCGACAACGTGTCCATGTTGGTTACACACATCCGGCGATACGTATTCCCAAGGTATCGACCATACTAGCGAGCTCTATCGATGTCGACAGGAAGCTTCTCATACGATACTGCGCTGTCGTGACTCCATGCTCAAAGTTTGGTAGAGAGAGGGGGTTCTATTCCACGTAGGACCTGGTCTTCGGGAGGTCCGGAGACCTTCTTCCAATGCCATGAGGACATCGAGCTGACAACAACTACTGGGTGTCACGAAGTTGCTTCCATCTCCTCCGGCCAGCTAGGTATTATGCCTTTGCATGCGACTGATCGTGTTGGTGCTGATGTAAAAGGACATAGGTTTGGGAACAGGGTGCGGTCCAACTCGGTCGACCAACGACATATATGTTGAGTATCGAAGGACTCTTTGCCTTCACATCTCTTCAACAAACACCTCTTCAACAACAACCTCTCCAACAACCACCTCTCCAACCAACATCTCTTCAACCAACATCTCTTCAACCAACATCTCTCCAAAAGTTCCCCCCAGGCTCAACACACCGCCAACATGCGTTTCACCCACATCATCATCCTCGCTCTGATCGAACTCGCTATAGCTACGCCAACAGCAATTCCGCCTCGGCATCAACGAAAATTTGTTTGTTGCTCAGAGTGTATTCTCGGAGTGAGTGGAATTTGAATAGAAAACCAACTCCCCTCCTACTAACTAATCGACTAACCTATAATTTTCTTTTCCTATCTAGTGCGCCGGTCCTTGCATTCCAAAGGTATAGCCCTGACATACCTACGAACCCTTCTCAGCGTTGAACTATACTAATGGTATTATATGTAGTGTTAAATGTGGCATCGATACGACTTACGGCCTCCGACCGGATAGGGAGAAGTTTTTGGATGAGGAGAAGCTGTTGGATGGGAAGAAGATGTCGGATAAGGAGAAGCTACCAGATACGTAGAATCCGTCAGATGGGAAGAAGTTGTCCGATGGGGAGAAGCTGTCGGATAGGGGGAAGCTGCGTTGAATTTCGACTGAATTACTGTCGGCGCAAACAACATGGCCACTGAAGCTTTACTCATTCAACATGACATGACATACATACGGTCCTTCAATGAATTGCCCAAATATCAGAGGTGGATCACGCGAACCATATTGAACCCCCCCCCCCCCTTTTTTTCCTTTTCTACCTACCGCTTGACCACCGCAAGTTTGATCCCTTCCCCTTTTTTCTGATCATACACATTCGGCAACTGCAACGTCAAAATCGCAATACTATCCTCAATACTCTGATCCAATCTCTTCTCCACCTCCCTCCTATTTTCCACCTCTCCATTCGCGCTCTTACACATCGCCACCGCCTCAATCCGATGTCTCCGTAACAACATCAAAAAAATACTCGTAAATTCCACCTGCGCCATCTTCATACCCGGACAAATTCGTGGACCAGATGACCATGGGCTGAATGTTCCCCGAGGAGGTTGAAAGAGTCCTCCGTCGGCGTTGATCCAGCGGGAAGGTCGGAAAACGGTTTCATCATCGACCTCGTTTGATGTTTCTCCGTCTTTGAGGTTCAAGTTTCGCCAGACGTCGGGATCACGACCTAAACCGATATTGTTGATATACACGGTTGCGTTTGCCGGTATCCAAAATGTCCCTCTGGAAGTCGTGATGGTCTGCTCCACTTTGGTCTGTTTCGCCATGTGGATAGCTGGCGGGAAGAGTCTCAAGGTCTCGAGCATGGTGGCCAACGTGCGTGTCGCTTTGGGGATAATGGAAGCGTAATCCATTTCGGCAATACTCATCTCTGCTGGGATGATGGCATCGATTTCTTCCGAAATCCATTCTTGCCATTGAGGGTATCGTGCGAGGAGGACGAGAGCATAGCTTAAGGCATTCGCATTGGTGTCGAATCCTGCGGCGGTGAAGATGAACAGGTTGCCCATCATCTCCTCGTCACTCAGCGTTCGAACGCCATCTTTGGTTTCGCTTTCCGACGCTCGAAGCAATTGGCTCATGATATTACTCCTCGTCTTCCCTTCGAGTGCACTCTTCTTGTTCTCCCTCTCTAGCAGTGCCTTGGTGTGAATAGGGAATTCCTCAATCGCGTATCCCACGGATCTGAGAAATTTCCCACCAGGTAAGAAAGTAGGATAATAACTCAAAAACCACTTGGGCAGAACGAGCGGTCCCGCCACCGCATCAATCACCGCATTCACAGCTTGAATATAAGTCATTCGGAACCCCGGCTCGGGACTACTATTCTTCTCATCCTTCCACTCCACACTCTCTCCCATGCCCGCCGAACTCAACACATTGATCGTAATCTTCTTCATCCCATCAAACAACCTCTCCGTCTCACATCGACTTTCATCTCCCCCTCCTCCTCCTCCTCCTCCACACCCATCCAAAAGAAACACCTCCTCCAACAACCCCTCGACCTGCCTCAAACTCTCCTCAAAAACTCTCTTGGAAATTCTCTCCGTAATGCTGCTCGCCACCACCTTTCTCTGCCTCGCCCACGCCTCCCCATCACTCGTCAACACATTCGGCCCGAACCGACTCATGAACACTTTGATCAAGTCATGCTGGATAAATCCCGTCTTGGAACGTTGGCTAGATAAAATTTCCCACGCAATCTCGGGATCGCGTGTCGAAATCTCAAAATATCCCATGCTGACGAGGACGTACGTTTTGTCGTTTCCCTGAGGCGCGGCATATTGTGTGAAGGGTCGGAGTTTTTCCGTGAATTCAAAGGCATACACCGTGAGTGAGAGACGTTCCCATATCCAGGTGGGGAGGTGCTTTTTGAGAAACGGACGTGAAGGGACGCTAGCGAGCATCCAGAAGAGATGGTTTTGGTCCCATGGGACGCAGACATAGGGGAGATTGGATTTTCGGGCGTGGACGTAGTTAAGGATGAATGTATATACGAAGGTTGAGGCATAAAGGCCAAAGAGTGCGAGCGCAATCACGACGTAAGAAGACATTATTTGTTGTGCGCGACGTGTACAATTGTCAAGATAGAACTGCGATGGGCAGCATCATCAGTGCAGAGACGATGGCAGAAATGTAGCGTGAAGCAAAGGTGAGGTTGGAATTGACGGACAAGGGTAAGCATATTTGGTTTGCGAGGGCATATCCCAGCGACGCGAGGCTTGCGTCGTAAGCGACATGGCCCGCGTCGAAATCCTGCCAATCATATCGTTCAATTCAAGTCCGCTGCTCAGTAGTACTCGTTAATCTCGCTTTTGCTCTATGCTCCGAGCAGTGTCGTTATTGTAGCCTATACTAGGCTCCTAGTCACTGCGAGGATGAATATTTGCTGGGCTGTAGGCGCTGGTCTTCGTCATCCCAATTCAACCTATCTGCTGTGAGAAGTTGTTCCATAGGCTCCAGTGGGGGCGAAGAAGGGCTTGCATGAGTTCGCCTTCAGATGCTCATTGCATAGTATCCCCAGAGGAAGAGCGGGTAGATCTCTAGTCTTCCACCTCCCTACGTTGCACCCCAGGCGACATGACCTCGACCAGATGACGACTTGGCCTCCAGCACTGGATCAGATTATCTTCACCAGTGGAGCAAATGACCCACGGGTCGTTGCGATTCCATGAGAAATCCGAAATTCTGTTTGTGTGACCTCCATGCATAAAAAGCATCTCCGGTGGGCCGTCCTCAGCGTCTTCAGGGGTTTGCTCAGCACCTCCCTTGGAAAGATCCCAGAATATGATGCGACGGTCATTTGAGCTCGATGCCAGAATACCAGAATCATGGGGATGCCAGTCAACCTTGGTGATGACGTCCTTGTGGCCCTCAAGACTGTGGATCTTGCCATGCTCGGGAAACCGCAGGTCGAAGATACCAATCGACTTGTCTGCGGATCCGGTGGCGAAGAGCTTATCGTGCTTGGGGTGGAATGACAGAGAGTTGATGGCATCCGTGTGTGCGTTCTTGAACTGCACGGCAGGCTTGCTGTCGGACTTGGATCGGTTGTCCATCAAGCACATGGTGAGATCGTCGGACACAGATCCCCAGAGGTTCTTGCCGTGCATCGGATGGTACTGCACGTCATTGACGACCGCCGAGTGATGTGTGAAGGTGCGGGCAGGCGCAATAGAGATGTTATCCCGTGAGAAGTCCCGCGACAGATTCCAAAGTCTGACAGTCTTGTCTTCGCTACCAGAAATGAGTTCGCCCTCTGTGAAAGGATTCCATTCGACGGCGAAGCCTTCCCCAGTGTGTCCTTTGAGTATAGCTTGGGGCTTGACGATGCCACTTGGCACAGAGGAGTGCTTCGTGCGGTCCCAGATGTAGAGGTTCTTGTCAGGCGCCCATGTGGCGATGACGTTCGGGTTCTGTGGTTGATACCGGGCCTTGTTAACCTCGCCAGGGTGATTGATTCGCTGGACGACCGAGAACACGATGGGCTCCTTTGCAGCACCATGACCTGCGGGTGTCAGCACTTCATATGTCCCGGATGGGAGTTCATACTACACACCTCCCAGTTCTTCACTCGCGGGATTATAGTCTGCCATGGACATGGCGGGAGGCTCGGGCAGATTGATGTGGGCGATCTGCAGGTAGTTGTCCTTGGAGCCGTCCGTATGAGTACCTAAGATCATCCTGTGTTGTCGCGAGGTCTTGCCCGGCTCCTGTTTGACGTCGGGCAGCCATTGCGTGGTAAGGGTAGGCCAGTCCAGGGCTCGACTATATAGGATGTCGTACAGGAACACGCTATTCTTCTTCCATATTTTGTACTCTTCGTTGATGACCTTGTTCTGCACAATTTCCGCGTCCTCGGAAGACAGATTCCCCGTCATGGCGGAGTCTGCAGAATAGTAAGTACTGTCCTTTCCACGCATGGTGGAGGTGGAGGTGGGTATGGTGCTGAAGGCGGGAATGACGGGTTTGGGTGGAGGAGCAACAGCGACGACCGGGGCTGCTTCTTCTTCGACCCGTTTCTTCTCGTTGTCGTGGTCGGCGTCGCCCTCCGCCTCCTCCTGCCCCTCCTCCTCCGCCGCCGCCGCCGCCTGTTGCTCCTCTTCCTCCTCCTCCTCCTCCTCCTCCTGCGGTTCTCTCTGCTCTTCGGGATCGACGACAGTGCCGCATTCGGAGACAATGTCGGGATTCCTGAAGATGGAATCACCCGACACGGGGACGCCTTGTAGTTCAGAGAGCAGACGTGGCTTGCGCCGCTTGGGGGCGGGCTTGGAGGCCTTTTTGGGGCTGGACATGACGCTGGACGAGTAGCTTACCTGGTTCCATGCAGAAGAGGATGGGAAGACAGGTCCGCGAACAGGTGCAGGTGTAGGTGCAAATGCCTGCAGGCGTGGTCTGTGTTCGCTCGCGGCGGCAGCGTCAAGTGGAGCAACCTCGGTTTAGCACGGGCCGAATTGGGCGGTGGTGAATACGGTGGCGTGGCGAGGATGGCTGAGAGGGAGGACGATGATGTGATGTGAGATGAAAAGTGGTGGAAGCTCTCAAACTGCGAGAGTTTCTCGACATGGGAACTGACGCTCGGAACGCGCGAGAGGCACCGCGAACAGAACGCGTCGGGTGCTGTGCTGGCCTGGGCGGCGGCGGCGGCGGCCTGTCCCATGATCCCATGCGGAAGAAGTGTGGGGCGGAGACGGGTACTGCCGCAATGCATCGATGACCTGACTGTTGCTTTGCTCTTGCGCTTGAACTTCCTCTCTCTTCAAGACACTCTGTGTGTGAACGTCGCGCAGCCCCTTCACCTCCCTTCACCTCCCTTCACCTCCCCTCCCTGCCCCTCCCTTCCTCCCCCCTGATCACCGCCCACTCACCTCGTCGTCACTCACCGCCGACGCCTCGGACGGTCGCCTTACAGCTCGCCTGGAGAGACAGCAGCCGCCACCATGGGTGCGACCCAATCCGGCCTTCGAGCTTGCGCAAAACCTCACTAACTGTCTCCAGGTGTCCCCAAGTTCTTCCGCTGGCTCTCAGAGCGATATCCCTCCATATCACAGCTCATTGCCGAAAACCGCATTCCCGAATTCGACAATCTCTACCTCGACATGAACGGAATCATCCACAACTGCACCCACGATAACAATGCCTCCGCCACCAAGGCCCGCCTCTCCGAAGATGAGATGTTCATCAAAATATTCAACTACATCGAGTTTCTGTTTGGCAAGATCAAGCCGCAGAAGATGTTCTTCATGGCCATTGATGGCTGCGCGCCTCGAGCCAAGATGAACCAACAGCGCTCGCGTCGTTTCAGATCGGCTCTGGATGCCGAGAATGCGCGCAATAAGGCAGTTGCCGAAGGGCAGGAGCTTCCAAAGGAGGATCCTTTCGACTCGAATTGTATCACGCCAGGTACCGTGTTCATGGAGCGCTTAACGCGCCAGCTGAAGTACTTCATTGCGAAAAAGGTCAGCGAGGATATTGAGTGGCAAGGATGTGAGATCGTCTTGTCTGGCCACGAAGTGCCTGGAGAGGGCGAACATAAGATCATGGAATACATTCGTCAGGCGAAGAGTCAGGCTGACTATGATCCCAACGTACGGCATTGTTTGTATGGTTTGGATGCTGATCTGATCATGTTGGGTCTGCTTTCGCACGACCCGCACTTTTGCTTGCTTCGTGAGGAGGTCACTTTTGGCCGAGCGAGCAAGGTGAAGAGCCAGGAGCTTGAGCACCAGAATTTCTTTCTCTTGCATTTGTGCATAGTTCGCGAATACCTGGAGCTGGAATTCCAGGAAATGAAAGAACCGGGCGCACTCGGGACAGTACCGTTCGACCTGGAACGCATAATTGACGACTTCATTCTCATGGCCTTCTTCGTCGGCAACGATTTCCTGCCCCACTTGCCGCATCTGCACATCAACGAGGGAGCGCTGGCGCTGATGTTTAACGTTTACAAGAAGATATTACCGGAGGCAGGTGGCTACATCAATAATGGAGGTGAAATAGACTTGAAGCGGTTGTCGCTTTTGATTACAGAGCTGAGCCAGATCGAGTATCGCCACTTCGAGCATGAAAATGCAGATGCAAGCTGGCTGAAGGACAAGAGCATACAGAAAGAGGACGTCATGGCCAAGAAGCAAAAGAAGGGCGCGGTTGCAACAATGACATCGAGCCAGAAAGAGTTGTACACTACTGTCAAGAAGTACGTGAATAGCAGGCATGGATCGGGAGAGCATGAACCATTGAACTTCCCGCCGACTTTGAAGGCGGCCGATCGTGCATTCCTCGATCAACTGGCGCAGAGTCTGCGTCTCGAGAGCAGCAACATTGTTGGAGACGACGGGAACCGCCACATGCAGCTCAACTTTCCCGCCCGCCCAGAGATGGACGAGGAGGATGAAGAAGACGAAGAGGCGCAGAATGCGCTGCTGCGCATTTTCAAACAGTACGACAAGGCGAAGGTTGAAGATCTTTCACCGACGGACGTTCAGCTGAGAGCGCAAGAGAAGTACGACAAGAAGTTTGCAGAGTGGAAGGACAATTACTACACCACCAAGTTCGAGTGGGGCGTGAGCAATGACGAAGAGATGCGCAAGCTCACGGAGAACTATGTTCAGGGTCTGCAGTGGGTACTGTACTACTATTACCGCGGCGTAGCGTCGTGGGGATGGTATTACCAGTATCACTACTCGCCGATGATCAGTGATGTTGTGAAGGGAATGGGCGCAGACATGAACTTCACGCTTGGTCAACCATTTCGACCATTTCAACAGCTCATGGGCGTCTTGCCGGACCGTAGCAAGCAGTTGGTGCCGCCGGTCTACTGGGACCTCATGACGAGCCCGCAATCTCCGGTCATCGACTTCTACCCCCGCGACTTTGTGCTCGACATGAATGGGAAAAAGATGGAGTGGGAAGCCGTCGTCAAGATTCCTTTCATCGATGAGCAGCGTCTTCTACAAGCAATGGCGCCGAAAGACGCCCAGCTGGCAGAGGACGAGCGGCGACGCAACGAGTTTGGAGTGAGCTTGAAGTACACGTATTCGTCAGAGGTGGACTACACCTTCCCTAGCAGTTTGCCTGGCGTCTTTCCAGATCTCGAACACTGTCACGTGGTCGAGAACATCTACGAGCTCCCTGTAATGGATGGACTCGAGTACTATCACGGCCTGATGGAAGGCGCGAAGCTTGGTGCTGCATCGCTGGCAGGATTTCCCAGTATGCGCACATTGCCGCATACCGGCCAGCTTGGCTTTGCGGGCGTCTCTGTCTTCCAGCAAGACAGTAGAAACGAGAGCATGGTCATCACGCTCACCGAAGGTGAAGCAGTTGGCACCATCACACATGCAAAGCAACGACTTGGCAAAGCTGTACACGTGGGCTACCCCTTCCTGCACGAAGGTAAGGTGATCAGCGTGACCGATGAGTTGTTCACATACCGGCTCCAGGATCCCAGTCAGCCAGCGGTCGAACAGAACATTGTGCAGCAGCCACACGAAGGCAGGGGAATCGAAGACTTCAAGAAGAAAGCCGATCGCATCGAGAAGCACTACAATAAGCGTCTGGGAACGATCATTGGAACAGTGGAGAGCTTGGTGCAGATCAACCCACTGGTCGGTCTGCACAAGACTGAGCTTGGTGCTACCGTCAAGGAGTACGCCCCACTTCAGGGATTCGAGGTAGACTATGCGACACAGACTATTGTCGACAAGGTCATTAGCGAGGACCAGCGTTTCCTGGAGAAGGAAGCTGTACCGATTCAAGAAGAGTTCCCACCAGGCACTCGGGCTTTCTTCCTTGGAGACATGGCTTATGGTCGGCCGTTGCAGGTCACCGGCCATGCCCCCGATCCAAAAGGTGGTCAGGACAGAGCCACTGTATGGGTCTCCTCGCTTAAGAAGCGAGAGCAAGAGTTTGGGGTTGAAATCGTACATCAGGCGGAGAGGAAGAATCCTTACAGCCCATCCTACCACGTTGCGCGCCAATTGCAGCTGCACCCTTTGGTGCTGTCGAAGCTCACATCAGCCTTCAACGTAAATTCGTCTGGTCTGAGGCTCAATTTGGGACTCAATCTCAAATTTGAGGCCAAGAAACAGAAGGTGCTGGGCTACAGTCGCAAGTCCGAGAATGGTTGGGAGTACTCTCCCAAGGCCATTGATCTCATCAAACAGTACATGATCAAGTTTCCCGAGTTCGTGGCTCGCATCGCAGCCAACCCAACTGGTGATGGTTGGGAGGACACTGCATTCTACCCGGATCCACAAGAGGCTAAAGCCAAGATGAAGGAGATTGGTCAATGGCTCAAGAGTGTGGAGACGAAGGGTTTCGAACGCGTACCTCTGGAAGCGGAGCAGCTCGACGGCGATACTGTCGCTGCCATTGAGCATGCTGCCGATGCGAATGAGGCTGCCATCAAGACTGCCATAGAAGGCACTCAGATGGGCGGCGTTCCGCGTCATGCGCTGCTCAAGCCTGCCGACGCGGATCAGCGCACTCAACATCAGAAGTTCCGTCTTGGTCACCGCGTCGTATATGTGCTCGATTCTGGTCGAGTGCCAATCGCTATGAGGGGTACCGTCGTGGGCAAGACGCGGACTACTAGAAATACTCTGCTGGATATTGTCTTTGACTCTACTTTCATGAGCGGCACCACACTCAACGGACGTTGCTCACCATTCCGCGGCAGCACTGTCCCATCTGAGGCGGTGCTGAACTTGACTGAGCGTCAAGTCGTGGCTATGTCACAGGCCGCCAAATCACGTGTTCAGACGCAGCTGCCCATGCAGCCGCTGCGGGGTGCCTATGCCAGCAATGCCACAAGCTACGGGTTGCCAGGCGGACCTCAGCTCGTGGCAGCACACGCTCCAGCACCTCTTCGTGGTGGATGGAATCAAGCAGTTCGTGGCCAGCCAACAAACGGGCAGCCCTCGCGAGGAGGCGGACGCGGTGGCCGGGGCCGTGGCGTCGGCGAACAGACACAGCTCCCACACCACTTTCAAGGTCGTGGTCGTGGCGGTGGTCTGAATGGCAGCACACCTACCTTCACTCCTCGCGGAGGACAGAACGGAACTCCTCGAGGTGGCCGCGGAAGCAACAGAGGCGGATACACGATCGTGGACAACACCGATCCTAGCGAAGGCGTCGTGCAAAACAATACGAAGTTTCGGCCTCAGAGCTACAACAACGTTCCACCGCCGGCGAATCTGAGTGATCGTGGTAGCGGCGGTGGTCGTGGTCGAGGCCGAGGCGGCAGAGGGCGTGGTCGTGGTAATCGGGGAGGGCAAGGTGAGGTCACTGCCACCAGCTGAGCAGGGATCTGATGATGCCTTGCGATATACATGTAACAAAAGGAGCACCACATGAGTACAGCAGAGTCTGGCCTGATGTGGTCTCACAGGACATGCATCTCTGTACGGGAGGATGTTATGAGAAAGCCTACCGATGACCTTTTTCCTTTTCCTATCGGTCCGTGAAAGCTGGTGTGCATGTCAGAGAGAGAGAGAGATGAAAGTCTTTCTGTGGGGACATATGTTCCCCATTTGCACCCATGCCAGTTTCTGGACCGATAAAGGAAGGAGGTCATTTTTCGTGCGAGAGCAGAGTGTTGCCAGATGTGGCCTCTGTAGTCTGTAGTTTGTTCTTCTTAGTTACATGTACTGTATTGTAGCTAAGGTAGGTAGAATAAGAGAGAGAGAGAGAGAGACTGCTGACTCACTCGCCTTGTGGTGAATATTGTTTCCCTCTCCCACGTACATTTCATCAGTAAAAGGTAAGGTAACTACCTAACTACGTGTAGGTAAGGTAGGTAGATGGGTGACTGTGAGTCCATCTGGTGTACCTGAACCTGGTATCTTGTGAGGGCAAGAATACCTAATTGCATCATCATCATCATCATCATCATCATCATCATCATCATCATCAAGGGACGTCCTCTTGAAACCACTACCTTACCTATGTACCTTACATACATTACCTGTACCCTTCCAATTAGGCAGAAAGACAGGCATGAATGAATCAAATGATATCACTCATCTCTCTAGATGACCTGTTCCTGTTCCTGTTTCTCATCTCTAGGTAGTAAGGTATCTAAGGTACTGTCTCCACGATACACGATAATGATGATGATGATGATGATGATGATGATGATGATGATGATGATGATGATAACGACGATGATGATGACGACGATGATGATGATAACGACGACGACGATGAACGATGACGATGACGATGATGATGATGAACGATAAGTGAACTTTCTTCCATTAAGAAGAGGGAAGAGGGGGGTGTCCTCGATCGATGTATCGATCACATTCATCATTTAATCCATCTATCGATCAGATTCAGATTCAGATTCAGGGCAGCTGATTAAGGTAGGTAGAACTGTATGCAACTGGCACGTGTTGGAATCCTATCGTTACTGTATGCAGGTTCAGGTTCAGGTTCAAGTTTGTAATGCAGGTTGATGCAGGTTCAATTTTATGGTATGTTTTACAAAAAGGGAAAAAAAGAGGAAAAAAAGGGTATAAGTATCGAGTACCTCCTTATGGTAGAGATGAAACCCTTGGTAGAGTCTCGAATTTTCTTTTTTCTGGTTTTTGTGCGCTCAAAAGCTCTCTTTTGTGGATCATGGTAGGGACATATATGCTTTAGCTTGGGCAGGTAGGCAGTAGGTGGAAGTTCACTGAGCATAGGAGGTAAGAAAGGTAGGTAAGTACTAGTGTGACTGACTGATTCACATCTGTAGGAGGTAGCAGCTGGTCTGTTGCATCTCTCTGGTAGACTAGGCTTGACTAGACTAGTGTAGAGGGACGACGGGAGGAACGAAGACGAATAGATAGAGGAGGAGGAGGTTGTTTCTGCAGTTATGAGGAGCTTCGAGGAGCTTTCGAGGAGGATTTCTAGTAGCGTCTCAGATGTTCTCGTGCGTGTCTTATACCTTAGGTACCTAAGTTTGTGGTTTCAGTTTGCAGCAGAGAAGGTTTTGTTTTTCTAGTACAAATCTTGAAACTGGTACGGATGAGACTATTCGGATTATGCCATGTGTGATGATGTATCAAAGCAAAGAAGCATCTAGACTCGAGGAGACTACTCCGAGAAGGAATTTTTCAAGGTCACGGGTATGTATGTTCTGAACAAACTTCTGATATACCTATGTTTGATAGGCTTATTCATCAGCCCACCGCCTGACGTGTCGTTGTGCGTGCAGTAGGTAGGTAAGTAAGTTTGATCCGCCCGAGAGGCTTGCAGAAGCGCCCGAAGTTTTTGGGGGTTTTTGTCGCAACGTTACCTCCTACCTTGACGATATGTGTGTGTGAGAGAGAGGGGGTGAGGTGAGAGGGAGGGTGAGGGGAAAGGGAAGGGAAGGGAAGGGAAGGAAAGGGAAGGAAAGGGCTGGATGTTGTGCATTGCGGCTATGCAACGAGGTTTACGAGTGCAGAAGTGGTCGATGCATGGCAGAAGAGGATGATGCATGAAGAAAAGGATGATGAGATGCATGTTGCAGGTGGTGGTGAATAATCAGGTGACTTCATGTTCTATTCACGGCTCAAGTGGAGGATCTGACACGACACGGCGAGTCGGCACGAGACGAGCCCGTTTGTTTCGCTTACTACTCTCATCATCGCCTCTGCTTTTCCCTCTTTCGGTCTCTCTCTCTCCATCTCTCTCTCTCTGTCTCTTATTCTCTCGCCAGTCCACTCCAGTCCCTATACGACCTCCCATCCGACAAAATGTCATCATCAACGTGCAGCTTATCAATCAATCAATCCATCCATCCATCCATTCATCCATTCCATCAAGACCTCATATGGTTTATTCGGAGAATTCATCCAAGAGGACTCCCCAAGATGCCGCTGCATTATGACGGAGGCGAAACGTGCTTGCAGATGGGGACAAGATTAAAAAAAAGGAAAATTAGGAAGAAAAAAGGGCTGATGAAGGAAGAGGAAGATACCTTAGTGACCGGTAGAAGTGATGTGAATGTGCCGAAGCGAGTGAAACCTGTCCCCTTTTTTTGTCTGTCTGTGTGTGTAACGTGTTGCACATGGTTGCAGTGGTGGCAGTGGGTGGGCCCCACGTGCGACCGGTTGACCGACCAGTCTTTTCGTGCTCGAGGTGTTTTTGATTGACGGGTGGAGAAGGATTTGCGTGGCGGGTGTTATCTTCCGGTGGCAGTTGTCACTTGTCGTACTACATGAAGGAGTTTATCATCATCATCATCAAAGAGTGAAATCATCATATCGGTCGACACTGGCAGCATTGAGCAATAGTAGGTAGTAACCACCTATGCTGCAATAAGGCACCTAGGTACATGTATAATGTACACAACTAATAGGATATAGTACGCACAATTGGATACCTGGTAAGTATGCAGATAGCAAAGACCACCAGATAGCGGGCAAATAATCGGAGAAAATGGTAACCCCACGATAACGTGAGACTAGTGCCATTTCTAGATCTCGCCCTCTCTCTGTCTCTGTCTCTGAGACTCTCTCGCTCATCGCTCGGCAAATGGGAACAATGCTGGCCCGCGTGTGAAGGATTCCGCACCCGGTGTACCTACAGTAGTACATGTAGTAGAGGACAGGGAGGAGTGCCACTGGTATGTACAGTAGGTACCTTACTGTAGGTACCTGAACGAATGATTGGTGTAAGAAGAGCTGCGACTGCGCGTTGGTTTGACTGTTCCTCGTATTAACCACCTGTTTTTTCATCATACACACGTTGGAGTTCCAGAACCCTTTATTGTCAACAGGTCGACAATGGCCGTTGTTTTTTAATCATCAGGCAGACAAGCAGGCAGCATTGCAGGCGCCAAAAAAAGACAGCACCGGCGACAAACTGCTACAGCTCCTTAGTTCTATAAGGTAATCTATCTTTACCTATACATACAGTCATACAGTCATAGAGTACAGGAGGTATACTGCCATTCTGAGCTGGAACGCCGTTGTTTTCGCGTTGCGATAACCGGGGCCCGGGGGGCTACCTCCTAGGCGGCGACGGCGACGACTCCTGATTGGGGCTTCGTTCGTTTGGCAGCCTTTACAGGGTGTGAAAGGGCAGCGTGGTGACACACTTTTCACTGGAAGTTCGCCATTACGTTGCCGACGTGCATCGGTGTATGCAGGCTTTGCAGGGCAGTAGATCCATAGGACGTCCTTTGCTGGCTTGCTTCTCCTTCTAGTGCATAAGGTACCAACTTGTAGTCACTGTACCTCTTTACCTCCTAGGAGGGGGTACGTGCCTGGTCCTGGTGCTCTAGTGAGTCTACTGAAGTCTAGGAGGTACTCTACTACTGAGTCTACTCTACACTTTCCAGGGGCCTCCCTCCCCCCCACCGGCGGCCGGCCTGCTCTGCTTCACCTTTTGCACGCACGCGCGAGACGTGCACGATCCATTATCCCCCCTCCCCCCTCCACATCCGCGATTCCATTATATGTGTGTGTGTCATGTATACAGTAAGGTACTCGTATACAGTATGCAATACATATAAGAGTGATTTAATATGCAAATTGTTCGAACTTCGCATTATTGTTGCCTAGTGTCTACTTTGTTACTGAACCTACAGACCTACTGTACCAACGGTCGACCTGATGCGTATGAGGTATGTAGGTAGGAGGTACGATAATTGCCCGGACTGTGATGCGCGCGCGCGCCTCTGGAGGGCCAGCCCGTTCTTGACTCTTGCGACACTGAGACACTGAGACATACACACTCACTCACTCACTCACTCACTCTCACACACACTGTGGGCGGGGCCAGAGTGTCGTCGACGCCTCGTGCTGCCCCTCTCTCCCCATGGTGTTGTACTAGTTGGTCGACAACCACCGGTCAGGCTGCGCCACAGAAAAAAAGAAAGAAAGATAGCCAACTTTGTGGAAGGGCGGCGGCAGTGGGAGAGGGAGTGTGTGTGTGAGAGGGAGTGGGAGTGGGCGTGTTTGACAGGATAACGGCACGGTAAAACCTTTCTCGGCGCCGTTGCTCTATTCGCGGCGCCACTTGGGGTGCGCTAACGTTTGAGCCGAAGTCACCGTAGTGGTGGTGGACGTGCAGCCATTCGGTGATGGAGCTGCGATAGTTTGGCCGGCTCGTGGAGAAGTGTGTGCAAGTGTCTGTGTGTGTGTGTCTCCATAGCCTTGTGAGGTATGCAGCTTGCAGCTTCAGGGACATGAGAGGTGTCGGGTAGGGACCGTAGTCAGTGTACCTCCTAGTAGGAGGAGGGAGGTGCATGTAACTGTAGTGGTCGAGTAGGTATACCTGATACTAGTCGTCGGTAGTGTGAGAGCGTATCTCATAAGGCGGGTGCCTGCATCTTTCTTGTACTCTCACACACACACCCGACTCTGGCTGTCGCTACTTACCTTACTCTCTCTCTCTCTCTCTCTCTCTCCCTCTCTCTCTCCCAGTCTCTCCCACTTCGCTGGACGATATACCCTCACCCGTTCACTCACCCGGCACTCACTGGGCACTCACTCATCCACTCACCCACTCAACTCGCTCCCCTCACTCCTACTGACAGTCCGCCAAAAACTGAAGTCCATTCCTTCGATTCCCGCTAGGGTGGCATCATCACTGGCATTGGCATTGGCATTGGCATTGGCATTGGCGTCTCTCCATCCATCCCATACCTGACCTTAGTACATAACGGCTTGGTGACACCGACGCCTATCGCATTCCCGGGGCACGTGGCACCGTCTCGCACGACGCGTCTCATCGGGTCAGAGGTACCGATTACTATATCCTGCGTCGGACCTGCAATTCCTTCACATTTCCCCGACACACTTGTCTGTTGCCTGCCGCCGTTTGCACGTGTCAGTCAATTTGCAGTCAATATACACTTTGCTTCTGGTCGGGGCTGAGACCCAACACGAAACAGCCGACACCATTTATTACCTGACCTGCCTGCCTGCCTGCCTTATTCACCCACTTCCGCTGCCGGCTCTCGACCAGCGTTGATCCCAGCACACTCCCTGCTATCACATCACTTGCACTGCAACCCGCACTGTCCTGGATATAGTGCCCTGCGGCGTCATTCTCGCCTGTTGCCTGCCCTGTACCCCCCCGGAAAGGCCTCTCGGGAAACTTTAAGACGAGACACCTCTCGCTGCTGCACCAACACCTCCGGCACCCCATCGAGAGCCCTCTTGCTCGCAGTAACACACAATGCCTCCTCCGACTGAAGACAGTATGAGGTCGATGGACGATTTCCTCATCAATCCCACCATTCTGGACCACGACTCCCACCAGCACTTGGGCATGTCTTTGCCCAACCCCGACTTGATGCGAACGCAGCAGGACATGGGCAAGGCCAGGCCTGCTGCCACCAAGTCGGATTCCGTCACCCTTCCTACCATCGACGAATCCGCCTTCCAGCCCTGGCTGACCTACACCTCCGACGAAGAGGTCGTCTCACCGATGGATGCCGATCGCACCAACCAATCTTCACGCAACGCGAGCTTTTCCAGTGACTACTCCATGCCGGATTTGCTGGAAGACGAGGATGCCCATCTGGAGAAGCACTGCGGCCAAGCGCAAACAGTGGTGATTCAGTTGGCAGGGAGAGCGAAAATGGTCTCCATGCCCAAGATTCAAGTTGTCGACGTTCCGAGACGAAGCATGTGCGTGTCCACGCCCATGGAGGGGAGACGGCCCTCGATTGTGATTCCCCCACGCAGACGCTCCATCGGTATGGCAACGAGAGCGCGATGGAGCCAGGACTCGCACACTTCATCCAGTAGCCGCCACTCTGCCTCCTCGGCGACTTCCCACTCGCCCACATCGACAGCTCCCAGCTCACTCTTCGACGACTTTGAGGATGAGCCCAAAACGAAGCACAAGAGGAACTCCTCCCGACACGTCGACCTCGTGCAAGCCGCACGAACCTTCTCCGAGACGCCTACTTCACCTATGCAACCTCGACGCTCATCCACATGCAGCGAATACGCTCCCTCTATTCGAAAGAGGAGCAAGTTTGGCTCTGCGTTCGCCTTGCATCGGATTGGTAAGACCTTTGCCCGAAGGGACTCGATGATCGCAGACGGCATGGAAAGCCTGAAGGAGCCGGAACCCATCCGTACCACACATGGAGTACCACAACCGAAGCGGTACTCCAGTGGTCGGCCGAAACTCATTGCCCGAGGTGCCAACGAGCGTGCACCCACGATTACATTACCGCCGTTCCAGGAATAGTAACACGTCCCACGGAACTGATGGCGGATGAGCCGGGGGGCACATGGTTTCCCATTACGGCAAGCCCACTGAGATCACTGCTACGAAGTTGTGTTTGTTGTTTTTATTTTTTTATTTTTTATTTTTGCTGCTGACATGCATAGCGATGGGGAGGGGAATACGCCTCAAAGGCGGGGAGTTGGGGGTGTGGGAGATTGTTCTTATGTGATGCAAGATACCATGTCGGGACGACACACGGCGCATTGTGGAGATGAGGGTTTTCTGACGAATATGCTATGATATGTCCGAGACGAAAATGACATGCTACGCTCGCTGACGAAGGACGGGAAAGGAGGGAGAGAGCCTTGGTGGGGAGCACAAGGCAGAGAGGTTTTTATTGTTTTTTCAAAGAATGGAAAGATGAAATTGCGGTATTCTGAGTCAGTGCTACATATGTAACTACCTACCTACCTACCCACCTTGACCTTTGAGAGGAGAAAGGAAAAAAGGCAGCAAGCAGCATCTTTACATGCATTCAATAGAATGATGATGAAATTCCTACCTCTTTTTGCCAAGTCGGAATCACAAGCCTTTCTTTTCTTAAGGCCGGTTGTCCCTAAGCACTAAAGTTGCTACTTTTCAGACAATTGAATACTACTACTACTACCTAACCTACTACAACACGCGAAAGAGAGATAACATCATCATAACAAACCTTCTTCTCTCTTTCTCTCTTTCTCTCTTTCTCTCTTTCTCTCTTTCTCTCTCTCTCTCTCTCTCCTTCCTCCTTGCTCCTAATTCCTAGGATAGAGTAGCTTAAGGTAGGGAGGTAAAAGTAAGGTCAGGTATTGTATATATCTTTTGTATACCTTATTGCTTGAACCTCTTACAAGGCTCCCCCTTATCCTTACCTTTTACCCTTAGCTACCTTACACTTACAGGCTTACACTCACAGGTACTGATAGTATGTATGTAGGTACTGGCTGGCACATACCATAGTTACACGGTTGCACTGCACTGAACCTACCTACCTACCTAGCTTAGGCAAAAACGATTTCCCCGGGTATGTAAGGTATATACCTTCTTTTTGTCGTAGGCGGGGTGCAGTGGGGTGTGGGGGGCTGCTCACATCTGATTGAGACGAGATGATACAGCATTTATGCATTGTATGTATGTATGTATCAGTATCCTCGGACGGGTTGGACCTAGTCGTCGTCGATGAAATGGACGGACGGACGAGGTATCTACTACGGTACGGTATGGTACGGTACTACCTTTGGGCGGAGAAGGGATGCTTGTATGTATGTATGCGTGCGTGCGTGCGTGCACGTGTGCTGGGCTGGGCGGTGCTGTACGGTGCGGTGCTGTGCGGCGCTGGGCTGGGCTGGGCGGTGCGGTGCTTGTGCTGTGCGGTGCTGGCTTCATTGTCGGAGTCTAATGAAAAAAACAGATGAAAGTACAGGATAAAAAGAGAAAGTAAAGAAAAGAAAATGGGTTGCAATTGCTCGATTAGGAGAATTGTTTGGCCAAGGGCGCGAATATGCCGAAGCGAACTGTAGTGTAGTCTGCAGTGATTTCACACTCGTCACACACTTCATCTAGAGTAGTGGGTAAAGAAAAAATCAATAAGTGCACATGAGAGACAGAGAAAAAGAGGAGTCGCCTCTAGATACAACGGTCGGTGAAACAGAATGTCATGTCGCATTTTTTGTTGTTCTTTTTCGTATCCACCATTCATGTGTTGTCCCCCATTCATCACCACTTATCGTGCGGCGAATGGACGGGCTTTTCGCTCCTTACGGGGGCATTGCACGCACCGGTCTTGCTCGAGATGGCTGCTTCTTCTTCTTCTTCTTCTTCTTCTAACTTCCAAAGGTGGTATGTATTCAAGAAGCATGCATGGGCTTGGCTAGCAGAGTTCGCAGTGGCAATTGCCAATTGGTGCCTTGCATGCAAGTATGTAGTTTGTCGCCGGCGGCCACATGATTCTCCCGTCTGGTCGCTATCAATCAATCTTTTTCAGCTGAAGTTTGATAATGCATCCATCCATTCATCCTCTCTGTAAGGTATCTACCGAGTTGTACAATGTCAATGTACCTCACCACGTGATTGGCACATGGTCTTCCTACAGGAGGACCTTGGAGGTTTCGAAGCATAGAAGCCGGCTCCACCGATACAGAGTTGTTGGTCCTGGTCAGGAAGGCCGAAGCGTCCAATCGAAGTGTCGCAATCGAGCCTGCAGCCCTGTACGGCGCAAACGAGAAAAAAGTGAATCTCGTGGAGTTTCGCCGGAAGTCACTATAGAGTTTGAGGAACAGGCCAGACCCACGTGCCATGCGGTTCTCATGCCAGAAAGAAGTCCAATTTCACGGAGGGATTCATGCACCTCCTTACTATGTAACGTTTGGTTACTGTAGGTACCTCCTAGGTACCTGGCCTGGCCTGGCCTGGCACGCAGCGCAGCGCAGCCGCGGCTGGACTGCTGATACTTTGAGTATAACCAGCTTGTCACGTGTAACACTGTCCGCGAGGCTTGCGCACGGCAGTTCTTCCAACACCTACGGGCATCTGTAGCATTCGATTTCCAGAAGTCGGACTGTCATTCGCAGGCTCGCTCTGTAGGTGGTACCCCGGAAGAGATTCTCCAACTCGTTTCAGATCCAGCCCGTGCTGTATTTTATCCGTGATCATAAACGATCGGGTTCACAGCAGAGTATTGAAGGACCAGCTCGTGCGCCGTGTATGTACATGGCAGGCCACAAGTTCAATACGAATAGCCGATCGGAAAAGATTAACAGAGGATATTTCACCTCTTGTTGTTGTTGTTGTGGTTCTTCTTCTTTCCCCCATCCTTGCCAGTGCTCCCGTCAGCAACGAATCCACCTTTGACCACAGCATCCCTAGCAGCTTGGTTGATCAATCGGAAGCGATCCGGACCAAGCTTGACACCGCCATACCATCTACTGACCACGACCATCACATTCCACGCTCCCATCAGCTCCAGCAAGTGCAAGAGTCTGCCTCCAGCTGCATCCTCGCCATCGTCATCACAGTCCTGGAACTGCACCCCATTTTCACCACGTATGCGCCAAGCTGTGATGTTATGTGTGGCTTTCCCAACTTTCTTGTCGGTAGCGAGCAAATGCGCCAAGAATGACTTGGCCTCGTCCACACTGGATACTGCTGCAGCGCGAGCGATGAAGACGGACTTTTTTTCCGTAACCACATCCGATTCACTCCAGAGTGGCGGGTCGCCTAATTTTGTTATGGGCTGATTGGAAGAGTCAGAACGCGTCCATTCATCCTGGTGGAGGGAATCGTCCTGATGCTGACCGTTCGCTTCAACAGCTTGTTGTTGCGCGTCCTTTGAGCTCTGGTCCAGGCCGAGCTGCTGAAGCCTCTGATTGGACTCCTCAATGAGGTCAAAGATGCATGGTGCGCCGGGAGAATATATTTCTGCCAGTATCGAGCGGACCAGATCAACGATGGAATTCCCTTCGCCTTTGGCTGTATCGTGGCCAACGTGCTGCGTGCCAAGGATGGAGGGAGGAGCATCGGGATAATCGGGAGCAAAATCGACCCGAAGAGAGATGTTAGGTTGAGAAGGTAGAGTCAAGGCATATATGTTCGACGTCTCTCCTAGACATGTGATGGTTTCGTCTCCGTAGATGGCATTGATAGAGTTGACCTCCTCGAGCAGTTCTTCTGACATGATTTGCGCGGAGAATCAAATAAATCCAGTACTGGCTCCAGTACTGGGCCCCATATTATGCTTGTAATTCTGTTTGCTTGTCTTCCTGTGTTTCTAAAAGTGCAGACCTTCGGTGATGATGGAAAGTGTTGTGAGTGAATGTTTCACTATGGAGGCAGAAACGAGTCATGCAAGCAGAAAGAAGGCGGCGGAAGTTCCCGGTCGCGTCGATTTTCCCGACGACCACTCTCACGACTGACCGAACCACCACATCTCTTGTACAGCCTGCTCACCACCTACCATGTCGCGCACATCCATACTCGGCTCGCTGCCAAAGCCCAAATACAGCGGCGAAGATGAGGAACTGCCGACTCATACCCAGCAGAAAGGGCCCAAAGTGATCGCAGCGCGTGAACTCGAATCGTCACAGTTGACCGTGAAACGAAGTGGACCACCAGCATATGGACAGCGTGCGGGATGGAGACCGCGAGGGGCGGAGGACTTTGGCGATGGAGGTGCCTTTCCGGAGATCCCAATGGCTCAGTACCCGCTTGATATGGGAAGGAAGAACATGCCATCGAGCTCGAATGCGCTGGCGCTGCAGGTCGACCGGGAGGGCAAGATCAAGTACGACGCCATTGCGAGACGCGGCCACAGCGAAACACGTATCGTGCACGCAAGCTTCAAGGACTTGATCCCGTTACGGCAGCGAGCTGATGCGGGAGAGATTAATTTAGAGAAGCCCAGTGAGGAGGAGGTGGAGGCCACGAAGCAGAGGACACAATTAGCGTTGCAGGGCCTGGTCAGTGGAGCTTTGGCAGCACAAAAGCCGAAGAACATCAAAGGCACGAGTAGGGCCGAACCCACGTTCGTCCGTTATACACCTGCAGATCAGATGGGCGACAAGAGCAAGAAGCAGGACCGCATCATAAAGATTGTGCCGAGGCAGCAGGATCCTATGGAGCCACCGAAGCACAAGATCAAGAAAGTTCCCCGGAAAGATCCGTCTCCTCCGCCTCCTGTCATGCATTCTCCGCCTCGCAAATTGACCGCCGAAGACCAGGAAAACTGGAAAATCCCACCGCCAGTGTCAAATTGGAAGAACGCCAAAGGATATACTGTGCCACTCGATAAGCGATTAGCTGCAGACGGCCGGGGACTGCAAGACGTGACGATCAACGACAAATTTGCACAGTTTGCCGAAGGCTTGCACACGGCAGATCGACATGCAAGAGAAGAGGTTCAACAGAGAGCGAAGATGCAGCAGAGATTAGCGGAGAAGGAGAAAGAGGCCAAAGAGGAGAACTTGCGCCAACTCGCAATGAAAGCACGTGCGGACAAGCAGGCAGCGATGGCGCAAAGGCGTGGCTCTGATCGTGGCCGATCGAGAAGCAGATCGGTGGACAGCAGATCCTCTTATTCATCATATTCTTCGCGAAGCAGGAGCGGGAGCGGGAGCAGGAGCAGAAGTCGCGGTGGCGGCCGCGACGATGGCGACAGGGAGCTGAGAGCGCGTGAAAAAGCACGAGCTGAGCGGAAGAGAGAAGCCAAGGATGAGCTCCGAAAGAAGAACATGGGACACGAGCGTAGAGTGCAGATGATGGCACGAGAACAAAATCGAGACATCAGTGAGAAAGTGGCGCTGGGCTTGGCAAAGCCGACGCAGAACAAGGAAGCAATGTACGACTCGCGGTTGTTCAACCAAAGCTCTGGACTTGCGGCCGGGTTCAACGAGGATCAAGCATACGACAAACCTCTGTTCGCGAGCCGTGATGCATTGAACTCCATCTACCAGCCACAAGCGGGGGATGATGACGGGGAAGACGAGGGCGAGACGTTGGAGAAGATTCAAGGCACGAAGCGCTTTGATGGTCTTGGGCGGGCACCCAAGGAAGGCTTCAAGGGTACAGACACTGCTGAGGCGAGAAGTGGACCTGTACAATTTGAGCGCGATCGCGGCGATGATCCTTTTGGCGTGGAAGCCATGATTGCCGAAGCATCAGAAAAGGCCAGCAAGCGAGCAGCAGAAGAGGAGGCTGGTGGTCGGAGCAAAAAGGCTAGAGTGGACGATGATTAGGTATGGATGAGAGGTAAGTAGACCTCAGTATGTCTAACGCGAATCTAAGCCCGATCCACTGAGTGCCTCTTGAACTTTTGCTGTTGCTGGTTGCTGGGCGACCCACACTCGTAAAGTGCACATCGAAGCTTTTGCTCGCCAGTCCGTTCCGTCGACTTCCTCTCTGAGTCTGCATCATTATAGATTGCGTGCCTGGGGGTCCACGTCTGCACCGCATCGTGAGTTTCTCGAAAACGCTACTCGCTTCATTCACTTGTCCCAACTTTGCCGCGCATAATACTAGCTTGGCAAGCTAATGCACATACCCGCAGCTCTGTTTGTACTTCTCAGTACGACATCTCAAGAATCCAAGTTAAAGGCATCGAGCCTGCGAACTCTTTGACGACTGAGCGTCTACAGAGTTGACCCTTCAGGACCGAACGCGCGAGATGGCACCTTTTCTTCGAGCTCCGCGCAGACTCATGGACCGCACCAGCACTACGATGAGCGATGCCCGTATACAGCCAGAAGCGAGTCTCATTGCAGTACTCCCCGACACATCCACCACAACCGCTTTCGGCACATCTGGCAACCTCCAACTGTCACCATTGACGAACACCCTTTTCCAAGCATATGCCACCAGTTCCGCTACCTCTACATCAAAGGCTGAAGTCGTCCCAGACGGTATCCCCGAGTTTACGCACAGTGCAGTCTGGATCCTCGCGGGTGGTCTCAGCTTTGGCTTCGTCGCTGCCATTTGTCTATTTCTCATCGAATTCTATCCGCGTCATTCTCGTGGTGGTGGTAGTAGTAGAAGTAGAAGTAGCAGCGTCCAGTTTCAGAGGAAGAAAAAGCGTGAGTACTATGAGGTGCCTCAGGTGGACATTGAGCTGGATTCATACGGTACCAGTCGCGCATCGGGCACGCCGGATTGGCAGAAAAGCTGGCCACTTGCGGCGAATGCGGATGAGCATGAAGAAGAAGATGTTGAGGGTGAACCCATGCTTCGAAGGAGGAGGAGAAGGAGGAACAGGAAGCCGAGGAATCTGAGCGTCGATACAAGCGTGCAGTACAGTGGCTTGGGCATCGCTGTGCCTGATGAGAAGCCACCTCCATCTCGGCCAGAGAGTGCTCGCTATGCAGAGTACAGTGCATCTCCAAGTTCTTCGATCAGCAGTCCTCAACTTCAGCTTCGGCATTGGACGCCTCTCCCGATGACTGAAATGGCTCCCCTAACGACAGCTCGAGAACCGTACTATAATCAACCTCACGATGAGGCCGAGCTCGCTTGGGACGAAATCTCACTGTCGCCCAACTCAAGTCTCCCCACGATACGCCTCCGTTCCCCAACGATGCTGCGCAAAACGATGAATGATAAGAGGAAGCAACCAAACATTTCCCAACAGCAGCAGAAACGAGCTACCGATCTCGAATCCGGATTTTTCGAGCCACCTCCCAACTCGAGCAGAGCAAGACATTCGACTCTCAGTCTCTGGTTGGAAAAAGGTGAAAATGCAATCGACTATGTGGCTACGAAGCTGGCCACGATCATGTACGAGCAGGTGAAAAATCCGGAGGAAGGGTTGTTGTTGCCTGTGAGGGATTGCGAGAGGGAGAGGAAAAGCGATGGGGTAATGGTGGGGATTTCTTGAGTCTTGGGATTTGGCTTGGTTGGAGCGGGAAGGAAAGATTGGAGGACTGGATGTAAGTGTTATGAGGTCTGCAGTTTTTGGAAAAGATGAGGCTGGGGAGCATGTTGCAAACTTGGGTCTATCAGAGGTTGTAGGTGACCTGGCCTATAAATTCGATGCTACCGCTAACGTGGAGAGGTCGTATAGGGAAGTCCATTGGAAGAAAAATAGCTTGAATGGTAGATCGGAAAGAGACAGAGTAAGCTTTACGCTTGACCACGAGGATCAGTTTTCACGCACTTGCATGATTTTTGGTGTTATGTCTGCTTTCTGTAGACTGGATGTACCCTAAATGGCATATAAGAGGATTTCTCGCGAGTCCTGTTTGTATCTCCTGCCACATCTCTGCTGTTATCCGGCTGTTTCTGTCCCCTGGGCTTGCCCTTGATCGGTGGCGATACACGGCCCCAATGCTGCATCGCTAGTTGATCACAAGCGCTATGCAAAATTCATTCTGCGGGTCCACTTCGCAGTGTCTTCGATAGTCACTTGTCGTTTCCAACAAACCTCCCCTCCACTTCGCGGCGGCCAATATCGCACCTTATCCCTCATGCGAAAGAGCCCAATGCAAGCCTACAGAACCAAAGCGTCTCACTCCTGAACTTGTTCCACTTCCCCACCGACTTTCAAGAAACCCCTTGATGACCCCCCTGCCCCCCAACTACATCCTCCACCCCAAAAAGCCTCAAAAGGTCCCTCCTCTGAAACATCTGCGCACTCTCAATCGCATTCGGCTGCCCCGCGGCCAAATCCGCGCCTTGCTCCGCCAGATACTTCACAATATCTCCATATCCTTTAAACACCGCACCAGCGACTATACTCTGTCCGCGATCATTCAGAATATCCAGCTCAGCGCCTTTTTCTACGAGCATTTGTACGGTGGACATGTGGCCGTGATAGGTCGCGAGCATGAGTAGTGTGTCGCCTTTGTGGTTGGTGAGGTTCACGGGGATGCCGGCGGAGATGTATTGTTGCAGAGAGGCGGTTTGGCCGGTGCGGGCGAAGTCGAAGAGCTTGGTGGCGAGGTCGAGGGCTTCGGGAGGGAGTTGGGAGGTTGCTGCTGCTGATGAGGAAGAAGAAGAAGCAGGCTTGGCTGGGGGAGATGTGGTGGTGGTGGTGTCTGCTGTAGAGGAGGGGTTTTGGAGTTGTGGAAGGCCCATGATTGGTGATGCTGTTGCTGTATGGTGTGGTATAGTATAGTATAGTAGTATAATCAGAAAGAAGAACAGGAGAATACAGACCGTGTAGAAAATATGTTGTATAAAGCAATGAATGCTCTGTACAGACTAACATACATGTATTTGTGAGTGAGTGCAGCTCGAACAATGAATGGATGTCACTGGTGAGGTCATCGGAAGATGATCCGTCGCCACTCGTTTTATCCGACGGCCTCAATATATTCATCCGTCGAGATCGCTTATTAGCGCTTTGGTTTCTCGCCATCTCTCTCTCGCTCGCTCGCTCGCTCTTCATTGCTGAGCAGGTAATTCATTAATACTTCGGCCTCAATCCAACCTCGCTCGGACACTCGTCTCTAGCAGTAACATAAAAGGACTGAATTCGCCGCTATCCCCTACGAGGACTAAGCGTTGGTGGTATGGAGTTGACTTATTCCCGTTACATATAACATCTACCGCCTGGAGGCACGTCTCGCCAGCTGATGGCATACGCCTACATGCGTTGCTTTTCTGGTGATTGTTGAGAAGCATCATATTCGTTAGTAGCCCCACGAACAACATCCAATCACAAACTCAAAATGAGGTGCACGGCTTAATGGTCTAGTGGTATGATTCTTGCTTTGGGTTTCACAATCACAATTGCAAGAGGTCCTTGGTTCAATTGTAAGTTGCCTTGTCTGCTCTTCCCGAGGTCGATCATATTCTAACCATCTGCAGCCGAGTTGAGCCCGTACAAGTCTTCTTTTTGTGCTTTTTTTTTGATGATGATTATGATTCTGTAAAAAGTGATTTCCCATTTGGCATACAGGTTGTATTGATGTTACACACCGACTGCCTTTTCACAGACGATCTGTTTTTTTTTGAAGCTCACGCACACCCTGGTACGCATAACAGCCTGATGATATTACAACTACTGGCGACCATTAGTAACCTCCAGCTATTCAACAGCTCAGAGGAGAGATAAACGAGACCGGGCTTTCAGGTGACTCTTCTGGTTGGCTCTAGATACATGTAGATAAGCTGTACATAACATATGAGTACGAAATTTCCGCTCTGCAAAATCCTTGACGACCGCGGCAATGTGAGGCTTTATGGATGGATGCATAAGAAGAGGTCAAATATCTACTACGGCAGAAAAGATATGGGCTGGATTCAGTTTGAAACGGGAATGAAAGAGAGTAAAAATGGATAATTCAGTCAGTTAAATGAATATGAATATGAGTTTGAATTTGAAAACGAATTGCCTAATCCCACCACCAGTTAGTTTAGTACATCAAGTCACATACCATAGACGCAACAAGCTTACCTCGGTGGATATGCCCAATTCCTCGGATCCTCCAAGTTGTCTCCCCGTAGAATCAAGTTATCCCTCGCCTTCCTCATACGACTCACCGTATCCAGGATTCCATTGTGACGTTCCTCAAAACAGGCAGAAGCTCTCTTTGAAGGGTTCACGCGAAGACAGCTATAGACGATGTCCTTCAAGCCATGCTCCATCGACAAATTGAGAAGCTCCTCGTTTGCTCCTGTTCGCCAGGTTCGGTCTTCTCGGATACTCTGTTGGACGGCGACGTAGTAGAGGACTTGGCCCGCGCTGTAAATATCCGAGGCCGGAGTGCTTTTGGCGCCGACGTCGAACCATCCGATCCGTGCGCTTTGCCAGAGATCGCACAGGGCTTGCTGCTCTGGTGCGAGCCATCCGATAGTTCCAGCGCCGGCTCTGGGGTTGGGGTCGTTCAAGAGTTTGGCGTGGCCGAAGTCTCCGAGGACGAGGGTTGGCATTCCTCCGACGAGCTTGCCTGCGGACCAGGACAGGAAGAATTGCTCAGGTTTGAGGTCTCCGTGGACCACAGCCTGGTGATTCTTGTCTTGTGTATATATCCCGTCGTGGTCGTGTCGGAGGCCGTGGTGGATGTATGCCAATATCTCGAACATCTGGACGACGATGTGGTATAGGAACAGGCGAGGAGTTGGGACGTTGCGGTGAACGTTCCAGAAGGAGATTTGCCCGTTGAGGTCGCCTCCTGCGCAAAATTCCATGTATATATAGAATCTGCCGGGTGCATATTGGTCCTCGTACATTGCGTGCACCACTACAATGTTCGGGTGTGCAGGTATAAGGTTCTTTGCAAAGTCCGCATCGCAAGGGACTTTGAAAGCACGCGTTCCGTCGGACTTGTGACGATTGAGCTGGTCAATCCTCACTGCGTGCGAGTGCTTTACTACAAAGAGTTTACCATTAGCTCTGGATCGTTTCACCGAAACCTCACCTTCTGCTCCGGCGTCAAGCTTTCTCTCGTAAACAACGTCGTAATCCTCGTGGGGCGCAGGCTGATATCGGGACGCGCGCTCTTCTTCTAGATTGGTGATGGTCGATTGGGGGGTATTGCCAGCAATCTGTCGAGCTCGGGCGAACTTGGCAAACGTGGTGGCCAAAAGAGACAGCGGCATGATGTCGGCTTGGGGATCTGTGTTGTAGTGATGTAGGCAGGGGCGACTTACAGATATACTTGTCCAGCAAGTAGTTTGGTATGGGTCGCGTATAGGTCAAGTTCGAATTGTTTCGGATGGATAGCACCAGTGTGAATATATGTATAGCAAAGATGATGCAAGTACGAGTATGCGAGCACTGATGCTATACCGGGTGTGGTCAAGGATGATGGAGAACAGAGACGAGAAGGGGTGTCCTGGGGATTTATATATTCTCCAGGCCTAGGGGAAAAGCACCAGGAGCGCATAGCTGTTTGTGTCTCTGCTTTGTCTTTGCAACAATGAGACTTTATGCTCGACAATGTCTCATTGTTCGTGATGAGACCAGGGAAGAATGGTGGCATTGTCTGCACAAAGGCTTCGTGCGAGTTCAATGGCGCGCTATCACATCTCTTGTAAGCGTGGACTCAGTACAATCGCATTCTTGGACACTTCAACAAAGCCTCTCTGCCCGAAAAATTAGTCCAGGATAATACCACAACGGACCAAACGGCATCGCTGATACTGCCTTACCGTATTGCGATGGTGGAGATGCCTCAGACTTCATCGCATCCATCACAGCCCCTGTTAAGCAAGCACCAGTCCAGTCCGTCCACCAGCGTCAGACACACTTCGCCTGCGCCGTCTCTCTGCCAAATGGAAAGCGGGTATTCAGTGGTTGGCAACGTCGAGGGAGGCCACTTGCGGGAGGATTTGAGACAGGCTCGTCTTCTGGTGTGATCTGAGCGATATAACACACACAGCTTTCGATATCGGAACCTCCATCGAACTTATGCTGCGCTATAAATCTCGTCATGTCAGTATCAGAACAATAAGAGCATGCCTGACCGAGGGGGGAATTTTCCCCAGCCTTCCATCTATTCTCTGTTGAAACAATACTCCGCCAAGTGTCTCAAAAGCAATGTCTTCGGACCTATTTCCGCCCAATTCACGATTGGATCATGCGCCTAGGTGTATACGTTCCTCGCATTTCTACTGGTTCTGACACAAACTCTGAAACGCGGTGATATCGGGTTAGGAATGTTCTCCATCAGCACAATCCAGGCATTATCAACCACTGAAATGCTCATGGCCGATCCGTATATCAGCATGACAAATGTTCTCATATTCCCACGAAATAGGTCACCATCTCAAGGCCTCGTTTCCACTCATTTCATCCCATGATTCTATTTCCCATGCCCACCTCCCCCTAACGCATCCGGCAGGTTGATACTGCTAATCCTATTCGCCAGCGAGAGTCCCACAGCATCGATGGCTCCTTTGGGACTTCTCAACGAGATCTCCTGGCTTGCGCCCTGCCGTCGAAAGAGCTTGATATCCGTGCTACTATACAATCCACCGGAGCCTTGAAAAGCTTCAGCTTCTTGCACGTAGATTCGACTCCAGATGAGCGCGTTGTACCAGCCGATGGCTACCGCTGTCCAGGAGAAGTTGACAGGGCCTCCGGCTGCTGGTCTGATATCTTCTATTGTCGATGTGTCAGTCGTCATATTGAGTGCGGGAGCGGACGAGAAGTGGGTGACGTTGTGCTTACCTTTAGAGCTGAGATGACCTTGTCCATCGGTTCCATGTGCGGCTTGCGAGCTGCGGCTGCTTTCTGCGGAGTGGCGGGTGAATTGGGCGGATTGACGGGCTTCTCGTCTGCTGCTGGGTTGGGTTTCTGGAGCTGTTGTGGAAAGGTTTGCATGGTGCTCTTGTCGAGGAGCAGTGATGGGAGTGAAGCCAAGTGGGGATTTCTCGGCCTCTTCAATGACGTTAAGTATGGCATCGAGCGGTAGCTGCGTGGACCAGTTTGCTAGCCACTGCTCGGAGGGGAGAAAGGTCTGAGACGTGGTGACTGGCGTGAGGGTGCTCAGGCTGGTAAGTGAAGGGTTTCGTGAGGTTGAGACACGCAACGCTGCTGCTGGCTGTTTTCCACGTGCTTTGTCGCTGAGACGTGCAGGACTGGCGGCGATAGTGTTGTCTGTAGCACTGCAGGTGCCTTGACTGGAGTCAGCAGTGGACTTTTCGCTGACTTCTGCGTCGGTCTCTTCGTCTTCATTGTCTTCATGGTTATCATCATGGTTATCATCATTGTCATCGTCGTCGCCTATCGTGAACTGGCTATCCTCTGGAACCTCGGCGAGCGAGGACGTCCGGAGTGGAGCGGGTCTACGCATACTGTCGATTGAGGAGCCGCGTGAGGTATCGCCACGATCTTTGCGCTCAATCGCTTGACGTTCGAGTTCGGCCTGCGCGCCCTCGACGGTGAGGTCGCGTAGTGCTGTGAAGCGCTTTTTACTTGCAACAAGTACTTTGACGAATTGTGGGTTTTCTGTGGTCGCTATGGAGTTAGTGACCAGGACCAGATGGGAAGGTAGTACAGAGGACAAAGAGAAGAACACGGTCCACCTAGTGTGCACGTATTATTACTACCAAAGAGCAAGACAAGATGCACAAAGTACACGACTTGCCTGCGAGCTCATCCCCTCGACAGCAACCTCCCGTACACCTCCAGTCTCGTCTCGAACACCGCCACAACAAGTCAACTCTGGACCGAGGTTCGCTCGCATGAAGTCTTCCACGGGTAGCAAGCCTCCCTTCTGGCTGCTCCGCCGCTCCGCTAAGCTCAACGCCACGTCCATCCTCGCAGGTTGCTGGCGCTGGCAGACCTCGCTGGAAGTGCATAGCTCGGCGTAACAGAAAGCGCGGGCGAAGAAAATGATGTGAACTTACCGCGTGAGTGATTGTCCAGTATGGCGTAGCAGGCGTCAAGCACCTTCTTCAAAATCAGGTGATTGCTCTCGTTCCTGAGACAGAAGCCAGGCGCGGACACGATGTCGAAGAGATTCATCACCTTGGAAGAGGTGGCGCGCTGCAGGTTCTTCGCATAAGGAGCCACGTTCTTGATGATGTCGAACAGCGCGGGATACACGGGCTCGAGACGCCCTTTGGACGTTGTGATGAGAAGGTGTATTGACTTGACGCGAATCAGCAAAAGAGCACGGGCAGCGATCGAGACCTGAGGGGGGAAAGACATACGCATATCAGGAAATCAGCATATGAGCCACGGAAATTCTCTACTCGCATCACCGGCGGCAAGCTGCCCACGTGGAGAAATGGCGTATTCAGCTTCGAAGTGAAGGCGGTCTCGGCGCTCAAGGACTGGATCACGAAAATGGCCATGCGCATCACGCCTTGTTTCATCTCGTCGCCCACGGAATCTCGTGCGTAGTACAAGAGCACGACGAGATAGTCCATGCCGACCTTGGTCTCGCATAGGTAACGTCGGAAGCGCTTGTTGCACTGGATGAGCTCCCAGAGGAAGCTGATCATTTCAGTGGCGTGGTGGACGGCATTGCTCTTACCGATGCTGAAGTTGCTCGCTGTTAACTACTGATGGTCAGCATATGATACATGATGGATACCTGCAAGATTGCCATTCCCCTCTACTTACTGGTTGTGAGATGACCACATTGGTGCCGTGGTGGATGAATTGGAAATCATCTGGTCGGAACAGCGCGCCGATCGATGATCTGAATCCATTCTTGCCCTCTGGCGGGATGTAAACCATTGCAACCAACAAGAACTGGACGCAGTTGAGGACCAGGAGCTTCTTATTATCCCGGGCTCCCTGCCAGCCGCTTGGCATGCTCCACAAATTGGGGTTGAATCTCATGACCGTGTTCAGACACGAGCAGTTGATGGCGTTGACGACGCGCTTGTCCACCTTGGTGGTGAGGTATGTGAGCACTTTGTTGTTGGCGACCGCTACTTGATCAGGCCTCATATAGAGAGGGCTGCTCGTCAAGGTCAACAGGAACCTGACGAGCTCGTACTGATTACGCTCATGCTCCGCAGTACACTTGGGATCGCTGCTACATCCAATGCCAGTCTTCCACACCTTCAGCTCGTATCCTCTGCCAGATAGTCTGTTCTCGTCCCGCAGTGCCGGGAGAGTCAAGCCTCTCCAGAAGAAATAGTCGATCACGAGACTGAGGAGCGTCTCGCCGAGCGGCGGGCCAATTTCCTTGTGCTGGTCGGCTTTCTCGTACAGCCTGCTGGGTTCCAGGCCGTCGAACAGCTGAGTGGGGGCGTCGCGCTTGTCGTCCCATTTGAGGTATTGTGGCTTTCTCGGTTGCCAAAAGAATCGATCGTACCAGTCCCTCAGATGCTCGGCCTCGAATATGAATGGCATGATTCTGGTCAGGATGCGCATACAGTTGAGAATCTGGCGGACCACGAGCTCATTGGGTTGCGCGACGTCTTGCTGGAGCCTTCTCAGTTGCGCAACGGCGTTGTACAAGAGTGTTTCCAAGTTGGTCATAGGCGAGCACTGTTCGCCGGGGATCGCTTTGGCACCACCGAGCTCTGAGGCATCGGTGCACGTCAGGACACGCACATCGGCTCCCACCAAGAGATCGAAGACATCGTCCACGCGCTCGGGTACGGTCCAGTAAGTGGTGAAGATGTCGTCGTCTGGCTGCAACACCTTGTCGCCAATGAGCTTGAAGACGCTCTGCTTGAAGGCGATCTTGCTCTCCGACACACCCATCTTTCCCAGCTCTTGGTTTTTGTGGTGGATGTTTCGGGCAGCGCGATCGCGAGAAGTGAAGAATGGAGTGTGAAGCGCGCGAGCGTGCGTGAGTGCGTGCGTGACGTGTCCAGTAGACGTCGGGGTTGGGAGATATGTGTGCCTATCGGTTTACGGAGGCGCTGAAGGCGATCGTCGTTGCCGCCGTCTGGAGCATTGTGGTCGTCGTGCCTGAGCCGGTCGATCTTGTCTGCGGTGGAGGATTGTGCTGGTGCCGGTGCTGCTGCTGCCCTGCCTGTCACCTCGGTGGTATGGAAGTAGGTAGGTACCTGTAGGTGAGGTAAGATGGTAAGGCAACTTCGAAGTGCAGGTCAGTACGTCGCCATTGGATCTGGGACCAGAAGGGAGGAAGAGACGGGAAGAGAAGACTGGAGGCTAAGGTATTTTGTTAAGGTACAGTGGTAAGTGGTAAGTGGAAGGAGGGGTGGACAGGTAAGGTAGGTCAGGTCAGGTCAGGTTAGGTAGGAGGTAGTTCGATCCCCCGGAGCTACGCTGAAGAAGGCTGAAGCTTAATAAAAAAATACAACACCGGGACGACGGAGACGGGGACGGTGAGAGCCTGAGAAGGCTGAGAGGGAGGACGAGAAGCTGTGCCAAGACACCACTGCCACCTCCCTCTCCCAACGGGCATCAACACCTCACCGCACCGCACCGCATCCCATCACCGCTACCTTACTCACTCACTCACTCACTCTGCTCCTGTGACCTCCGCCCCGCCCATGGACAGCAGCACCCGCACTTGACTGAACTGCGGCAACAACAGCGCGCCACCGCCGCCGCCGCCGCCGCTCCGACTGTGGGCAGCAGCAACTCAGTTGGTCGGACTGCGAAAAAGAGTCAGGTAGTAAGGTTCTATTCGAGCACCGCGCCGCTGCCAGTGCCCATCAGCGCTGGCACTCCGCTCCCGCTCGCGCTAGGTGGTAGTCACTCTTCCGACTTCACGCCTCAGGTTGTGCTTGATTCTCGTTCATCAGTATTATCGCAATCCACTGTGCCCCCATATGTCTCTGTACTCCACACCGGACGAGGCCAAGGCGTCCCATCCGGGCGTCAAGGATGCAAAGCACTACGAGCGCATCTACGACCTCTTGCAGCAGAGCAAGCAAGCCCTTCTTGACAGTGCTCTCGAGAAGGACTACAATGCCAAGAACAGTCTCACTCCGACGATGCTCTTCGTCAGCATTCTTGTGCACAATGGGATGCATCCGGACACGGCAGAAGCCGTCGCTGCAATGATCTGTAAGACGTTGAAACTCGGCACCGTCGAGAATATTCAGGTTTGTGGAAAAACACTCTCCCTTGCACAGTTTTCCTTTTCGCTAGTCTGCCAACTTACACTCTCCTTCACATTAGCGATGCAAGGCTGCAATCATGGTATGCGTCCTTCCACAAGGGCGGGAGTCGCGTGACGCGTTCCACAACTTGATGATCGCACTATCCATTAGTTCCGAGGATGTTTTGTGGACGGACGATGAAGTGAGTGTGGATGCAAATGGCCAGAACATACGGCCACCCAGTCCTCATACCACACGTCTTAGGGGGCTTCGCCTGGTCGCCAACATACTGAGGTCCGTATTGGAAGAAGTTCCCGCTGACACCCCTCCGTACAAAGACTACGCGCGGGAGGACGACAGCCCCCTCTCCATTGCGTGGATGTTGCAGCGCCTCATCATGCATTTGGTCGCGCTTGCTTCCTGCGCCAGTGGGCGTGACCCAGAGGACAAGCAGGCCCAGCTCCACAAGTTCGTCGAATACTGTGCTATGCATTGCAGTCAAGTGTTCATCAAGGCGGAGCTGAGAACACTCAACGAAATCATTACTTATCCAGACCATCGATCACCTGCGCAGCTCAACGAGGAAGAATTGGACAACGCCAACAGCGGCTACCGGGCTGCACTGAATGGCGAATCGATCGTGCCGGAGCGACACGGCGTAGCGAGCAATCGGAACGCTCCATGGCACCAGCTCCCAGCTACCAATGGGATGAGACAGCAGCGAGAACGATCCTCCGCAATACATGCCAGAGCCATGCCGCTCGGCGGCTACTCCTTGACTGATGCAGGTACGTAATGATGGCGCAGACTTTGGTGTCGAGTGGGCCTACCATGCTCTCGAGAGTGCAAAGGTAAGTCTGACCTGAGAGAGCTAATGCATCAAACACAGGCAAACTATGGGACGACGAGACCAGGAGCGCGACGAGAGATGTCATGAAAGAAATGTTCCAGCAATACAAGCCCATCGATGCCGAGGATATCCAAGACATTGATGATCTGGGCTGCATAGTCTGGAAGGACCCCGAGCGCCCAACCCGCAACTACTGGGGCTTCAGCGATGAGGGCCTGGCTGCTATGAGGACGAATCAGAAGGCGGAAAGGGAGAAGAAGACGGCTGTTGCCATGGAGTACGAGGATCTTGATCGGCCACGTGCAACCCGCACTACCGAGATTGAGCGAGCCCGCGACCTTGCCACTCGTGGCCGTGGCGGCAGTGGCGGTCGTGGCGGTCGTGGCCGTGGTGGATATCGCGGCGGACGTGGTTACTAGACTACAGAGTCTTTTGCCCGTAGCGCTCGCTCATAATACTCGCCTTTGAATCAGAATCAGAAAACTTGTTCCATCCCATCTCATCACGTGATGTTCTTTCTGACTTCACCGTAGGTAGCGGACAAGGAGTGGAGTTTCTTTCGTGCTAGACTCTCCCAGAACTTTTCAGCTATTCGTAAGCAGACCAAAGATACAAGCTCGAACATCTTTGAAGATAAAAATGCTTCGTCGTCAAAAAGAGAGATACTTCTCATCATCAATTCGTGGTGCCTATAGATCCGGTCTAGCACGATCATTCCAAATCTTCCTGACCGGCGGCACAGCCTCTTCGTAGCTCATATCAGTCCATTAATGACACTCATACAGATGAACAAGCAAACTGGACACCCTTCCTTCTTATGAGGAAGTAGCCCTCGGTTCAGCGTTTTCTTTTCCCTCCCCTTCCACCTCCTCTACCCCCTTCTCCATTTCCCGCTTCTTTCCATACTTGTACCCATACATCTGGGGAGCGCCGACCCCAACCTCCTGTCGACCCCACTGATGCATCAACGTCCGTGCCATCAATTCACGTTCGCGCTTAGCCTCGTCCAACTTGCCTTTCCAATATTTCTCCCGCTTGCTCAGAACTGACGAGACTTTGGCGTCGAGAGCGGTGTTGACAGATTCGAGATTGTTGAGTTCTGTCTGTAAGGCGTCTCGCTCTGCAGTGACAGTAGCAACGAAGGCTTTCGCTTCGTCACGTTCGACGACTGCCATGTTGAGTTCTGATTGCTTGGCTTCTAGCTCAGTGCGGAGAATCTCCACTTCCTGGGACGATGTATTACTCGAAATTTGACCCTGCGAGCGGAGACGATGAACTTCGGCTTCATGCGCCGTCCGCTGATCTCTCAATTGCTGCTTGAGCTCTTGCATCTGACGTTGAAGATTCGCAGCTAGCTCGACAGCGCGTGTACGTTCATTACTCGTACGCGTCACATCATCTTCGTGCGTGCGTCGAGCGGCGACAAGCTGCTCGCGGATCGCCTTCATCTGATCGTCCGACTCCACCTTGGCAGCTTTGTGGTTCTCAATCTCAGACTTGGACTGCAGTAGCTCTCTTTCGAGTTCGCTGATAGCGGCCTCGTCGTCATGTGCTTGCTGTAGTTCGGTCCGGAAACGCTGTCGCTCAGCATCGTAATGGTCGCGCTCTGCCTCGAGCTCCTCGCGAAGATCGGAAGCTGCCTTTTCAGCTTGGTCTCGACCACGTCTGACAGCTGCCAGGTCTTGCTGGAAGGCTCTGCATTGTCCCTCATGCTCGGTCTGTTGAGCCTGCAGTTGTTTCCGCAACTGCTCAATCTCGGCGTCGTGGCTCTCCTTTTGACCATTCTCCCCCGATCTTGCGAGATCTGTCAACTTCTGCTGGTTAAGCAGTTGTTCTTTCAGCTGACCGAATTCGCGCCTGAACTCGCCATTATGCCGATGGGCCAGCTCCTTCATTTCGATTAGATCTTGCTCGCGACGGGCAGCTTCTGCGATTTGCGATTCATGACTGGTCTTCTCGTGTTTCCGCAACCTCCTCTCCTCGTCCAGCGCATGACCTAGTGCCCCATTCAGGTGCTCCAGCTGAGCACACTTGGCGTCAAGTTGCTGGAACTGAGCCTCCAGCTCCAATCTTGACTCGCTGTCCATTCTCTGGTCATACGTGCCATTGGTGGAGGTTCGCCGCAGCACACTCTCCTCCCTCGACTCGGTGTCTATTCCTAGCTTCTCTTCGGCCGTCGGGCTGGTCCTGCGGGCGAGAACACTTGCATCCTGCGAGGCTGACAGAAGTAGACTATTGCCATCGTCACCGCCAGCATCAGAATCTACTCTGCGTTCCGAAGTGCGCTGCAGCACAGGCGACCGCACGGGAGACCGCACAGGCGAAAGAGTAGGACTCGACGGACGACCAGGACTCCGGCTCCCGTCCTTAGCAGGAGAGTGCTTCTGACTCGCATACGTGTCGCTATGCAGGCTCCTCCCACGCGCCGACTGCTGAAGAAGCTGCCGTGCCGGACTAAGCTCACTGTAGTAATCTTCTACAGTCGGCTGGAGGAATTGCTTGTGGTTTGGAGGAACTGGAGGAGATCCTTCGCCGTCCGTCTGCCACTCCGAGCTGAAGCCTTCCTCGTACTGACTCTTCTCCAGGATAGAGACTTTGGGTGGACTGTTTTCAGGCGTGTGGTCGCTTTGTGTGACGTCTCCCTCGGCTTCTGGATGGTGTTGTCGCGGGACTTCCAGGAAGTCATGCGTCTGCACTTCTTGCTGCTTCAGCTCCTCATTCCGCTCCATGATGGTTTGAGCAATGGTAGTAGCAGGGCCGCCTTTCTTCTTGCTCAACGTTCCTCTTCCTGTGGTTCCTCCTCGCATCCACATGTCCATGTTCTGCGTAAAGTCGCTGGGTCCATCGATGTCTTCCGAGAGCACATGATCGACCTTGGGCTCCGGGATGCGCGTCTCGGTGTCGTCGGGGCCGTCGAGATCGAGCGCGGCGAGATCAAGCGAGTATTCGGAGTCTGGCTGCGAGTCGCGTCGCCAAACGCGTGTTGGCGGGCTCGATTGCATGTTGTTGTCCTTGCTATGATTGCTACTGTCGCGAGAAAGACCAATCAAAACAAACGCCAAACTCCCTCAAACATGCCAAACAATCGAATATGCGTGCGTGGGTGGTGGTGGTGGAAGAAGATGTCCTGCAGCGATATGAAAGTGGACAAGTGCAATGTTTGGAGGACGCGTTGTGAAAGGCTTGGCGCATCCAGCATCTTCGCTGTCATCCACATTCCAAGACATTTCGACCACCTCTTTCTTTCGCCCTTCCCGTCCTCCCTTCACCCCGCGGCCTCCTGATCTATGCCACTCGTAGACGCTGCCCTGGAGACAGCCACCCACACTCATGCGCACTCTGCGATAATCGTCTTGGCAGCCAGCGTGTGCCTCATCTGGTATGCTGTGGTGCTGCTGGTCTGCGGCATTGGCTACACGCAAATGTAGGTCTGCTCTCGCCTCTCCTCTGCTTCTTTTCTCTGACTTTGCCGCAAAGATGGCGACACTACTCACAGCCGGAAGCGGCAGCAGCAGCAGCGATTGACTCGGCCACTGCTCCTCATGTCACCGTCATCCGACCCGTCAAGGGCCTCGAGCCACGTCTCTACGACTGCCTGGCCTCTACTCTAAAACAGCACTATCCTACCGACAAGCTGCACATCCGCTTCTGCATCTCGAATCGCGACGATCCGTCCTATGCAGTACTGCTGCGCCTTCTGGACGATTACCCCGACCATGATGCACAAATCCTGCTGGAAGACGAGGATGAGCTGCTCAAAACGAGACATGGCTCACTTGGGCCGAATCCGAAGATCAGGAATATGAGTAGAGCGTATCGGGAAGCTGTTGGCGATATAATCTGGATCATAGACTGCAACGTTTGGGTCGCCAAAGGTGTTCTAGGCCGCATGGTCGCCAAACTAGAGGGTCATGGTGGAAAGCGGAAATACAAACTCGTGCACCAACTTCCTCTGGTTGTCGACATTCTGGGAACATCGAAAACAGAGGAAACAAATGGTTTACTGGACGCACATGACAATGACACTCAGCTTCGCACCACAAGCTCCGCTTCGGCATCTTTCCAACAAGGCTTCGAAAGAAATGCTTCTACCGTCGGCGGAGGACGTCTCGAAGAAGCCTTCATGTCCTCTGCCCACCCTAAATTCTACACTGCCATCAACACCGTTGCTGTGGCACCTTGCATCGTTGGGAAAAGTACCATGTTCAGGAAATCGCATCTCAATAGTCTCACTAATGACGCTGGTATCGATTACTTCAGTCAGAATATCTGCGAGGACCATCTCATCGGCGATCTACTCTGGAAGAAAAAAGTTCCAGAGGAACTGCGAGGAGAGAAGATCGGCAAACATGCCCAATGCTTCGGCGATCTGGCTATTCAGCCCATGGCGAATATGAGTGTGTATGAGTACTGGAGCCGCAGAGTCAGGTGGTTGAGAGTGCGAAAGTTTACTGTCACACTCGCGACGCTGGTCGAGCCTGGGACCGAAAGCTTCTTATGCTCAGCCTATGGCGCATTCGCGGCGACTACCTTGCCCTACATATACGGCACTCTGCACGTCCCGCAGACATGGGCCGCATTCGCCGCAATTTGGCTCTTAAGCGTCGCGCTTTGGTGTGTAGTGGACTGGACATTGTACCTCAAACTCCACTCAAGTGCGTCAATCGAACCTGACGAGCATACACCTTCCTTCGCAAGGAGGAGCAAGACGAAACGACCTTTTGGTGAGTGGCTATTGGCATGGATCGGACGAGAAGCTCTGTGTCTCCCCATCTGGCTTTGGGCGTTTTGGGGTGGAACACGAGTCGAGTGGAGAGGGAGGAAGTTCTGGGTGGGCATGGACATGAAAGTGCATGAAATAAACGACAATGGTGCTCTGCAGGAGGGGGATGGGCTGCCAGTTACTAGATCTGCTTCACATTTATCCACCGCAAATGGAAATCACGGGAAAGCGAGAGTGGACTGAATGACCATGATGGAAAGCTATATCACTTGCGCAGACGCACCCACACCCTTCATGCTCAGCCTTCCACACGCCTCAAACTCGTCCTTCCCTTTCTCGCGCACCTTTGAGTATTCGTCAAAAGTGCAGTAGTATTACGTGCGCGAGAGGAAATTCCGCTCGCGACTGGGGAGTGGGATGACACAACGACTTGCAACATGAGCCATCGTGTCAGTACTGCGGATCATCAATGAATCAATTCCAAGTTTCTTGAGTTTCAATTTCGAGTCTGCTTATTTGACGCTTGATATCTTTGACAGACTCATTCGAATGACGATGATAATTGGTCATGTCATCATTCGTGGCGGAAGACTGAGTACATGTAGGTAGGTATGTAGTCCATTGAGACGTGGCCCGCTGCTCGCCCGTGATATTGCATGCCAGACCAGACCACCTACCATCCTTACTGCGACTGGGCCCTAAAAGTTTGTACCGACCCATCGTCTAGCACTCTTGAACATTCTACTCCAAGGACCGAACTCGCCCCATTCCTTCTTCTGTTCACCACGAGGCAAGTAGCTCGCGACTTCCTTCAGAATCGTGCGCTCCGGATGAGGCATAAGAGCCAAGACTCTGCCGTCGGGTGTACGCACACCTGTGATGCCCATGGGAGATCCGTTCGGGTTGTAAGGATAGGCTTCGGTAGGCTTGAGATAGTTGTCGACGTAGCGTATGGCAACGAGACCTTGATCGATGAGATTCTCCGCTGAAGATTCGCCAGACTGCGGGAATGATGCGCGGCCTTCCCCGTGGGCGGTGACGACGGGGAGGTAGGATCCATTCATGCCGTGGAGGAATACGGACGGAGTTTTGTAGTTGTCGGCTTTCTCGGTGACTTGGACCATGCAGACACGAGCTTCGTACTGCTCACTGATATTGCGTTCGAAAGTTGGCCAGTTTTCGGCGCCTGGGATCAGCTCGGTCAAACGGGATAAGAACTGGCAGCCGTTACAGACCCCGAGAGTGAAGGTGTTGGGGCGTTCGAAAAAGTCCTTGAACTCATTGCGCGCTCCTTCATGCAACAGGACCGACTTAGCCCAGCCTTGACCCGCACCGAGCACGTCGCCGTAGCTGAAGCCACCGCAAGCGGCAAGGCCAACAAATGATTTGAGGGAGACGCGCCCAGTGAGGATGTCGGTCATGTGGACGTCGATGGGGCTGAAGCCTGCAATGGAGAATGCAAAGGCCATCTCTGCATGGCCGTTGACACCCTGTTCGCGAAGGATTGCAACGCGCGGTTTCTGCTTGATGGTTGCCGAGATGGATGTGCTCCATGGCAGAATGTTCTCGTCTGGCTTGAAGCTGAGGTTGAATCGCAGACCGGGATTCGCGTTGTCGTCGATGTTTGCCTTCTCGGCATCGGCACAGTCTGGGTTGTCTCTGAGTCTCTGCATGGCCCAGGAGGTGTGATGCCATTTCTGCTGCAATTCTTGTCTTGAAGCACGGTAAATGCAGTCGGCGCCGTAGTGAATGGCAAGCTCCTGTCTCGAGGACCTGGGCACAGATGCAATGACAACGGGTGTCATAGGCGCAAACACGCCGCGGAACTGACTCTCGTGCTTCTTGCGAATCTGGAAGACAGCGCCGAGCTCTTCGTTGAAGAGTGTCTCAATCACATCCTGAGGACGACCAGATTTGACAATGCGATCAAGCATCAGATCAAGTCCACATCGTCCTGCAAACATCATTTCTGCCAGAGTCGTGAACAGCCCTCCATCGGATCGGTCGTGGTAAGCGAGCACGATGTCTGTCTCGTGCAGCTGCTCGATGGCGTGGTAGAGGTCTTTGATGTAGTCAACGTCGTGAACATCTGGTGCAGTATCGCCGACCTGACCAAATACTTGCGCGAGGGCTGAACCGCCCAGTGCCTTTCTACCACCGGCAAGATCGACAAACATCAACAAAGTCTCGCCCACATCCTCATATCGCGCAAGGGTAGGTGTCCATGTACTGCTGAGATCATTCACCGGTGCGAAAGCAGTGATTACCAGAGACAGTGGAGCTGTGACTTCCTTGTCGTCCCACTTGGTCTTCATCGACATAGAGTCTTTGCCGACGGGTATGCTGATGCCCAGCTCTGGGCACAATTCCATGCCGATAGCTTCTACTGCCTCATACAGAGCAGCGCCTTCACCCGGGTGACTGCTCGCTGCCATCCAGTTCGCTGAGAGCCTGATACGCTTGAGTCGGTTGGGGATACTCGCAGCCGCAATGTTGAGCAAAGACTCTGCAACCGCCATACGTGCTGAAGCACCAGCCGAGATCAGAGCGAGAGTAGGCTTTTCTCCCATTGCCATAGCCTCGCCAGTGGTGATACCAGGAGTCAGTGATGTCGCTGTCACCGACACATCTGCAACAGGAGTCTGCCATGGGCCTACCATCTGATCCCGAACAGTCAATCCACCAACTGTACGATCGCCAATTGTGATGAGGAAAGATTTGGAACCCACAGAGGGGAGCGACAGTACTCGATCAATCGCGTGTGGAAGGACACTTTGCACATTCGCGGCCGCACTTGGAATGTATGTAGTCAGGCTGCTGTCGAAAGCCGGGAGCTTCGGCTTGCGTGAGTTGACGGTTCTGGTCATCTTTGGTGGCTTGCCGAAGAGAGTCGACATTGGCAGATCAATGGGAGTTGGCTCTTCGGGCGAGTCTCTGTCCATGAGGACGAGACGCTGTTCCTTCGTAGCTGTTCCCACAACGGAGTACCCACATCGTTCACGCTTGCAGATCTTCTTGAACAGATCAAGCCCGTCAGGAGCGATAGCCATAACATACCGCTCCTGAGCTTCACAACACCAGATCTGTAGAGGGCTAAGACTCGGATCCGCGTTATCGACTTCTCTGAGCTCAAATTTCGCACCGTATCCGGAGTCGTGCGCCAATTCTGGAAGAGCATTAGAAAGACCGCCTGCCCCAACGTCGTGAATGAATTGGATTGGGCTGTCCCGGCCAAGTGACGCGCATGCGTTGATGACTTCCTGTGCGCGTCTCTCGACTTCGGCATTCCCACGCTGCACACTTGCAAAGTCCAAGTCGACACTCCCTTCACCGGATTGTATACTGGATGCTGCACCACCACCAAGCCCAATAAGCATAGCTGGACCACCGAGCACCACCATGTGTGCACCAGGACTGACATCTTCCTTCTTCTTGATCTCATTACCAGGACGCACTGTGCCGACGCCACCAGCAATCATGATCGGCTTGTGGTAGCCTCTTACTTCTGTTGTGCTTTCGTCCACTGGTACGTTCATGGACAAGGTGCGGAAATATCCAGTTGTGTTGGGTCTTCCAAACTCGTTGTTGAAGGCAGCACTTCCGATAGGCGCCTCAAGCATGATGTCGAGACTGCTCGCCAGATGTGCTGGCTTTCCAATGTCGAGCTCCCATGGCTGCCTGTGCCCAGGAATCAAAAGGTCAGAAACGCTGAACCCGCATAGTCCAGTCTTTGGCTTCGAGCCTCGACCGACTGCACCTTCGTCTCTGATCTCCCCGCCAGCTCCAGTAGCGGCACCAGGATAAGGCGATACAGCTGTCGGATGGTTGTGGGTCTCGACTTTGCCAAGATAGTGAACATCCTCCTTCGTCTGCTTCCATTCTCCACTCAGCTGATCTGGAGCCCACTGACTTCCTGGGTAGCCTTGCATGACTGCTGCGTTGTCACTGTATGCCGACAAAACGTAGTCACCATTCCGCTGGTGGGTATTGCGGATCATCTGAAAAAGGCTGTGATCCATGACCTTGCCATCGATAGTCCATTGCGCATTGAACTGCTTGTGTCTGCAGTGCTCCGAATTGACTTGAGCAAACATGAAAAGCTCGACGTCGGTCGGGTTTCGCTTCAGATCTTTGGTGTAGGCGTCGATGAGGTACTTCATCTCCGATTCATCAAGAGCAAGACCCAGGGTCTTGTTGGCCTCTCGTAGTGTTGCTTCGGGGCCAGCTGGATTGTGCAACAGATCAACCCTCTGTAACGGAGCAGGAGCCGCCTGTGCGAACATCAGATCGAGGTCTGGTGGAGTGGTGGCGAGGCTGTCGGTCATGCGATCGTGCAACGAGTCCGGGCTAGGTATCGAGTCATCTTGAGGAGCCTGGTCAAACTTGGCGGCGTAGAGGACGCCACGCTCCACCCTCTTCACAGCGGATTCCAGTCCGCACACATGGGCGATATTGGTTGCTTTTGAGCTCCATGGAGAGATCGTACCGGCTCTGGGACTCACGTAGAACAGCCTAATGTGCTTGTCTGCTGGAGACTGGCCATGATTCACCGCTTTCTGTAAGGCGTCGTAAAGCTCACCGTTCTCGGGATAACTATCGTATTCGAGCAGCTGTTCCACAATCTGATGTTCTTCTTTCGTGAGCTGTCGATACAACACCACGTAGTGCACCCATATTGCCTGCAAATCCTTGGCACCGAGTTGAGACATCAGTCTGTCGCGGCGGAACTTGGATACCGCAGAGGTACCTGGCAAGGCGAGGTAGGTGCCATGATGCTGTGTAGTAGTCATGTTGGAGTGAAGACGACTGCCAATGGCAGTAATTATGGTCGTGTCTAGGTACTGTCTCCGGCAAGGTGAACTTTTTGTAAATGCGGATCCGATTCCGAAAAGGCAAATTTGAGAGCATGTGACTCGCAAAGTCTCACCTCCTACGGATCTACGTATATACCTGTACCTTACCTACATAGGTGACAAAGGGAGGCATGATTCAATGGCGTTGGTACGGAGCAGAACAAGTGAGAAATTTGGGAGTGATGTTAGTTTGACAATGATAGGATACATCGCGTGAAAGCCCTATCCGTCTAGGTTTTCAAATGCCATGCTGAGGCTTCTTTGCAGACCCATTTACGCCTTGAAGGTAGAACACTTCTGCTTCCTCTGAACCCCAAAAAAGACCTTGTTGCTGCCACCCGCCTGTGGCTATTTTCCATGCAAGTGCTCTCATGTTGCAGCACTACTCTTTGTACTGTTACTTCTCGATCTTCCGCGCCCTGTGGTATTGGCAGCGGAGGGTCCCGAAGAAGTGGTCGAACGACTTTTGCTGCCGTGAAAACCTCGCTTCTAGAAACACACATCGATCCCAGTCAGAACAACTGCCATGACTTCATGACGGTGAACAATGGTAGGACGCCATGCGCTATGCAGAATGTGGAGGGTGTAGAGGGCTGTCGCAATTACACAAACAAGAGGGCGGCGAAGTTGGAAAGTATACATGCTGGGGATGAGGCAATGGCGGGCATACACGCTCGAGCTTCTCATCCACGTACCGAATTGGTATGTCTCTCAGCTCTCCCGTCGTCCTGTAAGCGCAACCGCTCCATCGAGATTGTTTCTCCCTCTTCGGCACGCGTAGAGCTCTTCGGCTGCTCGCCATTGGCTTGGGGAGGTCGTACCGCTGGGGCGTGTTCATTCTGTTTCATGGATTGCGCGAGTTGCGTCAATCGATCCCACTTCGCTTGTCGATTCGCCTTCACTGCCTCCGCGTTGTTCTGTTGTTCCGTGTATTCGTGCGAGCATTCATCGAACAGTTGGGGGTTCACTTCCATGAATAGCTTCATGGCATTGTATACCATGCCGTGAATTGTGCTGCATCAAGATCAGCGCGTGCGAATCGGAGGCGTGCGAGTGATACTTACCGATTCCAATGTCCTTTGGAGTTCTCGTATAAGGGTGCAAACATTATTGGAAGAATGACATCAACATTGTCACTAACCAGGTTGCAGAAGTATTCGTTGTTCCAGAAGTAGAGTGCTCGTTCAGCGACCTAGTCATGTCAGTCTGTGGCAATCGCAATTCGGAAAGCAGCCATCTTACCTGGAAGTGAGGGCTCGCCACACTCTTTGCGAGTTGATTAAAAAGAGGCTCTTGCACCTTGGCAAATTCAGCAGGGTCCATCACTTCGAAGATGTCCTCCACTTCGTTCAAGAACATGACTTCCTTTGTGCTGTTCACCTTTGGCCAGTAGCGAAGCAGCCCCAAGACAACCTCTTCAGTCAGCGCAGCATCTTTCTCCAGAAACTGCACAATACAATAGGCAAGCTGTGGGTGGTACATGCTCAAGCTCTTGACTTTGTGAAGGGGGATCAGAACCCTAGTCAAGAACAGCTTGTGCTCCTCCTTCAGTGGCAGTGCGAAGCCGTTGATGATCGAGCCAAGGATTTCCAGTAGCTCGGCGATTCCATTGAATCGCTCGGTCTCGTAGATGAACTGGAAGAAAACGTTGTTGATGCTGCGTCTGATGAAAGATCGCAAGTTGAGAAACTTTCCGTATATCCTGTGTAGCGTGGTCTTCAAAAAGTCTCGTTCGCGAGGGTCCTCTGAGTCGAACAGTTCGAGCAACTGCAATACAAAGCTGTGATCGATATACTGCTTCGCATAGTTCGTGTTGAAATCTTGGCTCTCTATGAAGCGCAGGAAGAACTCGTAGACAACCTGTATATGTGGCCAGGCAACTTCGAGCACTGGCTCGTCCTCCTCGGGGTCAAAGGCTTCACCTTGAGGGTTCATTGGCGGCGGTATTGGTCTAAACAGGTTCTTCGCAAACATCTCCACAACCCGGGGGTACATGGGCTCCGATATGACCTGTCGGTTCTGCGCAACGTAATCCAAGAGCTCGTGCAACGCCAGCCGTTTGATTTCCTTGCTCTTCATGTCGCCCGATGCATCATTGAAGTCAAATATAATGTTACATTGATCTAGCTTCTGCATGAATAGCTCTTGCCTGCGATTCGGTGGAACTTCATGGAAGCCTGGAAGCTTTTCCAATTCGCGTTGCCTTTGATCAGAGATGTCGAACCGTGATGAATGTTGGCGTTTCGGCGTCCTAATTCCTTCTGGAACTGTGTCTTTGGGAGTGGCCTGCAGTCGATCGAAAAGCAAGCTCTTCTGTCCAGCCTTTGGCGGCGCGAGATCGTGTGGCATGGTTTCAGCGGCGCCCGGTGGGGGAATGTGCTGTCTCTGTTAGCGTGGACTTGCACTTTTAGTCTGCACAAGTTGATGGGAACATACTGGGGCGCTTGGAGAAATTACCACACTAGGAGCAAGTGGACCAAGTCGTCCTGGAGTTGATTGACCACCCTGTTGATGAGATCCACTGGTAGAAGGGTTTCCACTGGCATTGCCGTGCTGTGCGAACTGTCCCTGATTCGCGCCCATGTTCAGCGGAGGCTGACCAGGCATGGGCGCGCCAGGGTGGGATTGCGTGGGTGCATCGGTCTGGGCCTTGTTCCGTCCGTCGACGAGGTTGCTGGTGGATGAGGTCGGCGTAGCTTGAGCAGAGCCAGCGGGGGATTGACTGTTCGAGGGACCTCCAGCGGGAGACTGGGTGCCGGAGGCGTTGTTGTCCTTGGTGCCTTTCTTCGCGAGCTTGTTACTCTCTCGGTCCTTCGCTCGCGAGAGCTGTTCTTGCTGTCAGAACACCACATTACCATCTGCCAGACGCGCGCAGAGTATATAGATGGGACATGGAGACTTACCACACGCTGCCGAAAGCCCTTCATCATCTGTCACGCCCAATGGGACGGCGTTTACCAGCTCGCCAGTGTGCTCTCGAGGCAAGGGAACAGGCCCGACCCTGCGCCGCTCTGCGCTGCGCGTGTGCTTTGCTAGGACTCCTGCAACGTGCTTGCTCTTGCTCGCCAGACGACGATGGACGCGCAGCTCGCGTGACTCGAGGGTGTAGTTTGGCGCAGGGCGGCCGACTAGGGAGGGACGGCAGTGAGAGGGGGGTGGGTGGTGATGTTGTTGTGGTTGCTGGCGCCGTGGACGATGTGCTGGGCTTGGCCAGAGTGACGCCAAGCGAGCAGAGTTAGGGACGGCTGGACGGGGATGCAGGCAGGAGACGAGGCGTGGGCGTGCTACAACGGCGTGGACGACGACGACAGCGACGATGAGGTGCAATGGGTGCGGGAGCGGCGGGCGACAAGGAGGTGGAGGTCGAGGAGCGGACAGGCAGTGAGATGATTCGTCTAGCGTGCGGGCTGTGATGCACATTGCACGACACGACGGGAGCTTCAAAAGTTGTCGATCTAGGCACCTGCAGGCAAGAGAAAGATGGACCCCTCGCGATTTCGCACATTAGGCACTAAGGTTTCATGCGCCTCCTACCAGTTCAGTTTATTACCTCTTATACCACCTACTAGCTACATGTACTCAGGTACATATACTCTCACCCATCCTCCGACCCAAAGCGGCCATACCTGAGAGGTCAGGTAGGTATCCGTATCACGCAGAGCGGTAACGTGGGCCCCGCTCAGGACCTCACTGCCGCGTTCCTGGCCACTGCACCTGCGCAGATGCGACGCGAGCATGGCACAGGACCAGTCGCCTAGCCGCTCCATCGCTCCCATATATCATGTGCCTCGGGGACGCATTGTGGCTGTAGAGCACCCGTGCATCGTGAAGAACTTCGATAATGGCTTCAAGTCGTTCGGCGGCGAGGCGCAGCTCAAGCACGTGAGTGGAATCGCGAAGCTTCGTCAAGGTAGGCTTCTCATGTATCGGACAGGTTCTCGAGCATCACGTTGGCGACTCGAAGCTCAGCAACAAGCAAAATGAGCTTCCGGAACCCACTGCCGGCGTCTCGCTCAGGCCCGGCGATCCATTCGCCAAGAAGCTGACATCTACTGGCATACCGACGAGGAACTTGCTCGTCAAGGTGACTGTGCCGAAACGGACTGGACGAAAGCGGAAACGTGGCTCTGACGAGCCCTTCTCCGATGCTGAACAACCAACAGCACAACCAGCGGGGAGCGTTACTGGGCCGGACCTGCTAGAACGACTTCGACAGCATGAGAGTGACTATACCATCGAGGCTGTCGGCCTCTTGCGCGAGACGCATCGATTCCGAGCACTCCCAGACTTTCAGTTGCGCAGCGGCGGCCTTCCAGTCATGCAAGAACTGCGAGACCATGTCTTCACGCCCGATTATGAACGGCTGTCGCAATTCGACGTAAATCTGTCAGGCTCTGCCTATCGAGGCCAGTATCCAGGTCCGCCCAGCTTTACCAGTTTCGACATGCCACATAAGTATGAATACCAGCAGGCTGCAGGGGTGGTCTTTGTGCAAGACGACGATGGCCAGATCATGTCTAAGAACATCGCGGCACCGGTCAAACGAGTGACATGGGGCTTGCCACCGGATATCGACGAAGTACCACAGGGCCCTCCAATAGAGCTGCCGCGACGTAATCCGGGTGGTGAAATGCTTCCTCGTGCAGTAAGGGACTTGGCGAAGATATTGGAGGAACGCCCACTTGTCACGAAGCGAGTTGCACTCAACTCCATGCCAGTCACGAGTGAGAGTATCTTCAAAGAAGCCACGCAATACGTCGGCTACAGCTTCAAAGCTGGGCCGTGGAAAGACAGCCTCATTAAATACGGCGTCGATCCTCGAAAAGACCCCAAATACCGTCACTACCAGACACTCATGTTTCAGTTGGATGCTCATGCCTTCAAAGACGTCCACAGCCATGATAGACCGTCCTGGAAGCAGAACGAAACCAACACTACCTGGGCGAGACCACTTCGTCACACCAAGGACGCCCCATCGACACACATCTTTGATGGTAAGAGCATCACAGCGAATGGAAAGACATGGCAGACGTGCGATGTGCACGACCCGGTAGTCCTCAAGCTTCTGCAGACCGACGATCTCCCAACGGAGTGTGACGTCTATCAGTGGGGTTGGTACCATAACGGCACGATGGCAAAAGTGCGAACCATCATGAAGGACAAAATGAAGTACCTATTCGCGAAGCAAGAACCACCACACGCAGACTACGAAATTTTGGCAAGATTGCCTGACAAGATCTCGCGAGCCAACATCAAAGACGCGATCCTCAACTCACGAGAGTACAACAATCACTGCATGATGATGGCGACTGAAGTGCGAAATATTATCAAGTCCGGTGAGGGTGGCAACGCAAGAAGTACGAAGAGCATGTGGGAGCGAAGAGCAAAGGGTATGAGTGTCGATAACGATGACAGGGAAGACAGTGACAATGACAACGATCCGAGTGAAGATCTTCGGAATATTGACACCGGAAACGACATCGATGGTGACTTTGCGGAGGACACAATGGAATTCGAGCTCGATCCAGCGTTGCAGCGAGCAGGAGAGCGGACTGCCGCGATGGAGGACAGGGACACGTTAGAGGATGCTTAGGTAGCCACCTAGTACCTGTTCATATATGCGAGGCACCTTGGCACCTACATGTAGTGCTCGTATCGGTCAGCTGCTGTTGGAGGCACTTGCCAAATTGCCTGACGAAGCCCATCGTGCATATTAGTGTCTTACTTCATACACCTAAGCACTCCATTCTACAGTATTTCTTCGGCGGAGCGCACCGGCCTTGACTCAATCAGGTAGACAGGCGCCATATTCCCAGCAACTGTACCCTACATGTAGTACTGTAGGTACCTATCATACCAGGTAAGGTACACGCGTTTTCAATACAGGTAGGTACCTGTGCCAAGGCTAACGCCCAAAATTCAGAAGAATTCCAAATATCGTCAAGTCGGCTACTTGAGAAGCAGAAGTCGGACGTTCGACAGGAAGCTTACAACCCCCTACGGACATGGGAAACGTAGAAACCACTCATTCATCGACCAAGCGTATCGAAAAACGTCTTATCGTCGTCGTCCTAGGAGGTAGAGATTTCAGGCAACCCTGAGTTGCTATCCCATAGGTTTATGGCAACCCTAACAAAGTCCCTACACTTCGACGTTTAGCAAGCTCAATTGACTGACGTGCCCCTTCTGAATACATAAGGTACCTCAGGTACATGTACAAGTAGTCGCGGTGCATTCACATGCAATTTGCAAATCAGTTGCTAGATTTACCAAGGCTACTGTCAAGTTGAGCGATGGTATACGGCAAGCTGAAATTATACTGCGCTGCCTCATCTCTGGACATACCTCGGAACATCATTAAGGTACCTTACCTTGGTGTTGGTTATAGTTCTTCATCAGTTGCTAGTAGGTAGCTACGAAGCCCTCAAAAATGCTTATTCCAGTGGTCGCTGACCTTGCCGGTAAGTGCCCGCTCTTCCCAGCGGGGCAAGGGCGTGTATTCTTGTGATTAACTCCATATCTCAAACATGAAATCACGAGTCAAGGTGCGACCCGACGGCCCCGTCAACTCGACTTCAGACCTTACCTACGCTTATCCGAAGTTGCTGTTGTCAGTGACAGGCAATCAGGCATTGCGGCAATACAGCTGGACTTTCTGGACTTTCTAGCGCGGCGCTCGTGGTGAAATTCGGCAGGTGGTGTTGTGTACGGGAGATGTGATCAGCCTCGGATCCGACGTCTGGTAATGGGATGCTGCTCATGTGAAGGACTGGTCAGTGGTGGGGAGGAGCCGAGTTCACAAGCGTTGGCTTGATGATCTGGATCGGTACGGAGGTAGGAGGTAAGGTAGAGGTAGGTACGTACCTTATTGATGAGAATCTGTAGGTGCCGTAATAATGCCAAAATGCCAAGCAAGAAAGGATTCAGGACTACCACGACGTACCTCCTGGAGGCTGGGTGGTTGGAGGATGTAGGAGGTACCTGATTACCTGTACACGAAATCGGGACGTTGAGGAGTGATTAACTCGTTGTGGACGGGTAGCTGCTACGAATAACAGGCACATGCGTCACAGACGACAAATCAGGCATCCGAACGGTTGATAAAGGGCTTCACATGCCAATATGCTAAAGCTTCCGATTCGTCAGCCTCGGTGGGTCGGCGCATGTGACTGAAAGCTTGCCGTTGCCGTCACTGGACGTCCGTTTAGTGGGCACAGGCCCGTCCGAGCCTGAGTCTGGCTGGCTGCGCTTCTGTGCGCTGCGCTGCGCTGCCTTGTACCTCGACTCTGAGCACACTTTGTCCCTTCGTCCCGTCTGCATTTTTGCTGCCAGATCCTCCTCTTATGATTTCATGTCTGAGTCGCCCGCCAAATACGATCCTCGCCGCTTTCACATCGACAACAGCTGACTGATCGTGCCAATGCGCCAGCATGGAAGCCCAACAGCCCACACCACGGAGCGCGGTTGCGCGATCGCTAGAAGACGTCGAATGGCCTGCCGTCCCCAGGCATGAGATCAGACCCCACACGCACGATTTCACCTTGCCAGACCTCAAGACAGTGCTCTCGCCAGACTTTGAGCGCCTGTCCACCCCACGACATCCCCCATCGCCGCAGTCTGCGCGTAGCCTACCGCGAATCGACCTGGGGCACTCGCTCAATGAGCGCGGAGCCGATGTGAGGATGGCGAGTCCACTCGAGTCTGCCAGTGTCATAAGCCTAGAAGAGAGAAATGGACGAGCGACAAGTGTGGTATCAATGGAGGACCCCGATGTGAGACTGGCAGCAGAAGCGCTGTCCGGCTTGGGCAATCCAGGTGCGCACATGACGCGGGACCGAAGTCCCCTGGTGTACCGTGTACCGTGCTAACACACTCGTAGAGTACAGTCGTGCTGCCCGGAATCAGAGCCGACAGATGTCACAGACGAGCTCGAAGGAACTTTCACAAGCCGAATATAGGGAGGACCCGGAGCCGATCCTAGAGCTTATAGCGCAAGCCCACCCATGGGTTGGTGGTGCGGTGAAAACTTCTCTGGCAGCTTATTCCACAACGAAGGGTTTCACGCCTCGGATTGTGCAGGGTGCTGCGAGCATGATGGAGCGTAATACTATCAATGTAGCAAGCTCGGTAGGAGGCATCACCGGCATAGACGCTGGTGTACGCCGCTATCTACAGTCTCGTCGGCCTGGAGATATCGAGAATGGTTCTGTCGATAAGCAGGACATCTCCATGACGGACGGCGATGCTCCCAGACATCTCCACGAAGCACAACTGCCTCCATATAGTCGTAGCCGGCCTCCGTCATACCGCGAAGAAGCCAGTCCGATGCGGCCTCCACATTGTCGTAGCTGGAGCTCGCAATTCTGGGTAACTACTGGTGGGCTCTCTGTCGCACTCAGCTATACCTCCCGGAATAGCTTGCGAATCTGCCTGAGCCTACTGCGTGATGCTGCATCGGGCGTGCAGAACCTGAGCAGAGCGCTCCAAATCTGCCTGGAGCAATACGAGCAAGCCCGTGACCAGAAAGCTGAAAACGATGGTGCAATCTTGGAGAAAGGACAGCGACCATCTACGCCAGAACGGAACGAACACGCTCGCAGGCTAGCCGAACAGATTCAAAGAACATGCGACGAGATTATGAAAAAGCTGCACACCGTCGTCAAAGCAGTATCTGCTTACACTGGAGGAGTGCTGCCTGAGAATGCCAAGGAGTTTGTTCGAAGGCAGCTCATGTCGCTACCGGAGCGTTGGCAAATCGTCTCGAGACAGCAAGCTGTGGCTTCCGAGACCAGTCGAAATGCGCTCCGGATGATTGACTTTGCGAGCGAGGGGCTTGAAGTTATGAGCCAAGTCAGCGGTGTCTTGAAGGCCACTCTTGACTCTGCTGAGCAATGGCTCGCGCGAGTCGGTAGAAGCGACAGCAAAAACGACATGCAGGACGAAGTGATGGACGACGCTCCACCTCCACCTCCACGCTCTGATCTGGAGAGGTCATGAGCAACCAAGCAGACGTGCCGGCTACCATGTGGTCCTGAGGCATAGGTACCTTGCATGAACATTCGATACCAGACGAGATATCAAACATACCTGATGCCGGCGAGCAGGAAATAGCGATGCAGGGCTGGCCATGGTGCACCAGATGTCGCTGCGACACAACTTTGGCTAACGGGTTCAGACCTTAGACACAGCCAAGACCAAAACAAAAGGTCAGGACGCCATGCGTGGTCTTCCCGCTACTCGAACAAAAAAGAAGGAAGCGGGAGAGTCAGGCCGTGGTGATTTTTAAGTGATATTCCAACTTACGTTGCGGCGCAGGAAACGTAGCGTGGCGTTCGGCGAGGGTTTGTCTAGGGCCACGAAGTGATGAGAAAGCGGTGCAAGTTGTAGATGAATTGTATATTTTATGCACAAAACTGTAAGAGCTGTATTGAGTCGATACTATTGCGACCATCCGATGACTCCAGTCGATTCTCCTAGGTCCAAGACATCTTTTACTGATACGAATTGCTTCCAGTTCTGTGCGACTCGAGCGGGACGAGCCACGATCATGTGTCGTCATGGCACTTGAATTGCGGCGACAAACTTGATTCCTGGTGCACTTTGGGTAAATACATGTACCTTACGAATGGGATGTATGTACCAAAGGGAGAGTAATGTACATGTATATGGCAACCAGCATCATCCTACAACCAAGTTCCATCTGAAAGCCGGTCTTGCTGGGTTCCCCAATACGAATCTCACACAGTACAGCGAGGTACCTATACAATCAAACGAACGATTGCAACATGCCAGCCGACGACTTTTACGAGCTTGGCGGAGAGGGTGTCACTGCTCTCATGGATACCAAGAGAGGCGACAGAGTCATGCACCATGTCGCAAATACTCACCCGTGGCATTCGCACGCACACGAAGATAAAGAGAGCAGCAGATCTCGCTCGCGCAGGCACAATGGACGTGGTGCTCAGCCACAGCGATCGCCAGAGCCCAAAGGCTCCGTTTATGCGGGCTGGTCGATCAAGTCGCTATTTCAGGGAGGGAACAGTGATGATCAGAAGAAGGAAAAGGAGAAGAGGAAGAGACGGCCACGAGCTGCATCCGAGCCTCATAGATCGCCTCCTCCAGTGTCACCATCCGAGTCCCAGGCACCCGCGATCGACCATGCGAAGGAAAGCCGTCAAGTGGAAGAACGACGCGAGAGATTTCGCCACGCAAAGAACAGTTACATTCCTGTTCAAGCGACACGAGATGTGAATGGATTGCAGTTCGATCTGTCTCGTATGCAGGCCGACGTGGGAAAGGCTGTCAAGGACGCTGCGGGTCGTTGTAGTGTCGAATCGACGAGGCGATGGTAGACAACAGCAGCCCGCAGACGATGTCGCGCAGTGAGCAATCGATGCACCTCTGTACTTTCTTTCGCTCAACAGTTCAGGTCCTCCTACTCGATTGATGCAGCCGACCGCTTAGTAAGCTATCAGCAGGACGGCTCAAATGGGACACCGCCCATCCACAGAGACCTACATATATGCTCCAAAGCTCAATATCCGATTTTTGCAGTCGTCTCAGTTCGGCCTCTCGAAAGTACTACCTTTTACCCATGGCCTTCGCCCTCCTTCCATTGCAGGAAAGCGACATCCCTCGGTGTGTCACAATATACTTTGCAGCATTTCAAAACCCGCATTCCCTTGGTTGCTGGCCTCGCACTCCCAGTGTACGAGCCTGGTGGGAGAAAATGATCAACGACGAGCTCCACGCGCCGGGCGCGAGATGGCTCAAAGCAGTTTCAGTCGAGAGCGGATCAATCGCAGGTTTTATCAAATGGCAGGAATCCAAGCCTGGTGTTGTGCCGGACGCCGATCTTCCGGAATGGCCCCAAGGAGCAGATTCGAGTTTGTGTAATGAGACGTTTGGAGCGTGGGCGAGAGCACATCGAGACTTGATGGGAAGTAGAGGCCACTGGTGTAAGTTCTCTGGAGTTTCGGCTTTGATCGTGGCTGGAGGAGTAGTTGATGCCACACTGCAGATCTTGAAATCGTCGCTACAGATCCGGATTTCCAAGGAAAAGGTGCTGGATCGTTGATGATGCAGTGGGGCTTGGACCAGGCGGATGCACAGTGTCAAGAGGCTTTTCTTGAAGCGTCTCCCGATGCCGTATCACTGTACGAGAGAGCAGGTTTTCGGGAAGCAGGTCGTGTCGACACTTTCATCGATAATGAGCGAGTGAAGGGAGTGTGGTATCGTAACATGTTCATGATCAGATCTGCGAACAGAGAGAAGGTATGACTTGATCATGTTCCAGCAGCTTAGTCTTGTCGTAACTTGTACTTGAGATACATTGGGTCCCGTGGCTTGCTCGCAGTATGCTCGTTTCGGTTGACAGAGGAAGTCTCCTTCATCGCGTTTCCATGCTTGTCGGTAAGCTCAAAGTCAAAATAGGCCAGAAAAAAGGCTACAATCAAAGTGTTTTCCAACTTGGCGAATCGCATCCCCAAGCATGGATGGCGTGCATGTCCCCATCCCATCCACCCATATAGATGCTTCTTGTCTTCCGCTCGATCGGGGAGATATCGGCTCGGATCCCAGACATCGGGATTTGAGTAGATTTCGGGAGAGTAGTGGACGTCTCCGACCGCCAATGCGACATAATGTCCCGGCGGAATGACCTCGCCCGTCTGCTTGTTGATGACCACTTCGGCGTTGGACATGTTCTTTCGAAAGGCAGTGCCCGCCATTTGCAGACGAATCGTGTCTTTCAGGCAGTAGTCAATCATCGGGAATTCACCTTCCCACGCTTCGAAAGGGATCTTCATCAGACGTTCTTTGAGTGGCAGATTCTTTTCGATGCAGTACTTCTCTGCCACGTGCTCGATTTCTTTGCGTACGCGATCTCGCCATTCCGTGTTGAGCGCGAGATAGCACAAGATCCAACTGGCGTTAATGCCACTGTTGAGCTGGCCGGCAAACAGGGCTCCGAGAACAAAAGTCAACATGTCGGTGACGTTGTCGCCTTGGTCGATCAGGTATTGCAATGCATCATCTGCCTTGCGGCCCGTCTTGCTGCGATCATCCACGACCTTTTTGAAGATCATGTAGAGCCTTCCACCCGCGATCGTGCGCATCACTTTGCCGGGCGTGGGAATCCAGGGGTACATGATGCTAACCTGGGATACAGCACCTTCAATCGTTTCGAAGAGGTTGAGCACATTGGCGAGCAATGGTGGATCATCAGCGATCTCGCGACAGCCCACGGTTCGCATCGTGAATTGGAAGACCATGCGATAGATGGAATCAAAAGGATCCGTGATCGGCTCGGGCTTGGATGCGAGATCATCAAGCATCCTGCGGGCGTCTTTGAGCAATTGGGGCAGACCATCCCGAAGAATGTGTCCTTTTAGGATCGCGATGATGCGCTTGGAAAAGTACATGGACTAGAAGCAAGTCAGCAAGTGTTCCCGAAAAGTACGTGCCTCTTGTGCGAAAAGAGCTGTGTGTCTTCGCTGATTCGCCATAGAGTGCTCGAAATGGGAAAACAAATCGAGCATGGGAGTGTCATTTTCCCGGGAGGGTTTGCTTCACTCACAAAGGCACTATCATTGTTGCTTTCTGCCAACAGCTTGTTATCGTCCTTCTTGACCTCGGGTGCGCCCGCAAGAAGGGTCGCATAGCCTTCGGAGAAATCGAGTCGTTTGTCTTCCAGGAAAACTCGGCGCTCTTCTTCACCTGATACACCAATGACCGGATGCTGACCGGCATAGAAGCTGAAATTTCCCGTCGAGGAAGCATTTCGGGCCCTTTCCCACCAGGCCCAGCGTTCGGTGAAGAAGCTGACATGCCCGATGAGGGGAATGCCGTCGGTGGCCAGTTGGGGAGCATTCTTGGGGAATGCGGGCTTATAAAACAGGTAGACGACGAGGCTAATCACGACCAACGAACAGCCCAGGGCCAGGGAGTAAGCGTGTCCGCTGGCGGTTTCGAGGGACAGTATTGCCATTGCGGCGACGGCGCGTGGTAGACTCTACCTCCTATGCCACGTTCTCTATAGTCCACTGGAATGAAAACAGAGGGCTGGGCGGGAAGAAGGGGGGCTGGTGAGAGTGACAGAGAGAGAGAGAGAGATAGAGAGAAGAAGTCGTTTCTCCGCACGCTATAAATCATTAGTACCTCAGGTCAAGTTAGGTATATGTATGTGTGCTATTTCGGCGTGCATTTGTATAATAAGTAAGCTGCACAGGACAGCCAACATCACATCACTAATATCACCACGAGCCGCGAAGGTTTGTCTGGCGTAAAGTCTGTAGCGAGGGATGCCTTGCTTTGGCTGTAAATCGGACTCGCCATCGACCACTCGTCGTGCGAGAATCCCGGCTCTGATGCAAATACCCTATGTGCCCTTGCGCCTCACAACGCCAAGGCTGATATATTAACGCAACACATCAATATGTCAGCAGATACACAGGTACATTGACCTGACTCTATTCAAATCTAGATAGTCCATCTATCAAATTGCCTCAATCTGTACCTTTTACCGGACTTCCAAGCAAGTTGTTATTAGGTAGGTAGATACAGGTAACTATCTGCACTCATCCTCCTCATCTTGACCTTGCTCTCGCGCTCTCGCTTCCTTGTCCTTCTCCATCAGCAAATTCTCCGCCCACACCCGCGCCAATTGTACCGCCGTTCGTGGCTCTTTTTTGTATTTCATGAGATGGTTCTGGATTTCTGCCGGCGTGAACGTGTTGTCCTGTAGTTGTGCAGCGAACTCGACCGCCAATTCTTCTAGATCACCTCCAGACAGCACGGAAAGCTGATTCTCTCCACGAGCCAGTGCGTGGACATGACCATTGGCATAACCGTTGAGCTTCGGCTTCTCACTACTACTATTACTACTACTAGACTTCGTGTGGCCATTTGGGAGTTGGTCAGTGAGGGTGAGTTCAATGTCGGGGACCTGGTCGCTGGCAGCGTACATTCGTACAAACAGCTCGCGTATCTGGTCTTTGGCGGCGAGCTGGAATTCCACTTTTCGATCAACTCTGCCTGGACGGACGAGCGCGGCATCCAGCTTCTCGGCATGATTCGTCGTCATGATCAGGACTCGTCCTTCCGCACTTGCGACGCCATCGATGGCATTGAGAAGTCCCGAAAGTGATATACCCGTACCAGGTGCACGATTTGGCCCGGCGCCGTTGTTTTGCTGCATCGTGGCGTGTGGACCACCCCGTTGAGCTGGAGTGCTGATGGCCTTGAGTTCGCGAGCCAAATCCTTCAGCGTGTAGTCATCGCCCTTTTCTGCCGCTGCCGCCTTTTCCTTACCTTCTTCTCCTTGCTTTCCCGTCTGCTTGCCATCTTTCTTACTCTTGGGCTTGTTCTTTTCGTCACTTGCACGATCTCTGAGCAGACCCGCGGCATCCACATCTTCCAGCAGCACGATACAGCGTCGCGGCAAGCCATTGAATAACTGAAGCAAGTCGCCCTCCGTCAGAGTCGGCTCTTGTAAGCTGATAGCATAGATCTCAAGACCGAAGATACCTGCCAAGGCGAATGACAAACTGGTCTTTCCCGTACCTGGGGGGCCGTGAAATAGATAGCCACGACGGTACGGGATACCTCGAGCGGCATACCAGCGAGCGGAGGCCGGATGCAGGTACTCATTCATATCCCGAATGATCATAGACTTTTGCTCCGCATCCAGAATGACCGTCTCCATGGGGCGAGAGGGTCGGCTGGAGGTCTTGGTCCACGAGCCTCCAAAGCGAGCTCTTTCCTTGGGTGTAGGATGACGAATGGTCGTGGTGTTCCGCTGTCGATTCAGCGACCATACCTTGATTGTTCTGAGTAATTCCTTGATCGGATCCGTGCTGCGGCCGATGCAATCGAGCTGCAGCAGGTCGTCTTCGGCACTTCCGTTGAAAGTGACCTGGACGCGCTGATTGCCCTGGCGTTGCGATCTCTTGAAGAAAAAGAGCGTGCCGTTGTGAAACATGTAGTTCTGACCATAGTACGGCTCGAATCGGGGAGGCAACCGGGCACTCCACCGGGTGTAGTCAAAGATACCATTCTCGTTCAGTGCATCTCCCGCGATATCGTCAGCCCCATCCTCAGCTTTCGCACCCGTCTGCGTCTTAGCTCTCAACGATCGTCGGGAGCCAAATTGCTGGCTCTCGGCGAGCCACGCCATGACCATCTGGAACAAGTCATCATGCTCGTCGATGTAGATGGACGACATGAAGCATCTGCGGAAGGCCCTCTCGAGCATTGCAAATAGATACGACGATCCCTTCATCAACGCGAGTGCTACAAGTCCTGCCGAGACGATGAGGGATGGATCAAAGCCGAAAGTGGCATACACATAGCGCGAGATCAGGCTGTAGCCTGGAATCAGCGTTTCCAGTATGTTGGGGGGCAGATCGGTGAGTGACAGCGGATCAGTGAAATTTTGTGCCGCATGAGATGATGGTACGGCTCGTGCCAGTTTTCGAAAGTCCATGGTTGGTATGTCCCAAATTCGCCAGAAATGTTTGTATGTGTGCGAAAGAGTTACTGGTGTTATCGGGGCTTGTCGATTTCTACCTTGTCAATGTGGATAGTGAACTGTGAGGGTGTGTGTCAGCGACAGGCAGAGCAAACGCCAATCAATGCATGCGTGAAACAAGTTTGCTATGTGAAAGAGAGAGATAGAAAGTGGTTGAATGTTCTTATATGAACGCCACGATATCGCCACGAAAAAGAATGCTGCTGCCTTCATGGAGGCATGAGAAAAAGAGTCATGTTTGCAGTGGCATGAAGGAAGTGGCAAATCTAGAATACATGTAGCTAGGAGGTAAGGTAAGGTACATGTAGGAGGTAGGTAGCGTCGGAGTTGAGATCGGCCTCGCTTTTACCTCCTACCAATACGCATCAATCGCCAAGCCAGCTTTACACACCTCGTAGCAGGTAGGTAGGGAACTCCGAACGTGTTGAGCTGAGATATCTCCGACTTTTACATGGCTGCCTCATACCGGTATACTGGCATATCGGCACAGGCACAGACACAGACACGGGATCGTCTCCATTCAAAACTAGGTGTGTGCATCAAAATCTAGCAACCCGAAGCCGTCATACCCATCTGCACTAATCCCTCTTTGCTCGTGATACTCGCCTCGTCGGCATCCTCATCCAGCAAATCCTCAATCTTCTTCATGTCTTTGATTCTCCAGAATGCGTTGACGCCGTCCGCCAAACGCTGGGTGACACCGCTGAGCTCGTCCTCATTGATCGCTGCAAAGCACAATCGGAATCGCTTCCAGCCCTCCTTGGCAGCAATTTCTGCCGTAGGCGAGAACATGGTCCCGGGCGCAACCAACACTTTATAGGGGCTCGTCGTCCAGAAGACCCACAAGGCTTTCGACAGGCGTTCTGCATCGCCTCGTTTGCTGTATTGCTTGTACAACGGATGTGATTCGAAGAGAACCTGCAGCCATAAGAACATTCCACCTACAGGCCAGTCAAACGAGTACAGCGGGGTCTTTTCGACAACGCTCCACTCATCCTCATCTTCGTCTTCTTCGTGCTGGACGAGACTCTGCCGTCGGCCGGCTTTGACTTGGTATTTCGATGAGTCGAGAATCCTGCACATTGAGTTCATTCTGCGTTCATAGTTCCCTCGTAGGCCTTCCAGCCAGCGAACCCAGCCATCGGCTTTCCAGCCTTGACCATCTCGGAGACCGCCTCGCCCACCCTTACCATCTCTCATGCTCTGTTTAATGCCTTCGTGATCAGGTCCCAAGATAAGTTCTCCAACAACAGACTGCACGAAGCCTGAGGGCTGCTGTGTACTCGTTTCTGTGATGCGCAGCAAGCGTTCAATGAGTGCGGGCTGAGCGGAAATCCAGCCGAGTCTACAGCCAGGCGCGACGGTTTTACTGAATGTGTCTAGGCGAATGACGCGGCCGTCCGTATCGATGCTGAGGAACGAGGGCACCAGGGAGTCGAGGTAGGCGTAGCCACTGGACTTCCAACCCTCGGGATGAGGTTCTGCATTCGCGAACATAGGTTGCTCGGGGTTGAAAGAGGTGTTTGATGGGTGAGAAGTGGTGACGGTGTTTCTTGCTGTGGCGGACGGAAATTGCAGATACCAGTATGGATCATCCTCTACGATCAGGACATCATACTTTTTGGCGACTGCGTAGAGCTCGCGGCGGCGTGCAAGAGACAGGACCCCAGATGTTGGGTTCTGGCCCATACTGCTGCTTGTTAGCTGCATGTAATGTGACCTGACTACGGGATACCAAGTGACTACTCACGTCACCGTGTACAGGAGATGAGGTCTTCTTCCCTTAGTGTGGTCCCAGTTCTCCAACACATCTCGCATACCACCAGGACCTTCTGCAATCAAACCTTCATCGTCAATGGCTACGGGCGTAACAGTCAAACCTCGAGGGTATGCACTAGAAAGCGAGGAGGTTATGTGTCAGCAGATATTTTGCACATGACGATGCTATTCCAGTACCTACCTCTGCACCGCATTCATATAGGCAAAATGTTCGACCAACAAGCCCTCACGATCTCTGATCCAGTCCTTCTCTTCACTCCACTCATTGGAGAATGCCGTCAGCACCTTGGACCACCCATCCGTATTTCCACACGTGAGTAGCACCTCTGGGCCGCCTTTGTAGGGGGTGTTTGGATGCAGGTTTTTCTGGGTAAACTCCCGAAGGAAGTAGTAGAGCGGAGGGTAGCCTTGGGCTGTGCCATACTGCAATGCAGTGGACAAATCGATCTTCTTTACGGGATTTGGCTGTTTCGAATCGTGGGGGACAACAATAGCGTCTTGTGGCTGATCGAGAGGGTTGTTCTGCGCGCGTTGCTTTCTCTGGCCGTGCAGCGATAAGCTCGCCAGGACTTCGTCGTCGCTCGGAGGGTCGATGGGTAGGTTGGGGGTCGGGGAGAATCGATCGGGTCGGGCAACTTTGGCTTCGAGAGTATCGAATGGAAAATAGTAGTTGTTGGGTAAGCCTCCGGCAAGCTGACCTATGCCTGGGATCTGGAAGTACTTGTAGAATGCCTTCATGGAACTGGCCGTGCGAGCCTTGGTCGCCCGACTGAGATGGTGGGAGAGATCTTTTGGCTCTGGCCGAGTGTCCATGGCATTGGCGTCTGCCATTCTGATTGTCCTAGTTCCGGCCTGGAAAAGAGAGAGGGAGAGAGGGAGAGAGGGGGAGGGGAAGAAGGAGAGGGTGAGAGTGAGAGTGAGAGTGAGAGAGAGAGTGAGAGTGAGAGAGTGAGAGAGAAGTGGTCGATATAGAGACCGGACGACAAGATTGCTCGGCGTACACTTCTTCTCGGTCTTATCAGCATCCTACTGCATGCTCATGTAATCAAGGGCCCGATGTGTCCATGCCCCACGCGAGTGTATCGTGCCTTCCCTTCGTTGACATGACCACATGCCAGATGGAACCAATCAGAGGGGGGCTTGCAGTGGGTCGACGTTGATGGAGGCGAGCATCATCGACGAAGACGGACGTGTCCGTGTCCCGTGTGTCTCCCTTCTTTGTACCTGCACTTCCAGACATTTGTCGTCCAGACATTTGTCGCCTGATAATCCTACCGACGCGACCAGCTTTCTCCCACAGATTCCTTCATACATGTAAGGTACCTGGTAGGTATCCGACATTTCTGTTGTTCGGTGTGGAATTCATGTATTGTCCTTTGCCTGATCTGGCACTGGGAGTAGGTAGTAGGAGGTAGTCATGTGCGTGTATTACCGAAGCTGTCCTCGCGAGAATCACGACCTGATGTTTTCAACAAGACGTCGGACGAGGCATGGGCAAGGAAGATAGGAGGTACAGGTACCTAGGTGAGCAGTTGCGGCCATTGAGGACAGAAATACACCATGGACGAGATGGGCCGTCAAGACATCAAGAAGGACAACGCAACAGTAATACGGATTGATGAAGGCTGCTGGTCAGTGGGCACCACCTTTATATACCTTCAGTCTCACGGATTGCTGCCCTGGCTGCCCACCCCTGGTCCTTGAAATCACATCATTATTTCATTTATTACCTTACCTACCTTTTACTTAGGTATCTGTCGGATGTCCATGTACCATGCGGCAGAGTCAGACAGTCTACAGTGGCCTCCAGTAGAGTACACCAATAAGGTACATTGACCTGTGTACATGTAATCAACCTTACTGCCGAGGTAAGAAGTCAATGGCTTTGTTTCGTAACTTTCGTTCTTGTCTTGTGAATCCGTGAATTGATATTCTTGGCGTTGTCGCGCTAATGACGCGAGAACGCGGATCATCACGTCTACCTCGCCACGGCAACTTTCAGCTTTCTCCGCCGATGCGATGCGATACATCGCATATCTAGCTGCCACCCACAACCATGGCCTCTCTTGCGGAGAGCAGCATGGGTAGCGTGCCGCTCGAAGAGTTGCGCGCTTGGCAGCACCGCCTCGACAATGTGAGTGCGGACTACCTACCTACCTACCTACCTACTTTAGGTATCATTTGCACGCAGCTCCAGGCCATAGCCATTGACACCATTGAATCTAGAAACAACCCAACAACGACACGCAAGCCACGAGCGACGAATCCATCGCGAATCAGAACGACCGGTTACGTATCGACCGTCCAAGGAACAGTGCGAATGCTGCAACAACTGGCGACGAGAGCAGCAGCAAAGGCTCCACTGTGCCCGAGTCGATCGAGCAAAGCGTCCACGTACAGGCCATCGATTTGTTGCCTTACGCAAACACACCGACCACCCTGCAACCGTCGACAAGCGCGCCGCGAGTGAAGATGCATGCGTTGTACGGCGACGAGAGAGTGAGCATTACGAAAGCGGAGTCTTTTGCGGCATTTGGAGGCGGCGATACTCAGCCATGGGACTCGCAGGACTTGGTGGAGAGCAGTAAGTCGATGATTCGACATGTCCAGCATACACCACAGAGATCGAACTCTATGGGAGACATTACACTGGGCATACATGAGTCCACGGTCGGCCCAGATACGGACGAGTCGGGACCGATTGATCTGGGCATTGACAACTTCTCACCTGCAACCTCGCAGGCGGGACGTGACTTCGTCCATACCCAAACCCAGAAGCTCCATGGTCCAGATCTCGAGAGTACGCCCCCACCGAATTCCCAAGCGGAGCGCGACTTTTTGCGAGATGATACACAACCCCAGACTCAGCTTCCTGCTGCCGTCAAGGACTTCCCCGAGACACCAGCGCTGGCTGGTCACAAACGGCGTCGTAATGGCGAGCTACTAACTTCAGCGACTGCGTCGAGCAGATCTCCTCGTTATACGCAGCTGTTTAATGGCCATAGAGCTCCTGTTATGACGAACACGCAACTCTTCGGCCTGTCAGACAGCTCTCCTGCACTGGATTTACCACAGACGATATCGCGATCAGACCCCATCCAATCACGTCCTTCGCCGAATATCAACAGCTCGCTAGCGCCGTCTTCGCCGCCAAATTTCTCGTCTCCGGTGCTCCATATGCGGCAGGGGCGGGTCGCGAGGACTGCTTCAAATGAGCCGGTAGCCCACTACAGAAGTATGAAGGAGTCGCAGGAGGAGAGACAGAAAACAGCTCGGTTAGCTGCATTGGCGAATAAAGAAGGCAATTTCGATCCATTAGACCACGAGTTGATGAACCGCACGCCGTCTTTCAAGAGACGCCAGGCCCAGCAACGCACGTGGAGCACTTCTGACTTAGCGAGAATCAGGGCGCCAGTCCGTTTTGACGCACGGCCCAAATCTGCACAGGGCCCAATTGAGATTCGCAGCGATTCACCAGCCACGGCAAAGAAGCGATACAATAGTTTGATCGACCTTACAGCCGCGGGCGAGGAAGAAGAGCTGCCCGACGAAGATGCTGCGCAGACTGAGGAAGACTACCAACAGGATCTCGAAGGGACGCAAGAGCTGCCAGCAGAAGAGCCAGACGTCATGTATAGTGAGCGTGACGAACCGCCCGAGGTGTACGACGATGCTGGAAGCGAGCAAGATGCGATGTCTCTCGAACACGAGGACGACAACGACGAGTACGATGAATTCGGTCAGACGTTGCGCAGTCAGAGTCAATTTGAGCTTCAATCTGAAGACAATGCGTCAGCCACGGGTAGTCTGGAGGATGAGAATGATATCCACATGGCAGATGCCCAGGCAGTGCAGGACGATGCTCATGATCGCGAAAACCATGGTATCTCGGCTCACCAAACTGAAAGCACGCAAATGTCAACCATTGCCGATTCTCAACCTACATCTGTCCAGCGGCAGGACAGACATTCTGCGTCACAGCCAGCGGTTCGGTACAGTTCCTATGTACCCGGATCTCAGCATCAGGGCAAGACTAGCCAGGAGATGGCATTGCTGAATGCGCCTGAAGCCAGCAACCAAAGTCGCGTCCTAGCATCACAACTGCATGTCGAGGAGAGCGCCGAAATAGAGCACACCGGAGATGAAACACTCAGCAGTCCTCTTGCGGCGATTCATGATAATATAGCTCCGGAAAACTCGTCAGACGACGCGGCGCAGCAGGAAATCCTGGAAAGTGACAATCTCCACGATAGCCACTTGCAATCCCAGACTGTAGCACAACAAGAACACAGCCTGCCGCTCTATTCGACAGCACGAACGCACGTGTCTGGCTCCGCTCGGTCCCCAGTCAAGCTCCCTATCTTCGAGTCGCCCCAAAAACACGCTAATACTCAGCGAAGTAGACTTACTGATCAATCCCCTGCTATTCGTCGATTCGCAGACATAGCTGCTATGCCATCGATACCCGTTGACCCCAGCTTCGATGCAGAATACAGTCAAGGCGATATTACGGCTGTTCTGAACAACGTCTTTACAGAGGAGGATCAGCAATTGCAGAAACTCATGTCGGACGATCACGTCGAGGGGCCCAGGCCGAAACGCTTGAAGCGAGTTCACACTGCATCATCGTCCCGTAGCACTTCGTCCCGGTCTAGGGGTTATGCAGAGCTCGGTGCTCAGGCGGCTCATAACACTGTAACTGTGCACGTAAGTGTCCCTGCTGCGACTACAGATTCAATTCTGGATTCGCCGCCAGAGCCTAGCCCTGCTGTGCCCGAACACCCTGAACATCCTGAGCATGCGCAGCACTCTAGCCAACCGGCATTGGTAGCATCGGCTTCCATTTCGGACCAACAGCGTGCTGGCTCGCTACCCCAAGCCCTTAAAGATAGCCCAAGCAAAGCCAACCGGATGCCTGCCACGGCGACAAACGATGAGAACGAGAAATCAAGTGAACTCACTGCGGACAGCGTGCGGGCGCGTGAGGAAGCTGGAAATGCTGCAGTATCGCAACTTGTGGCATTGCGAACAAAAGGCAAAAGGTCGAAGCAGACATTGTACGGTCGTACAGGCAGACGAAAGTCTGGTAGAGTTGGAGCACAATCGAGTAACAAGACTGGCAAAGACCGAACGCTCACTAATGGCGACACCGGAGATGATGTTATGATGGCAGAAGAAATGCCGATTGTCGATGCGACAGTGATGGGTGATGCTGATGAAACGCCTGTTGAGTCTGCCGCTCAACCTGACACGACTGCTAAGGAGGTCGACGACGTTGATGAACCTACGCCCACCGAACCTGTGGCGCACGATCGCATCTTCGCATTGTTTAAAGGCAGACTGCACTACCACTACCCCGCCACTTGGCTTGGATCGTCTCTTGATGGCACGAAATGCAAGGTCAGATTCGACGATCAGACTGTGACTAACATAGAGACCTCCCAGGTTCGCCGGCTTGAGTTGCGTATTGGCGACACTGTCAAAGTCGACGAGAAGGAGAAGCGGAAAAAGAACTGGGTGATAGTGGGCTTTGGCCCAATGGCTACAACCGATGAGGAACGTGCATTAGGAACCGATGTCTTTGGCCATACTCATGTGAAAGTGCAGCCCAAGAGTGGCCGCGAGAGTCTTTCCCAGTCAACATCTTCAACCCCGGCAGAAGCCAGCGAGGTCCACACGGTACTGGTTAACTACCTCTACCTGACGACCACGATGTGGCCCCAGTACAATCTGCGCACATTCGAAGTCCCAAGCAAAGCTTCTGCGCCTCGAGCAGAGACTCCATCGAGCACTCGCACAGGTACTCCTTCCACCACGAACACACCGCGATCACGGAGAGCACCTGTTCCAATTGTTAAAGCGAAGGGTACTCGAACATCGCATCTGCGCGAGACCTCTGCCGCTTCCCCTCGGAGCGCGTCGTCGGAAGCCATGTTCGCTGGCATGGCTTTTGCGATCTCGTTCTTGGAAGCAGACGAGGAGAAGCAGGCGGTCACTAAACTCATCCAGCGCAATGGCGGCATAATCCTGGAAGACGGCTTTGAGGAGTTGTTCGACCTGCCCGATATCAGTGGCTCATCCGACCCCATCTCTCCGTCAAAAGGATCCCCACGCCAAAAGGACGTTACCCGACTAGTCTCGAAACTCCAGCTCAACTCCAAATACAAAGAGCTGCGATTCGCGGCTCTCATTGCAAATGTTCATACTCGGAGGGCAAAATACATGCAGGCACTGGCGTTGGGTCTGCCCACGATATCTGGACGATGGATCGTGCACTCTCTGGACGAGTCCAAGAATCCCAGCAAGGACGATACCGGACCGTTGCCCTGGGGTCGTTATCTCCTACCAGCTGGTCACAGCACGTTCCTGAACGCCATACGCTCGCGCACTCTGGCAACATATGACGCGGCCACCGCTTCTCTGGAACAGATCGTGGAGAGTCGTGCTCGTTTACTCAATGACGAAGGACTTGTTCTGGTAGCTCCGAAGACTGCAGCTGACGACTGGAAGAGAAGAAAGACTTATGCGTTCCTGACCATGGCGTGTGGTGCTGGGACGGTCAAGCGTGTTGGCGATGTTCAAGAAGCGAAGAAGCTTACACTGGACAATGCTGAGACATGGAAGTGGGTGTACATTGATTCATCTGTTGCCGATGCCGAGAAAGTATTGTTTGGCAAGGATACGACCACTACAGCTGGCAAGAAAAGGAAGAGGGGCAGCGAGGCGACAATTGCTGTGGGTGACGAAAAGATGTCTGCTACGGATGGGGTGGTGAAGATTGTGAACGATGAGTTTGTCGTTCAGAGTCTGATCCTCGGGGCACTTGTCGAGTGAGAATCTCCGATAGAGATTGTTGTCTGGTGCAGGAGGATTGGTTAATGTACCAACGATTAATATGTGGGCCGTATAGAATGGCTAGAGCTCTATAAAGTTTGCTCAAGATACCCTGCAATGCAATTGTATCTCCTACGGTACCATTATACACATGCTCGCTGAGATACTGCGGTTGACCTCCCTTTTATATCTTCACCAAATTGAGCTGGTCGAGCCACAGCAGCTGATTCTCGAATCATCTCGTTTGACGGCCTTGTTTCTCGAATATCAGGCGGGCCTCGTTCGCCGTTTTGATCTGTTACCAGCAGCCATTCGGATGCCACCTGCACGTACTCGTGGAGCTTCGGTGGCGAGCGCTCTCAACTATACAACAATGGGCGATTTCGACCGTACGTTGGTCCACTTTCGTTTCCGCGCCTGATGCCTGCACCATTGGCCAGGCATGTCTCCTGCAACGCATTGTTACTCCCAATAGCCAACACTTGTTTGGTTCATCGGCATCTAGACGTTCTCCCGTCCTCCACGACTTCGAAGAGTCTGGTAGGATGATAGTATGCTCATCTCAAACCCAGCGGGGCCAGAACCCTCTCTCTCGCCACTCTGCCAGCAATATCTCCACCCCTCTGCAGCGCCACAGCGCCAATGATGGCATAAATGGCCTCAGCCATGACAGCGTCCATCCCGGACGACTTCATGTCTTCCGAGTTCTTCGGTTTCCATCTCACCACTTTGTCCAATCCATACTCCGAGGCCAGTGCAGATAATCTCGATTTGTGAAGAGCCGAGGCTTTGTTCGCCAATGTAATATTCTCCAGGTTTTGCAGTGAGGGGTGCTGGTACACTTCGGCCGCGGGCATCTCGAGAGGTGACTGTTGGGGTTGCGAGAGGAGGGCCAAGGAGGTTTGCAGGTCGAGAATACGCTTTCCGAGGTAGGCGAGGCGCGAGTTGAAGCCCTGAGCACCGTGCTCGTGGGATTTGTGGGTGGTCGCTAACCACTGGACAAGTTTGTTAGTGACCGAATTCATCGAGTTGGAGCTGATTAGCTGTATGGATGCTATGCGACGAATGAATGATACCTTTGTCTGCTCGTCGAGAAGATCTCTCCCACGTAATCTGTTCCCTCCGACTCGGCCCAGGAAATTATCGTAAGCTGCATTGAGCTTTTCGGGGTCATTGTTGACGCGCCATGTGGCAGACTGATGGCTACGTGGGCGGAGACGAATAGGCTGACGTAGCCTTTGGGGCGTCTTCATCCATCGCGGGATTGAGGCCGAGGCGTCTTCGGGCACGCTGTCGTTGAAACGGCGTGGTGTTGTCAAGGAGAATTGGCGGGTCGTTTGGGATATGGTTGCACCTCGGGCAGCGCGCGCACAGCTCGAGCAGACAAAGGGGACGCGAGATGGATTCATGGTGGTGGGTGTGTGACCGTGATGATATGAGCGGAGCGTAGAGTGCTGTCAGAGACTCACATGTACATGTACCATATGGGTGAATAGGTTCAGGTCAAAGCAAGAGGCTGCCGCGGGAGTGCGAAATCTCGGAGTTATATGGGGTAAACACGAGTTTCGCCCGAGTAGAAGAGTCGCCCGACTCCTTGTTTACCAGGTAGGTACGGTAGTGGTATACCTACCAGGTAGGCATCATATACAAGAAAACAAGTCTCGGTCTGTACCGCAGTCTTCTCTTCTGTCGGTCACGGCCAGTCTCGTGGACTCTTGGAAAGATCAAGTGAATTATACTACATACTACTCCCACACGTATCCCTCTCAACCCAACATGGCATCCTCCACGTCCATCAATGTATCATCGTCATCTTCAACCGCACAGCAGCCAAACGGTATTTCGTTGAAAGAGCAACTCCAAAATGCCCTGCCCTCGGGCTTCAAATGCAAGACGCGATACCTTCACTCCCCACCAAAGCCCTGCGATCCGCTCTTCTCCGCCTTGCCAGGGTTGCAACAAGAGAAGACACGCCTCGCCAGCCACTTCTTGACTGTCAGTGTCGACGCTGCCAGTCTACCTCTTCAGTCTGGGAGCGGCGATGTGATCAGCTTCGCGATCGAAGTGCTGGTCTTTACTACCAAGCGGCTGACCACCATCTTCGTCAGCAAGGTCGATTCGACCTCCTACATCCCGCGGATCAAACCGTCACCGATCAAGACGACGGTGACGACCTTTTTGAGATGGCTGGCAGAGAAGGAACGTCGGAAGCGGCCGGGGCGACAGATTGTCATTTCGCTGTTCGCGAGGGCTCAAGCGCAGTACCTCTTTCCAGGCTCCTCGGACGATTCAGGAAAACATGTTCTGGACGACCGACAATTGATAAAATGGTGGGCTCGCGTTCTCGACCCCATCATTCCCGAAAGTGTAGTAGAGTCGGTACATGAAAAAGAAGAAGAAGAAGAAGAAGAAGAAGATGATGATGTGCAATATCAAGGCTATCTGACTGTGCCCGGTTACGAAAAGGCTGAACTCCGATCATTCATGCCGTCTTCCTCGTCCTCGACAGAGCAACCACGCTGGCTCCCCGGGAATCCTCTTGTCGAACTGGGACGCACTCGCGGTGTTCCTGAACATGCGCCGCCGAGATGTCTCCTCCCTCGGTTTCCAGACGACCCCAAAGCACGTTTCATCTCCGATCTGGATGACGAAATTGGTGTCTCCCAGGATTCTCAGATAACAGCAAGCCCATCGAAAGCTAAGAGCGCTCGGTGGAAGTCGGTCATGAGTCTCGAGCAGTTCTGGGAGCAAATGGAGTTTCGCCAAGAGTGTTCGTCGGGGAGAGTGGTTGGTTTCTTATGGCTGGTCATTTCACCTGCGAAAAGAAGAGGAGGCGAAGGAAATCTCAAGGGAGCGCCACCGTCGAGTGGTGGTGTTGTCTTTCCATCTGATGATACCATCTCTGCTGCAGGCACTGGCAGTCCCAAGAAACGGAACGCCAAGCGCAGGCCACTCACAGGCCCCATCATTCCTCGCATGCCCAGGATCAAGTCTACCCATTCGAGTTTATTGAATGTGCAAGCACAACTGGACGCACGAGCAGGCGATGGCATTGTTGTCAACGCGGAAGGCTACGACAAAGCCATGTCCACGATGCTCCATCTCGATTTTTCCAGCCTCGATGCTGCAATATGGTCTACGACCAAGTTCATCGCAGATGTCAGAGGTATCGCTGGGCTCAATGGTGATTTTGCAACCGAGGTCGTTGGGGCGGCGCAGGTTGCGACTGTCGCAGTGTCCTCCGTAGAAGCTTCCACTTTGGGAGACAGCAGCGTCAATGATATGAGTGGTTTGGTTCGTAAAAAGAGCAAAGCTGGAGATGGCGCTGGCAAATCGCAAGCCGAGCTGCCGACTGTGAATGTGCTGAGTAGTGGCATGGTCAGAAAGAAACCTAAGCCTGCATAGCGTTGGAAACCTCGTGTAGGATATGCGAACCCAACGATCAGGGCTCATTGTAACTCCCAGTTTAGTGCTGCTCTTGTAGGAGTACTAGTAGTACTAGTGGTATACTAGTGGAAGGGTACCTACCTTGGGTACATGTAGCAAGGTACATGTCACGCCAGGGCTAAGGGCAGACCCCAAAATGTCTAGTCGCAGACCCCATTTCTGAGTTATCAAGTTATTACCGTACCCTTGGCCTCGGGCCTTACGATATATACTCGCCCTTTGAGTTTCTACCTACCTGACCTGTAGGCTTCACTCTATATTACACCCCGAAGGATACCCCTCTCGATTCTTAGCCCCCCTTAGGGGGTTAGGGGGGCAATCTAGTCGGTGCCCCCGAGGTATTTGCTTTTTACTACGAAGAAAAAGCAAAAAAGCGAAAAAGCGGAGGCCTTCGAGCGAGGGAGACGGCGAGGGAGGCGCGTTGTTTTTCGGGGGGTAGGGTTACAGCGGAAGGGTACGGTAATAATTTGATGACTCAGAAATGGGGTCTGCGACTAGACATTTTGGGGTCTGCCCTTAGCCCTGGCGACATGTCAGCTCAGAGACTCACTATTATTCTGGCTCGTTTCCCATGTCATGAGCTACAGCAGGCTTTAAACGATTAGCACCGGTGGCTGGTGAATCTCTTCGGGGCTGTCGCCGAGGCGTGTGCCACAGCAATGGAAAAATGACTGCAATCTCGTCGTCGAGGGCGCAGCATCTCAAACCGAACAACATATATCCATTGGTATCGCTTGCGCCGTACTGAACCTCTACTCTATCCCATCACGTCGTCCACTTATCGTACATGGCCGAAACACCGTATCCATTCGCTCGCAGCAATGAATGCAGCAGCATGCCTGCATGCACTCCCATGTGGTATAATTGTCCAGAACTCCGTATTCGCTCACAACGCTGCCTCCCAGCTCTTCCCACTCTCGCATCATCGTCGTCATAGGTGCACTACCCATGGGAAGCTCGTCCCTGGAAGAGGACGGGAAATCATCACATCACGGCGCACTTGGAGTTGCCCTCTTTCGGTTGTCCCGCCTCCTGTCCCTTCTCGATCTCGGCAATCATGCCCTCGAAAGCCTTGCCCACATTCTCGTTGTAGCGCGCTGAAGCCTCCACGAAGCCACATCCCAGCTCTTCTGCGAGGCTCTTGCCGTCGGCCGTCGAGACTTGTCGTTGTTCGGGTCGCAGATCAGATTTGTTGGCCACGATCATAATGGGGACCGCTTCGGCGCCCTGAGCGACCCCGTTGTGGTTAGCACACTCGCACCTTCCCAATCGTGTGTACTGACCACGCGCCTTCCTCTGCCGGGTGGTAGGTAGTAGCTACTTACCAAGTGATTCAGGATCTTATCCCGTATGATGCGGACCATTTCAAAACTCTGCTTCGAAGCGACGGAATAGACAATCATGTAGCCATGGATTCCGATAAAGTGCTTGCTGTTCAGGATGGTGTACTCATCTTGGCCGGCGGTATCGATGATCTCCACACCGAATTCCTGGTTCCGATGCTTGATGACTTTGCTGAACGTGTTCTCGATGGTGGGGTAGTAGGAATCGACAAAGTGGCCGTCGACATATTGGACGGTGAGGGAGGATTTGCCTAGACATGGTCAAGGCGCAGTCAGTGCGTTGTTGCTGCTCGTCGTGCACATCACGTGTGGTGGGAGTAGGAGTGGGAGCAGCAGCAGCAGTAGGAGTGGGTGTCGATGGGGAGCCGACTGGGATGTCTGTCATATGCATGTCGGTCCAGATAAGGCAACGCTCGTGTGTAATCCAGGCGGGCGCTGTCAGCCTTGTGGGTGTGACTGTGACGACTTACCGACAGATCGGCTGCCGACGATGGCCATCTTGCGCTGTTTTTGCTGTGGCCCCATGGCGACCACTTCCTGATGGCTATGTATGGCTCGCGCTGGGTCAGGTATTATTCGGGTCAACGAAGCAGAAGACGAGAAGCAGAAGAACAAGAATATCGGTGGTGGTGGGCGCGCCGCAATGCAGTTCGTCGGAGATGGTCGAGATAATAGAGTTCTATGCAGGGAGCTGTCCTTGCGGTCTGTCGTGAGAGCGGGGAGGAGGAGGGTGAGGGTGAGGGCGAGGGCGAGGAGCAGGGTGCGCGATCATTAATTCACCGAAGAGCGGTGTCTGCAGAGAATTCCAGCAGGAGCATTCGCGAACAGGGAGTAAGGTAGTCCGAAGGTGGCAGCAGAGAAGACGGTCGTGCGTGGGTGCGTGGGCGGGTGAGGCGAGGCGAGCTTGGGATAGAGCAACGTAACAACAACCTTCAGGTAAGAATAGTTTGGTCCTAGCAGCGCATCTGATTCGAATCGGCTCAACTCCGTCGCTTTCTGTTGGTAATACGGAGAAGTCTATTTGCACTCGTCGAATGTGTGTTCCTTGCAAGCCGTGGGCGAGGGCAGTATGGCGTGTGAGCAAGCGATGGCGGCGGCGGGGAGAATGGCAGAGGCAGAGGCAGAGGCACAGGCGATGGCAATGGCAATGGCAATGGGAGGGCAATCAGGTGCAGGTAGATGTATACGGTGGAAGGAGGAGGAGGAGGAGCAGGAGGAAGAGGAGGAGGAGTAGTAGTAGGTACATGTAGTCTAGTCTAGTAGGGACCTACCTCCTAGTGAAGGGGACGAGAGACGAGGTTGCAATTGCAGGTGGCGCGCGGATGATGTGGCACGGAAAGTCAATAAGAGGTACATGTAGCAGCGTAGCTTTGGGTGCGGGAGGTATACCTACCTGACCTGACCTGCAGCAAGACGGTGACGGGAGACTCGAGGGGAGAGTTGGAAGTGCAGTGGTGGAAGTGAGGGATGAGGGATGAGGGATGATGACGGGAGGGATGATGATGATGAGATGATGATGATGATGATGAGGGTGATGATCGTTGATGAGTGATGATACAGGTACATGAAGGTACCAAACCTCCTACCAATGATGATGACGATGACAGTTTCATGGGAACCACGGAGGGAGGGAGGGAGGGTGTCTTCCTGGCCGTGCTCTCACAATTTGCTTGACTCGACCGCCAATAACGAAAGATGGTGGAATGCGACATCAACAGCACAAGCAGCAGCAGCAGCAGCAGCAGCAACAGCAACAGCAGAAGCGAAGCGAAGGTGAAAGTTGCGGTCAACCAGCACCAGCACCAGCACCACCCGCAGCCGCAGCCCTGGTGCATGCATCATGTATGACTAAACTCGTTACTCCTGTCACAGGCATCATGAGCCCTCTCATTGGCAGCCTCTGTCCCGAAGCCGGCAGCGTGGTGCTCCACATCCACTGCGCCGGACTGCAGACTGCCGGCCGCTAAGGAGGTACTCGTGCTTCCCCTCCCCATGTCCCCCTGTCAACTGCTGTTCTTGTTCTTTTTCTCGCCAAGCCCTGGAAGCCGACGCCGCTTTGGCATGTGACAGATCTCGCACAGACCACTGTAGTATGTACCTACCTTGCCTTGCCTCCTACCTCCTAGGCTCCTACCACCTACCTCACCAATACATTATTATTATACTGTGTGATACATACCTTACCTAGTCGTGACTGGTGAGGAAGAAAGACACCACTCCACTGCTGCACACGCATTTGCCGAACACGATGAGACGCCTGTCTCCTCTCCTCTCCTCTCCTCTCCTCTCCGCTCCCCTCCACTCCACTCCACTCCGGATGCCGTCCACTTCGTCTGTCCGCTGCTACATATGCACTAGCAGTACATACACTACTACACTGCATGCCCGTCCAATGGCATCATCGCCCTGTCGCACATGCTCAATTGCCCATGCTATATCGGCTGCCGTCTGGAATCGGTGGAATCTTCCGAATCTCGTGAGACGTCATCTAATAAGCCGGCCGTGACACGCGACACGCGACCGGAGGCTCATGTCTGTGCCCAGTGTGCCGCACGCCGCCCGCCGCACGCCGCACGGTGCGACCGGGGGCGTCCCGTTGGACCGGGCCTTTGTTTTCATATGGGATCCCGGATTGTGGATGGCGCGTCTGGAACACCGATCAATTTGTGACATGTTCTAGGAGTTAGGAGGTACCATAGGGCACAGGCTGCATGCGTACGGCGTACGTGCGTGCGAGCTGGGAAGCGTCAAAGCGACACTTCCCATCTGATGACCGGAAGTCAAAGGAATCCTGCTTCCGTCTCGATATACTGCACAACGTTCCTAGGTAAGGTTGGTACAGTAATCAGGGTATCATGCAAAACGAGCCCCAAGCAAAACGCCCAAAACACCACCCTCGGGCTCCTAGTACAATACGAGAAACAGTCTCATCACTCTCATCAATCATCCTGCTCTGCTGCCGTCTTGAGCCGCTCCAAGATGCCCTTCAACTTCTCCGTGAATGCTGTCCACACTTCACCGCCTTCCTCGCCGCCAAATGCGAGTTTATCCACTCTGCTTTGATGTCTGATGAATTCCTCCACCACCTCGATGAGCGTGTGGAGCTTCTGACCAGGCAGCTGACCAGCAATCACCACCTTGGCCTCTCGGTTCCTGCACAGAATCGCGAGTACCACGGCCAGATAGGCATATGCCACGTTGGCTGCCGCGCCCTCTTCCGTTTCCGCTTCGAGCAGCCGCTTCTGTCCGGCATTGAACGCTGTCACCAGCTGCACGAGTATGGGCGCAGTCTCTCTGCTCGCAGCGCTCGCTCGCGCAGACTCGACCTGCTCAGCCACGTTGATCGTCACTCCCATTTCGAGCACCAACACGTCCAAATCGATCGCCTCCATGCTGGAACCCAGCCCTCGCAGGCCACGGCTGACGCATTCCAGCAAGCTGTGCACCACCGTGAGCTTGGTCAGCTGCCGACAGCTCCTCACGTTGTCGCTGGTGAGATTGGAACATAACCGCAGCGCCAGAAAGCGCAAATGCCGGAGTTTCTCGCTGGCAAGCATCGGACTGATGAGCAGTTTCCCCAGCTGCTGCACCACGTCGGGTGGCCATGAGTTCCCGTCGCTCAGCGTGGCCAGATTCTCGAGCGTGGAAACGGACAGACACATGTCCGTCGGCAAGTCCTCCTCGCGGCCCATCAGCAGATCGAGCTCGTGCTCGGAGAATAGGATCGCTCGCACTTCTTCGCGCCCGAGGAGTTCGGAGCGGTCGCCGGACCGACGAAGCTTACCCACCAGACTATCTAATGCCTTTAACACGACCGTGCGAGTCGTAATCGCCGTAGGCCTGAGATCACCCCAGAAGGTGTCATGCGCGCAAGCAATATCAACAAATTCGATAAATGTTGCCTGTGCTGCCTTGGACATGTTGTTCTTTCGGTCTTTGGCCCGCTTGGCCATGCAACTATCATTCATGAGCCGTTGCGCTAACCATGCTGTAGCATGGCGCTCCTTCATAGATTTCGCTGCGTGCTCGGGACATTCCTCTGTGAGCAGGCTCACCAGAGCCACCGCGAGGACAAAGTCTGCAATCTCGTCGGCGGGCGCTGCAAGTTCAGCAAGCAGCTTTTGCTCAAATCCTTGTCGGAAAAACTTCTCCACAAACGCTTTACTGGCCATGAGCTTCTTCGTGAGCTCAACGAGAGCACTTCGACGCCGACCCCGGGCCGACATTGCGTGTACGGCGATATCATCCAGTAGACCAGAAGTCTCGTCCATGAATCGCTGGTTGCTCCCAGCTGCTCGTAACTCGTGTACCGTTCGAAGCCGTCCATTAGTATCCTCATCGTCACTGTCTGGCAGGTCATATATAGACTGCTGTGATGCCGAGTTCGAACTCGTCATCTTTCGCGATATGGACGGAGCTGCTGCTGCTTTGGGCGCGCTTGGGATACTCAGCATGAGACCATCCTCGAAACTATCCTCAGGCAAGTAGGATCGAACCCGCGAATAAGTAATCCGAGGGACACTCTCGACAAATGCTGTGCTTTGGCTATAGCTCTGCGATTGGCAATGACCACTTTCATGTGCCGCAGGCTCATCGCTACTCATGTCAACATCCTCCGCGTCGCTCTCGTCTTGCTCACTGCCACTTCGATCTGAATCAGAGCTGGGTGCAGATGCTTTGAGGCGATCAACTAGCTTAGGACGCTCCCGTGTGGGCCCAATATCGGAGCTTGACTTTGTGAGGATCCGAGTAGCAGCAGTCCTCTTTACTCCCGTGCGTCGATCCGCGTGCAAAGTGAGTCCGTCCAAAGGTAGCACGCTTGGTGATCCTACAGCTGAATCCTCCGACAGGAGCTGGCTCCATAAGTGGTCTTGCTTTGGTGTTGACGTGATCTTCCTTGCAGTCTCTGGACTAGATGTGCCAGTCGAGCCCGAATGCTTCTGAGGAGTCGATGGCCGACTTGTAAACGTACTCGGCGAATGGGAATAATCTGGCGTCGCATCCGTGTCATCCACAAGCATTTCCGTCAAACGTGCCGGGGCGGACACCATAGTTTGCGGGGACACTCGAGATACATTTGAGAGCTTTCCACGACGAGGATTTCGCTGCACCTGTTGACGCGATGCAGCCCTTGACTTTAGCGAAGCGTCCTCCCCTGCAATTGATGAAGCCATCGGTAAGACCTTGGTTGCGGCCTGCACGGAGGACAGACTACAGCCTGGCACATCCAGCATTACCACATCACCTCCATCCTCGGTCGCTTCTTTTGCTTGTCGATGTCGCTTTCGTGGCGTTGGGTTCGAATCAGAGCTTCCATGTTCCAACCGCTTCTGGGTCGTGGGGGATGACTTTTGCATCTCACTGGCGACAGATGCGGCGCTACGATCCAGCAACTGTCTCCTCGCCTTCAGTCTATCTGCAGCGCTTCCAGTGCCAGGGCTGACAAGCTTCTCAGGCGAGACGCTCTCGGCGCTTGGAAGCACCTCTTTTCCCTGCTGCGCTTGGGGACCCGTTTTGGCCCGAATTTGCATCTCGGTAGCAATTTTATTCGCTCCAGCAGGCTCTGCCAATGCCGTTCCAGTCCGCAATGTCCTCTTCTGCTCCCAGGGCGCTAACGGTACGTCTTCCTCTACCACGCTGTCAATTTTACGCCTCCCTACGGGTTTCGGCGGTGATCGGCGCATGATGCTGTTACCCACGTCGTCATCCGAAGATGGCACATCCCACATGTCTTGTTTCATCGAACGACTTTCGACATGTTTGGGGGGGCGGCGAGGTTCAGATATGCGTTTGCCTACACGTTGTGTGTCCGTGGCTATTTTCGACGTATCAATCGTTGTGCTCTTGACGGGTGACTTCAGACGTCTGACCTCCACCGCTGGTTGTGCAACAACACTTGCTGCTGACGCCAACTCATCCTCATCGTCTGCGAAGCCAGTGATGTTCCATGCGCTTGAATTGCGAGAGGCCTTGCCGTAGGTCGCTTGTTTGCGCCGGCGCGCGTGGGCGAGCGCAGACATGGCGGCCATGCTTGTAAGTTGCCACCTTCAGTAGCCAGGGCTGTTGGCTACGCTATGTGTAGTTGAGGTCGGAGTCAGGGTATCGGTGCCGCTGAAAGGAGGTTCATCGTGCAGGTGTAACCTCCGGTAATCGAATTGACGGAGATGATAATATCCGTGAGGAGGCCGCGGTGAGAATCTCACTGCATGGCGGCGATGGCGTAAGGTCCAAGATGCAGGTGTCTGTCTCAGTAGGTAGGTATGTGAGGTTTGAAGTGAGGTTTGTGAGAGAAGAAGGCACAGGTGAAGCTCGAATCCGGTCTGTCACAGCCGCATGTAGGTGGAAGCTGCCTGTACCTCCGGCCCGCCAACAATGCACCGCCAAGACCGTCTTCACTCGGACCCCTGTCCGTTCCTGGGGAAGTCGCAGCGGAGCTGGCCGTGGACCCTTGATAGGCCACACGAGATCAAGCCACAGCGACACCTTTTTACCTATTTCTTTCTATAGCCTCGCCCGCTACGCTACCTATTTCTTAAGTATGTCTAGGTAGCCTCATCCCTAAAAGAGTCGTCCAGGGCTCTTTCATCCTGCTCCCCCTCAGCATCCGACTTACTTGGAGACAATCTACAGACCAATTCCGAAAGCCTCCAACATGGCAACTGGATCTCCCATCATCAGAGGCCCAAGCCAACAACTTGGTCCCAATTACCGAGCTTCAGAAGACAAGCCGACTGCAACGGTCTCGACGGTGCCCAAGATTAACAATCTTCACATCCTTCCCCAGACCCCACAGCTCATCGCTCTCCTCACGTATGTTGGCGACGTCGAACAGGCCGTGACATGCGTCCAGGCCATGCTGATTCCCCGGTAGCATGCTGCGCGACGTCAATACCGATCGCGCCGACTTCATATTCCACTCCAATCGAATCAGCAGACTTTTGGTTGAAGAAGCCCTAAACCACTTGCCAGTCTTGCCGCACCCAGTAAGTGCGACACCAATTCGCGGGCGCCTCCTGTGCTGGCTGCATGCCTAGCTATCTCAGCTCCCTCCATCTGGCGGCAAGCTCGAAAAGAGCCCAGTTGGATGAAACGTGTATACTCGGAGATACTTGCTCATCTTTGATTCGTTCCTCATAGGTCACGACTCCAGTTCAAGGTCGGACTTATTCAGGCGTCAGGTTCGAAGGAAAGATCTGCGGGGTGTCCATCATGCGAGCTGGGGAAGCCATGGAGCAAGCACTTCGCGAGTGCTGCAGATCTGTGCGTATCGGTAAAATCCTCATTCAGCGAGACGAGGAAACTTCGAAGCCACGTCTTTTCTACGACAAGCTACCAGAAGACATCAAGGATCGATGGGTATTGCTGCTAGATCCCATGCTCGCCACAGGAGGTAGTGCCCTGATGGCAGTGGACGTCCTCCTCAGTCGAGGCGTGCCCGAGGACAGGATCATATTCCTGAATCTCATCTCAAGCCCCGAGGGAGTGCAGAACTTTGCGGACAAATACCCCAAATTGAGAGTCGTGACGGCTTTCGTCGATCAGGGACTCAACGAGAAGAAGTAAGCCTCCAAGATGATGTTCGCGAGGACTATTTGCTGATATTTCTCAAGCTACATCGTGCCAGGTCTGGGAGACTTTGGTGACAGATTCTATACACTCTAGTCCACATATGAGCCGTTTTCGTGAGACGGCCGGGCACTTAACAGAACTACCAGAATCTCAATGCTCTAGCACTGCCGCTGACAAAGTTTCGTTTGCTAGCGTCGGCCTCTGTAGTTACGATCGTCTCCCTCGTTCGCTCCAATTGCGTACAGCGATCTCTTCGTAGTTCCGCAAACGTCTCGAGCTCACAATCATTGCCTTCATTTCCGTCCCTGCTCACGCCCGAACAACTCTCCTCGAGTGGAGACTGCTGCCCAGTAGATCTAGTAGACGATGACCTATCAGGCTGGCCATTTCATCCATACGTACCTGTGCGTTGTTCCCGTTGCCGTCGTGCCCGTCAAGTACCTTTGTGGCTCCGATCAAATTCCAGGCTTATGTTCTGATAGTCTTTGGTGTGCCAGTATGTAACCAGACCGAAGGGACAAGTGAGGTCGCCAAGGCCGCCAGAGTCCTTTGCGCCTGAGGCACTCACTCCACATGCGCTCATAACAAACTCTAATTTACGAACATCCCTGCAATCGCGTGCAAGAGAACTTTCAAAGAACAACAATATCCGCCGCCGCACTTTCTTGGGGACTTTTCACAAACATCAACACTCGAATCATACCACACTCTTTGCACTGCCATCTCTCACTCAAAGCCAGTAGAGCTGGGATGAGAAGTTTCCTCAACAGCCCACTCCGCGTCAATACAGCACGCATACCAGCCTATCTGCACTGCCGTCCCTCACTCAACATCAGCACAACTTTGATCAGAATGGCAGGAACTACAGCGCCGGATGCGCAGCCTTGGAGCAGCATGAAGGGAAAACTGAACGACGGTCTGCTTCGCGGTCTGGCTGGGATGGGATATGAGTGAGGAAAACGTCTGATCCAGGTTGACCGCCTTGAGGGCTACATGCTGACTATCGCAGGTTCATGAGTCCCGTGCAACAGAAAGTCTTGTCTGAATTACCATCTTTCAGCGCTGATTGCCTCGTGCAAGCAAAGACCGGAACAGGAAAGACGATCGCGTTCTTGCTCCCAGCTCTGCATTCTCTTCTGGCGAATCCCAACGTCCCACGGGGTCAAGTCGGAATTCTGATCTGCTCACCAACTCGTGAACTTGCGCTCCAAATTGCAAAGGAATGCAACGCAGTCACTGCACAGCTGCCGTCTCGACTGGAATGCCACACTGCATACGGTGGCACGTCTAAAGAGCGCGACCTCAAGGCGTTCCTCAATGGAGATCCCAAGATTGTTGTTGCTACTCCCGGTCGACTGAACGACTACCTCAACGACGAATACGTTGCTGAGAAATTTACAAACCTACGCACATTGGTACTTGACGAAGCAGATCAAATGCTCGAGGCAGGATTCCTGGTTGCAATCAATGAGATTCTGCGCCGTGTACCACCCAAGGACAAGACTCACTGGCAAGGGATGTGCTTTTCCGCCACGATTCCCGAGAAGATCAAGAGTGTCCTACCCAAGATTCTGAGCAAACAACACACCCACCTTTCTACCGTCGATCCGAATGAGACACCGACCATTGATCGTGTTCTGCAGCACTCCGTCATTGTGCCGTCCAATTACGAAGTATATCCAGCATTGTGGGCTCTTCTTCAACAAGAGTATGCCGCCACTAAGGGTGATTTCAAAGTCATTGTCTTTGGTTGTACGGCAAACGGTGTCGCTCTCATGCACGCCCTCTTCACCAATCTTCTACACTCCAATAACGCCATCAAAGTCTTCCAGCTCCAGTCTCGTCTAACTCAAGCGAACAGAACGAGAACCACAAACGAGTTCAAGGAGGCGAAGGCTGGCGTCATGTTCGCGTCGGACGTGATTGGTCGCGGCATGGACTTTCCGAATGTTTCCCACGTCATTCAAGTCGGGCTGCCCTCCAACGGCGATCAATACGTTCATCGTGTTGGGCGCACAGCTCGTGCTGGTAATGAGGGACGTGCAATGATTCTACTGACTCAGCGTGAAAGCTTCTTTCTCAAAGTCAACAAGCGGTTACCGATCACTCCATACCCTGCAGACCTTACTGGTGCGGCGATAACAGAGCAAGCCCGAGAAGTGCAGATTGCATTCGCTGACGTCCAAGAGATTACGAAATCCAAGGCATACCAAGCTTGGCTCGGTTTCCACAAGGTCTTCACAAAGCAACTGCAACTTACAAATGATGGATTAGTGGAGCAAGTCAACGAGTACGCCGCGGCCATGGGCTGTCCGGAGCCTCCCATGATTGACAAGCGTGTAGTGGGGAAAATGGGCTTGAAGGGAGTACGTGGATTGAATATTGGGCTTGTCGAGACCACGGGTGGCGGCCGCGGAGGCCGAGGGGGCCGAGGAGGCGGTCATGGAGGGGATAATCGGATTGGTGGTGGCGAAAGTAATGGCAGGATCGAGAAGAATGGAGGAGGTCGTGGAGGATCTGGTGCAGGTGGTCGTGGTCGTGGCAGAGGCGGTGGTGCCCGCAGAGGCCAATGAGTGGGCTAGCTATCATTTGGATGCCAGCCCAGGTTCTGCAGACGAAAGGGGAGATGTGTGTTGCTCGAGAGATCCACTTCCAGCACTCACATCCTGTTAAAGTATGAGGAAGGCATTGGAGGTGGAGAGGACAAATTCTTTGGTCCTATTCAAGGCATGAGCGAGTTGGAAATGGTACCTCACTGGTAGGCAAGTCGCCAACATGTTGATGAGCACTCACGCCAACTGGCCAATGAATGGAAGGCCATCCCGAGTAATTGAGTGTACGAGCTATAACCGTCTAAGAAGCCAGGGCAGGTGGCTGACTAAATGGAGTAGGAGGCTGAATACCTCGAACATGAAAATGCCAAGTAGTGGGGTGAGGACCGGGTGTGGGAACGAGGAGCTCGCAGCTACAATATTGAACATTCATAAAACTGACTTGCCTGGTCACGTCTACAAGTGTGTTAGAGGTGCCGGACAAGCTACCTCGGCCGAGACCCAGGTGATTATCCTTGCCGCCTATCTTTCAAGCGTTGTGGCCGAGAAGACTTTGACAGTTCAGTACTACTGATCACTATAGTTCTAGATAATTGCCAATTCTCCAGAACTCTGAAGAGTGAAGGCTGTAGTATATCCAATTACTATAATCTCTAGACTTCTGCAAATTGAAGAATAGCTCTCAGCAACAGCCATATTTGCAACACTAAGAAAGGTATATTCGCTGTTTGTTCTTTAAACTGTTGGTGTGAATTTAGGGTTTCTAGTCTATACTATGATCCTTTATACTTTCTATAGAAATGGCGCATGCAGTATACAATATCTGTATATTTTACCTATCCCTAGAAACAGGTCTTAAAATCGATAAGGCAGTAGGTGTTGTCTTGGCGTAAAGTGCTTTAGGAGGAGTACAAGGAGGAGGAGTACAAGGAGGAGGAGTAGAAGGAGGAGGAGTAGAAGGAGTAGGAGTAGGAGTAGGAGTAGAGAGAGAATAAATGCTCAATATTCAGAATTCTGTCTCGAGGGGACGAAACCTTAGAGAAAAGATACTTAATAATCGGCGTTCCTGTAAGGCTCTGTAGATTTCTAGGATCTTAGACTCGTAGAACCCTATAAGACCTAGTATATTAGGTAGAAAGGAGGTTAAAGACTTGTACATAGCTTTCTACGAAGATGTTTCTATATTATTTTAGAAGATACTAGAAGAGCTAATTGAGAATAGGGTAGAGCGTTTCTCTAAGCATCTATAGCTTTCTAGGACCCTATCGAGAGAAAGTTAAAGACAAGGTGCTGAAAGCTTTACTTATCTGACAGATTATAGATACTGTTTCCTTAGTTCGTTTTCTAGGAAATTGGATCTCTCTAGAGAATACAATAACTAGACGACGACTGGTCCTTTCGATCAACCCTTCTAAAGATAACCTCTTTCATACGTATAGTAGTTAGTATAAGTAGGTTAGAGTTCGGTACTAAGACCGAAGTAGCTTACGATTAATTAATACTAAATATCGAATCGTAGATTGTTTAGGTTAGCAAGCGCTTATAAACAGGCTAGGGGCTAGTATAGGTATAGGTGTAGGTGTAAGTATAGGTATAGGTACTGTAGTAGTATATATAGTAAGCTTCGTCTTTCTAGAGGATAGTAGGCTAGCTCTTAAATAGCTAGGTATACCTAGTACTATAAAGGGCAAGCCCTTAGGTACTGCCCTAGGAGATCTATAGCATTACGTATCTAAGTTATATACTTTCCTAGGTTACGTACAATAGCATACTACTGCCCCTAAATATAGCTACCGTACTCTGTCCCTTTTCCTCTATAGAGCGACTCGAGTAGCTAGTCTTCCTTCTATATTATACTTACTATATTGATATTATAAGACTGCTATATATTCGTTGTTCTCCTATAACAGTAAGTACGATTAATACTATAGCGTCCCCTAATTAGAATACGCTAGAAGTTAGATAAGCAACAGCGTACTCTAGTATAGGCCCTTTGCTAGAAGATCTACTTAGCGTAATAGAATAGATATATCTCCGGTAGTAATAGAAATCGCCCTAAAAGACGCGTACTCTACTCCTCCTACTGCCTTAGTTACAACCCCTTAGTTGTCCGCTTATTCTATAGTAGACAAGGCCCTGTAGAGCGCCTAACTAATTGACTAGCTTAGAATTAATACAACAACTACTAGCTACGATAATCTAATCGCAATCTGCCTAAGAAACTAGCCATTATAGTTATAGTGCACCTCTGCCTCAGGCTATAACTTTCTAGAACGTTACTTTCTCTACCTATAGTACTACTATATATATCACTATATAAGCGACGGCAACAATATATATAAGTATAACGCGATTGCCGCTATCTCTAAAATACCTACTACTGCTAATACTATATCTTAGGCCTATAATTAGCTCCGTATTTACCGTTACTATACTATTATTGTATCGCTATATTGCTTTATCCGCTAAAATAACGCGATTGCTACTACTACTACTACTACTACTACTACTACTACTACTACTACTACTACTACTACTACTACTACTACTACTACTACTACTACTACTACTACTACTACTACTACTACTACTACTACTACTACTACTACTATATCTCTATTGTCTAATTAGCTTTATACTTACCTTATAGCCGGAATAGTAGCAGTTTCGGTCGATTCTGCGACTATTGTCGATAGTTTAACGCTCTTATCTCTTAAGGCCTATCTAGGTCTAGTATCTCTAGAATCTCGTAACCTACGGACATATTCTACCTACCTAGCGCTAGCGTCCTATACCTGACTATCTATAAGCTTTCCTAGAGCTACGAATTAGTATATAGGTTATATCTTAGCGTCGAGTAGCTACGAGGATTGTCGTTAAAGTTGCTTGTTTAACTACTACTATATAGTAGTATTCTATACTCGTATATATACGTATTTCCTCTAGTAACTCCGCTGTACTCTAATCGGCTGTACTCTGATTTAGCGAGGCCTATATAGGAGTTAGCGTATAATCGTCTATATTAGAGTATATAGTATCTAGTCTATAGTAGTAGATACTATATACCCTACTTATACCGTTTACGGCTCTACGCTATAGGCAATATATAGTCTGTAGTAGTAGATACTATATATCTTACTTATACCGTTTATAGCTCTACGATATAGTATATAACCTACTATACAGTTATACCTAGATAGATAGCTTAGCCTATTCAGTCGTCTACGCTTCGGTAGTAGTATATCCTTATAGTATACGAGCTAGTTATTTAATAGTTTATCTACTAATACTAATACAAATACGAATACAAATACGAATACAAATATAAATACAAATACTAATAGAGTGTTACTAAATAAGTTAATTATAGGCGTCTGAGCTATATTAGTAGCTACTATTAGAGGTACTTATACTAGGTAAGCTAGTTCTAGTCGCTCTATATATAAAGCTTTGTACCGAGTACTAGTAGATCTAGTACTAGTACTATAAGCTATAGTTATATAGTATCTTCTATATAGACGTATAAAATATTCTTATAAGCGCCTACCTTACTTAATAATAAAGCGGGTCAGTTACAGAATGAAGTTACTATAGCCGAAGTTACTATTTGTTACTATAAGTTATTATTAGTTACTTCTATCTACCTATAGACGCTAGTATACTGCTACTCGTAGTCTATATACTCCTTCTTACGCTATATCTCTAAGAGTTCTTTCTACTTATATAGCTTAAGCAATCGCTTCGTAGGTATAATACAGATAAGCTATATATAGAAGCGATAACTAGTACTAGTAATAAACGCTATAGTAGCGCGATTACGAGCCTGTCTAACCTTTATATTATAGCGTACAATATAGTACTCTATAAATAGTACTGTATTATATAGAAATATAAGGATATTGCTACGTATAGAGACAATCTATCCTTTTAGATATCAATAAGCAGACTTATCCGGGGATATAGTAGTTATACTATAGTATAGAATCCGGTCAGTCTACGCCTTTACGTACTTCTTCTTATATAACTTAAGCTATATATTCTATAGGTAGCGCTCTATAACTTACTAACGATTATCGTTATGTATTGTAACCTCTTTATCCCCGCGCTCTCGAAGCTTCTTATAGGTATCTATATACTCTAGCTTGCTTAGTACGTTAATAATATCGTTATAGAATGTTATAAATTCCTTACCCTCTAACGCAAGCCTATTCTTACCTGTCGTCTTATCCGGTTTATAGCTAATAACAGATATAGCCTAAGCCTTAACGTCCCTATATATACACTATAAATAGAGTATTGTTAGTAAACTTAGAAAGATACTCTTAAGAGCCCTAATAAGAGCTTAGTCGCAATTGTAGAAGAATACTATAGGTTACTGAATATCGTTAGTTTCTATAAGTTTAAGGAACATACATAGTAGCTATTTAAAGTCTGTCTCTTGCTCGTTGTCGATATATACGAGTACTACTAGTATATAGATACTAATAGTAGTAACTACTATAATAACTATAATAGGTATATTATACTCGTTGATTCGATAGGTAACGTCTAGAAAAATACGCGAGCCCCTATTATCCTTAAAGATACTAACGATGTCTTTATATACAAAGAATAGGTATATAAGCGTACTTCTATCCTTTAGATAGTCGTAGAAGTAGTCTTTGTCTAGTATCTAGATCGCGCGCTTGATAGGTATAATAAAGACTATATTAATAGCCTTAGTCTATACAAATTCGTTATAGATATCCTATATAATTACTAAGTTCTCGGAATAGGCTAGACTGTAGAATCGCTTAAAAGCTATAGACCGAGCCCGCTTTAGCTCTACGCCGCTATTCTAAGTATTAGAAAGGAACTCGTATACCTCCTTATTACGGAATTGTCGTCTATAGTTTGCTATATCTAACTATTCGCGCCGAAGGTAGTTACAGACTAGGTTCTTACCTAGTCTATATGTCTACCTACTATCTACGTTGTCGACGTCTTCCGCTATAGCTATTAACGAGAACGGAGAATTCTCCTTCTTACTCTTCTCGACATCTATAGATAGGGAGCGGGAGTGCTTTCAGTAAGAAGGGTATACCTAGCTACCCTTCGCTCTTAATTATATACGCCTGCTTAGTCTAGTACCGGCCTAGGACGCTAATAGGGAGAAAAGCGATATCTGTACTAGAGAAAATCTAACACTAGGCTAACCTACAAATCAGCGGAGGATTTAGAGGCTTAGCGAAGGAAGACCTTAATATCGAGATGTTTATCTAACTAGTAGAGATATACCTAAACGAGCTATCCCTTACGTCCTTCGCGAGAATAGCATTAAAAGTATACTACGCTTCCCTACTCGAGAACCTCTATACTAAGCTAGGGAGACGATAGCAAATACCGCTAGCTACCTATTAAATAGCCTACCTAGCTTTAGGCGGGATACTACTACTCGAATAGGAAAGAACCTTTGTTAACGATCCTTAGGGCTCTTTCCTAAAAACATATATCGCTATAGATAACCTAGAAGCGATCCGAAAACATAACGAGCTTACTAAACTACCGGGTCTATATATCTATACCGACGGCTCGCTTAAGAAAACGAAAAAGAGCTAAAACCTCGGGTGCTTAGCGATATCTATCGACGAGAGGATATACAAGGCTAAATTACTA